GAGAAATTCATACAGATATGTATCACAAGTCTCATATTTTCTCTCACTCTCTTTGCTTCCTTTCAAGGGTTATCAAGTTACTTATGAAGCTAATAAAGCAAACACACCAAGACAAGAGGTGTTTGGTAAAGAATACAAAACATACAAGACATAAAAAATGGCTATAGTTATTTGGCTTATTATTTATATAAAAAAATTGAAGAATTTTGATAGTGTGCTTCTGCTAATCAGACAAGTCTAAGAGTATGCCTAATCGTAGCACTTTCACGTGAATTGATAAATCCCTTTATAAAAAATATATTTCTCTTAAGTTAAAGAGTTCTTTATAGTACTACTCTCGAATCGACTCTTTTATATATTCAGTATATAAGGACTCTCTCTATCTCTTATTAGGCTTCTTTTATTTACTTTATATGTATTAGATTAATGTACTCTGAGCAATAGACATCACTATAGATTGTGTATTGGATAATACAATTTATTTTTGTAATAAAAAGAGAGAGATAAATATGTACTTTTAATAAGAGTGTATAGCATACATATAATATGCCAATATTATCTGAAACTCTCAAGTCTTCTATAAATTATAAAATAAAATCTCAAGGCTTATGTTTTAATATATTATGCCTTTTGCGAATTTAATTTAAAGCAGACGCGCAAGTAATTTTTATTTTATGCATACATAAAAGGCGAGTGGTTACCGTTTGTTTATTTATTTTTAAAGAGAAGAGGTTGGATATAAAGCTGAACAATGCTTTTGCGACAACACTTCATAATTTTAGCTGACACTATAAGCTATTTGTAAATCTTGTATTAAAATTAGCTGTCGTAAATATTACTAGCTGTATTTTATTTGAATAAAAATATTGTGACAGCGAGACGTGCTGTGTCGGTTTTGTAGTGTAAGGGTTGGTAAAAGAAGGTATATAAAAAAAGGTAAAAAAGGGTTAGATCAACACACGTAGCCTTCGCAGCAAATAGAAGTGCTCTTCAGATCAAGGATCAGGAGGTAAAATAAAAGAAAATATTAATTTGTATAAGATGATATTTATTGAATTCCTTTGTTTAGGATTATATAGTTTTTCTGAACTAAGTTGATAGAATGGTTATTGATATAACTGGATAATTTGGATACTAATAGCGCGGGTATTTGAATAGAGGTACTTGTGATGTTTGGAACGGGAAGATAAAACTTATGGAAATAACTTTGATACAAACAGGTCATGGAAGAAGTGAAATAAGGAAAAACTTAAGATAGAATAAATTTGGCAGATTGTTGAACCGTTACTGGCATCGAACAAGTATGGTCATGTCAATTGAGTGTAGTCGAGAACCGATCTCGTCCAAGACCGACTGTGTCAACAGTAAGTTTTAGTCTCTTGGATTTTACACCTGCAGATACTCGGGAATGTTGATACAAAAATTATACAAAAAAGAGTAAAGAAATCGAGAGAGAGAAAAGTACAACTATCACACAGTATCGATTTGATTTGGGAGCACAAAAAAAGATACATTGGCTAGTTTGGTTCTTATCCGTGATTATTGTTTTTTAAATGTACCAAGTAGGACCAGTTTCTTTTTTCCCCGTATTTTCCAGTTAGGCACAGCAATGAAAGGTCAACCCCGAGCCAATTGAACAACGTGTTGGTGTGGGTCGTTTCAAAGTGAACAGATAGAAAAGTCGGCATAGCTAGTTGGAGATTTTTCTGGCATATACGGGGGTGCCTTAATTTTTGTTTGTGGTTACAAAGAGCGAGCAGCTGGTTCTGCCATGTAAATAAGAGTAATTTTATAAAGTAATAATTTTTTAACATGGTACAGAAAGGTAAATGGTAGTGGTTAGATTCAGTGATGTGCTTTATGGCTTAACAACCAGCGAGAGTTTCTTTTGGTACTATCGTAACTAGTAATAAGATATGCCGGTACATATAGGATTGAGATAAATAGTTATAAGCAGAATATAACAAACGTAAAAAAGCGGTGAATACAAGAAGAGAAACAGTCTTCTCTGACAGAATATGGAGCGATGTATAAGGGTCCGAATGTATACGACAAAGAGCATAAAAGTCTGGGGTAAAGTCTACAGTATGATGAGGGATAGACAATAGGCAGAACAGCAAAGAGAAGAGAGAAAATAGACTAGATCTCCAGCGCGTACTGATTTAAAATTGGGATGGAAAAAAAGAATTGCCAGTTTGAAGAGTTGAAAAGTGAAAATTCTGTATTAAATCCCCAAAAAATATATAAAGAAATTGATAAGATATTAGGAGAGAATATTTATATGCGAAACTTTATTTTCTGTAGCCAAGACTGCAAACAATAATTAGTCACTGCTGTAAATGAGTATTTATTACTGCTGAGCCTGAGACCAAGACCAAAGGATAAATAGCTTATTGTTAATGCTTCCAGTTAAATGGATCTGCGTTTACTCTAATAGCTAATACATAAATTATCATACATGTATTTTATTATTGCTTTATATTATTATCATAGCATGCGATACATGATCACATACATTACATATACAGCATAGTGATACTTTATTTAAAGACTACACACGAGTTTACTTATAATTCAAAAACATCGCTCGAGTACTTGGGTCGGAAAATTCAAATATTACCAATAATATATATACTATTTCTTGTTCAAAATCTCTGGCTGGTATAACCAGAAAGCCGTCGTACCTATAGATATTTCAGAGGAATAACATTCCTTAATTATGCTTCATAATAATGACACGTTGGGTGTATATTCACATTTCCTGCTGGCCCAAATATATCCTATATCTCCATTTTTTGTATCGATTATGTAAACCAATTGGTTAATTTATGACCTTGGGAAGACTGATTGTTACAACTGGAGCAGTAATTAACTAAAAATCTTAAGGATTGTAACAATGAATCCCAACAATAGCTATCTATCTCTATTTATCTCTCTTATTTATTATTAATTATCTAAAGAAGCATAGTTTATTCCAATATCTTAGTAATATCTTACTGATTATATTATTTTATTTATTAGGGAAATATCTATATAAACATCGAAAGGTGAAAGCAATAAAGATCATCCTTACACATCACTTATATTTTCTTTTTATCTTTCTCGAGAGAATAAGCTGCGAATTGCCAATATTAGGGCTAAAGAGTTGTTAGAGGAGGTTGATATATATTCCTTTTTTCTATTAATCATTTGGGTCACTTCTTTACACAAACCAACACAGCCCGTCTCAATAGAAATTACAGCTATAGTTTTTCTTTTGCAGTTACACCTTGTACTATATGAAGCGTTATATCTACATTTACCTCTGAGATATTAAAAGGGTGTCTAATTGTGTTTTGTAAGTCAGGACATTTGATTTACGTACAGCTATTATATCCTCTATCTTTTTTCCTCTTGCATTTATTTTCTCATTTTCGACGTGATATTTGAGAAACACAAGTTAAAATTCATTTAATATGCTATAGATCTTATTTCCGTGTACACTACCCACGTTTAAGGCTGTACACGAAATTTAGTATTTTTGCTTTACCAGCTAGTATAGATATTACGACTGTACAATAGCCATTATTTTTAAAAAGATACTATTTTTCTGACCTATAACTTATTTTTTTAATTGAATAACAAGGTCACTCGCCAGTAAACTAACCGGTAAGCTTGTCTGGAAAAATATTTTCTATCGATTATTCAAAGACTCTACTCCACCTATTTACTGGCTAATAAAAAGTAGTACTTAGATGCGAGTACATTTTTTGGTGATAAATATAATGATATGTTTTTATTCGAGTAAAATACATCTAGTAATATTTATGAGCTAATATTATCAGCTAAAAGTATGAAGTGTTGTCGCAAAAGCATTGTTCAGCTTTATATCCAACCTCTTCTCTTTAAAAATAAATAAACAAACGGTAACCACTCGCCTTTTATGTATGCATAAAATAAAAATTACTTGCGCGTCTGCTTTAAATTAAATTCGCAAAAGGCATAATATATTAAAACATAAGCCTTGAGATTTTATTTTATAATTTATAGAAGACTTGAGAGTTTCAGATAATATTGGCATATTATATGTATGCTATACACTCTTATTAAAAGTACATATTTATCTCTCTCTTTTTATTACAAAAATAAATTGTATTATCCAATACACAATCTATAGTGATGTCTATTGCTCAGAGTACATTAATCTAATACATATAAAGTAAATAAAAGAAGCCTAATAAGAGATAGAGAGAGTCCTTATATACTGAATATATAAAAGAGTCGATTCGAGAGTAGTACTATAAAGAACTCTTTAACTTAAGAGAAATATATTTTTTATAAAGGGATTTATCAATTCACGTGAAAGTGCTACGATTAGGCATACTCTTAGACTTGTCTGATTAGCAGAAGCACACTATCAAAATTCTTCAATTTTTTTATATAAATAATAAGCCAAATAACTATAGCCATTTTTTATGTCTTGTATGTTTTGTATTCTTTACCAAACACCTCTTGTCTTGGTGTGTTTGCTTTATTAGCTTCATAAGTAACTTGATAACCCTTGAAAGGAAGCAAAGAGAGTGAGAGAAAATATGAGACTTGTGATACATATCTGTATGAATTTCTCTATATTGGGTTTCCTTGTTTGGGCTTGGTCTGTTTATTTGCATGATCCCCCCCTATCTTTTATATCATGACGGTTTTAATTTTTCCGAAAAACTCTTTCAAGGCCTGGCCTTTATAAAACAGTAGATACATTTAAAGGATACTATAACATAACACTGCAAAAAGTAAGCATATAGGTACTGAGTGTAAGAGTTGGAAAGCAAGACCAGTACTATATTTTAAAAAGACTATGTTTTCATTTTTCAACTTGTATATATACAATATTATAATCAGGTACTTTCCCTGAAAAGTATTTGTAGTGACGAAAACAAATGATCAACGTGACCAACGTGACCAACACCACACAGGATGCATCCATCCATCCATCCTCCTCCACCTATCTCCCCCAATCTTTTGATTGATGTATACTTTCAATGAATTTTATTGGACTAAAGTGAGGGAGGCGTCATCATCTCCCCATTTCTGTTTTTATAACTAGAGAAAAATTTTCGCGTCTTTTGGGTTTCCTTTTTTCCCTTTTTCTTTGTACTGGCCGTGTCTACTGGTGGAGACGATGGAGAGCTTCTGGTAATATATGGGTTTATGTCCGGCCGGTCATCGTTTATACACAGAAGCCAAGAGGGTCTTCCGATAGCCATGATTCTTTTCTTATGAACGGCTAGCCAGATCACTTTAAGATAAGTATATGATTTTTTTACGTTATGTGCGATGCAACTTTGAATACTAATTAATCAAAGACTATGGAGTAGGCGACTGTAAGAGTTCAAAAGACGTTCATAAAGTCTTGACAATATTATTTTGTTAAACTTGTTGAGCCGATCTTGGACTCTTGCGACCGACCGCTCTCTCTTTTTTTCTCTTTCTTTCAAAGGGGCCCGATGGAGTAGAGCCACGGGTCAAACATGGTCTATTGAGCAAGTCCACAAGCGCGCGTGTAGCGTGTGAGCCCGTTGTCCGTATTCCTGTGTATTACTGGTTGCTTTCTGTCGTCTCTTCTGGTGGGCGCGGCTGGTACCATCTTTTTTGGGTTAGTTCCCGTTGCTTGTTCCCTCCCGTTGCTTGTTCCTTCCTGATGCCTTCCACGGCGGTCCATGTTATATGAAAGGTACTGTTGCTTGTTGCTTTTTTTGTTAGTCTGTTGCTTCCGCCAGTGGGACTTTTCTGCCAGTGGGTTTGTTGCTTCCCACTGGTAGGCCCTTTCCTCCTACCAGTGGACCTGTTATCTCTCGCCAGTGGACCTTTTTATATAGTCGCCGGTTGCCGGTTGCCGGTTGCCAGTTGCCAGCCGCCTACTTTTCTTTCCACTGGCGGGTCCATTTATCTCACTGGTAGGAGACATTTATCCCACTGGTCGGACATTTGCTTCCTGTTGCTTCCTGTTGCTTCTGCCGGGGAACCCGATGGTTCCATTTCTGCCGCAAAATCGTCGGCCATGTCGTGACATCAAGACACCTTGTCAGAAGCCGATAAGGCTCACCAGAAGCCCAACATGGGCGCCTCAAAAAAGGCCACACCGGCCCATAAGAAAGGCCAAAGTATGCGCCAGAGCAAAGACCAATCCGGCCCATAAGACAGGCCAATGTAAGTGTCGGGAAAAGGACCAAACTATCTCAAGACATAATCTAACTGTTTTTTTATTGTTACAATGCAGGCTCCAAGTGCGCACCAGAGAAAGGGCAAACCGGCCCACAGGATAGGCCAAAGTATGTGCCAGCAAAAAAGGGCAAACCGTCCCACAAGAAAGGCCAAAGTATATGCCAGCAAAAAAGGGCAAACCGTCCCACAAGAAAGGCCAAAGTATGTGTCAGCAAAAAGGGCAAACCAGCCCACAAGAAAGGCTAATGTAAGTACCGTGAAAAAGGGTGAACTATCTCAAGACATAGACTAATATTTTTTTGTATTACTACAATACAGGATCCAAATGCGCACCAGAGAAAAAAAAAGGCTTTTCAGAGTCCCTCAAGGTCACTGTCAAGATTCAAAGTCAAATCAAGATAGATAGTCAAAAAAGAAAAGAAGAAAAAGAGAAAAATATATATAAAAAAAATGAAAAGAAAATGAAAATATACAAAAAAAAAGAAAAAAAGAAAACAAAAGAAAAACAACCAAAACAATATTGACCAGAAAAAAATCGTGCTCACAATTATCTCTCTATCTCAGATCAAACCCCATAGTCACTAGTACAATCTCCAAAATAGTCAAGCCAAGGTCCATTGCTATGTCCAAGTCCAAGTCCAAATCCAATTCCAAGTCTTGTCCAAGTCAAAGTCCAAATGTCCAAAAACTGTCCAAGTACTGTTCTAGTACTAGTCCTAGCACACAAACATATACAAACAAATAGAGAAGTACACAATTAGAGAAGTAGACAAATACACACAAACACACACAAACACACACACAAACACACACAATTTCTATTTTTCTATTTCTTTCTTATACACACACACACATACACATACACATAGTCATAGTCATAGTCATAGTCATAGTCATAGTCATACAAACATACATATACACACTTATATACATACATACATACATACATACAAAAGTAGAGGCGCATTTCTGTCAAAGTCCAAAATCTGGGTTGTACCTCCAAGTCTCAAGGCCAAGTCGATTTCCAAGAAGGGGTCCAATGCAAAATTCCAAAAGCAAGTTCCAAAAGAAAAACCAAAAACCAAATCCGAGGCCTATACTAAGTCCTGTAAAAAAAACGGGCATATACTAAGTCCTCCTCTCCAAAAGGATCAAAAGAAATCCGAACTCGAGGCATATACTAAGTCCTCCAATCCAAAAGGATCAAATCCAAAAACCGAGGCGTAGACCAAAACCTATCAGAAATTATCAGGCACATTAAGTCCTCCACTCCAAAAGGATCAAAAGAAATCCGACCCTGAGGCCTATACTAAGTCCTGTCCAAAAATTACACAGGCATATACTAAGCCCTCCTCTCTCTCTAAAAAAAAACCAAAAAACCAAAAAACTAAAAAAAGTAAAAAAAAAAAAAAAAAAAAAAGTAAAAAAAGAGCAAAAAAAAAACCAAAAAAAAACCAAAAAAAAAAAGATGAATAAACCGGAAGAACTCTGCATTGGAACCTGGACCTGGATTGAAGCAAAGCTGCGAACTGGAACAAGACTCTGGATTAGGACAAGGTATGAAATCCCTTTTTACATATATACATACAAAGCAAATGAAGTCTTTGATCAAAAACAAAAAACAAAAAAAAAATGCTCAAAAAAAGAAGCTCAAAAAAAACAGAAAGAGCAAAAAGAGCAATACCAAAACCCCCTTCTCTTATTACTATTCTGTGAAATTGACTGGACAAAAAAAAAGTAAAAAAAAAATCAAAAAAAAATTAAAATCAAAAATCAAAATCAAAAAGTCCAAATTATCCCCTTTACTATGTGTGCTGTGTTCGGACAAAAAAATCAAAAAAAAAGTCCAAATTATCTTTTTTATTCTTTTCAATATCAAAATTATTCCCTTATTACTATTCCGTGAAATTGACTGGACAAAAAAAAAAGAATCAAAAAAAGAATCAAAAAAACAAGAAAAAAACAAAAAGTCCAAATTATCCCCTTTATTATTTTTCAATACCAAAATCCTCCTCCTCCTCCTATCACTCTTAGCTTATATTGACTGGACAAAAAAAAAGATCAAAAGAAAAATCAAATGGACCAAGAAAAAAAAACCGACTGGACTTGACTGGAACCGACTGGACTCGACTGGACTAGCATGGCCTGGAATATCTTAGTATACTTAATTTAATTTAACTTAACTTATATTCCCCTTATAAAAATTTGAACAATAAATTTTGATTTCATTTGACTTTGATATTATCTTTATGTTTTGTCTCTTTTTGATTTTGATCTTAAATTTGTCTTTAAAAAATATTATTAATAACGTTTTTGGTACTACTATATTACAATTGATAGCTGTCTTATTATACTTGTGTTCCTTGGTAAGGTAGATAAGGTGTATTTTCTAATGAGGCATTCATTCAGTTTACTATAGCACGGCGGGATTTCTTTTGATATCGCTCATTAAAATCAACTTTGAAGTGGTGGTGTAGCTGTAAAAATGACCCAAAATAATTTACTAACTCTCTTTAATGTGTTCTTTCTTAAGATTGTCTTTCTACCGATATTCATTTTCTTGCCACTAAGTTTATACTTCAACTATATAGCCAATCCACGATGTGCTATTAAATTTGTCTATAATAATAGTATGGCTGGCTGCTGTTTTATTATTATCTTTTTCTATTGTCTTGATTTTGTTAAAAAGAAATTCACAGTGGAAGATAACGAGGAACGTACCCGAGTTATCAGACAAAAAAAAAGTTAATGCGATATCTACAAAATGACATATGGTCCTAGGGGCGGCTAAGTAACGGAAAGGGCAGCATGATGATTTGAAGCTTTTTCGGGGATGGAAGAATTTTGAATCTTTTGTGTTTTAATCATTAGCCTTCTCAAAGCCTCCATTATGGTTATAGAAAGTACCAGTCTGTGCAGAAATTAGGCTACCCATTTGCCATTCATTTTCTCAGCAGTCCTTTTCTTTTTTGGTTAGAAAATAATTTCTTTAACATCAATTCATAAAAGTTACATCGATCATTATTCCCTTTCTTTGTTATATCTTTAAAAAAATCCTTCGCCTCTCAAGTCACTTGACTTGACTCACTGCTACTTTCCCCCGTTTTTGGCATTCTCTATGAATATTCTGGAGTTAGAAACTTAAGGAAAAGGCGAAATGTGTAACACTTAACAAGGTAGTTTTGTAAACAAGTAACCTCAAAATATTGAACGCATGTACGGACCTGGGTTTTTTGTCCAAAATCTCCACTGTTCCCCGTCAGCCTCCACCGTCTGTGCCTGCCCAAAATTGTGCCTATGAGGACAGACTTGGTCTGGTATCGTTGTGTATTCAGGATCCATAAATGGATCACCCGAGTTTCTAAAGGGAATTTCACTTTGAAGTTCCTATCCCTGCTGAAATTCGTTCCTAATTCAGGTATCTCCAGTACCTAGTTACTTATTCTTAACTTTCATGTCATTTATCTTTTCTCACATATTTATTTCACCTGTGTTCTCAGGGTACACCTTTTTTCATAATAGACAATTTTTAAAAAGAGGACATTTTTTGGATTGAAAACCCCAATTTCATACATGGTAATTTAGAGTCGCTTATATAACATGATACATTATACAACTGCATGTGAAGCTCCAAAACAAATGTCAATGGCTGAAAAGAAAAGAAAAAAAGAAAAGAACCTTACATTTGGTGCCCTGTTTAAATATTGAGACTTTATCTAGTTTAAGAAGTATTTTTGCAAAAGCATAGAAGATATTTCTCCGTAGAGTGTTTTTAGATAATATAAATAACATTTTAAAGCAATTAGAAGTTAACAAATATGAAGATCCCATAAAGCCTTATGGTTTTCTAGCTTTACATATATAAATTGTCTATTATAAAAAAGCATACTCTACATATAAGTGACTTTATATAATCTTAAATACAGACCAGCCAGACATTCTTATCTTTAAGAAAAATAGTACCAGTGTCCCTGCTACATACATTGCACCAGTAAATATCTTGTAGCTTACAAATGGTGATCGCATGGCAATTTCAGAACTTTCGATCGCACCTGCCAGGTTGGGACCAAACATGGCTAAGGTAGTGACGACCAGAAGAAGAGACAGACCAGACTCATACTTTTCCTTTCCAGTAATAATACATGTAATCGAAGGTGCTTTTTGTTTTTTGTTTAAACATAACTTGAAATAAGCATTTATTTCTTTTCTTCTACTCCTTCTTCTTCTTCGTTTCTTTTTACTTTTACTTACTAAGAGTGACAAATGCTCCACCAAAGAATCCAAACAGAGCAGAGAATGCGATAAGAACCCCAAAAGAGTCTGCAAAGGTCCACAGACAGAGAGAAAGTAGACCGGCAAACAAAGAAAATACGATCGTAACATTCATATGGCCAACACGGTCTCCAATCAATCTTGATAATAAAAACAGTGTTGAGATGTTACTGCAACTGTTACGCTCACTATTACTATTACTATTACTATTACTACTTATATAAAAGAAGAAAGAAAGAGAAAGAAAAGGCTAATCTAATCTACACAAAGGTTTTGGCATGTTGTGATTTAAATTTTGACTTTATTTGGCTTGTTTGGCTTACCCAGCTAAAATACGGCCAGCAGTACTCAAACCAGACGCAACAGCAACTGTAGCTGATCCTTTTTCTGGAGAAAGTCCAATAAATGTAGCGTATGCTATCACATAAAATAACATAAAATAAAATAAAATAAAATAAAGACACAATACAATATACTTTAATTAATATTTGGTTCTTTTTTTTGCTATCCTTGCTTATATATATATATATATATATGCGTGTGTGTGTAGTGCTTACATGGTAGGAAAAAGACTGGAACATAGTAGGCACCTTCGAGAAAGATGTCGGTAATACACCATAGTACAAAATTGAGGTCTTTTAGGATCTTAAAGTCAATGATGTCTTTGAGTCTTTGGGTGACTTTTGTGTGACCTGGTCGATCTCGAAATAAAATGCAAGCAAACAATCCAACACCGACATTAATAAAACCAACAACACGATAACACCTTTAGTTCGTTTATATATATATATATATGATTTTGATTTTACAAAGGGAAAGGAAGAAAGTAAGAAACAAGTATTCCAACGAAAAGGCAACAAGTTATAGTTTCTCAAGATTTATCTTTCATATGTTTATTTATTTCTTTACGTACCAGAATACACCTAATTTTTCATTGAGAGCACCTACAAGTAGTGGCATTACAAGCCCTCCGATACTGTTTCCACTAGATGCTACGCCTAAAGCAATTCCAGTGTTCTTTGTAAACCATTTTGGGATCTCACTTATTACGATCTTGAAAAATGAAATTATAAGATGTAAACACAAAAAATATCAATATGAACGTGAGCTTGAACGTAAACATGAGCGTAAATATGAATTGATTTAGATCAATTAGATTGAATGGATAACCTTCATGCTTACATAGTATATAATTGATGTTCCAATACCATATAATACACCCTGAGTCATACATAGCTGCCATATCTAATACACGCATACATGCATTTATATATACTTAGATTTATATATATATATATTAAAGAAATATCACAATACCTCTGTACAGAAACTGGCCAGCTCTAGTCCAGCCACACACAGCACTACACCAAGTGCCAATGCCTTTTTTGTAGTCATATAAGACAGCAGGATTTGAACAAAGGGTGACAGGATATTTAAAAGAATGTTGCCGAGTGTACCGACAAATGTCAATTGAAGAGTAATTGCGGGTGAGTGGCCAAACAAGTTTTGCTCATAATAGTCTTGGAAAACACCCCTGTAATAAATAAGTAAAATAAGCAAGCAATAGAGTAAGTCAAACCATAGTAATGATAACAAGAACCTTTCTTTTTTCTTCTTTTTCTTACCAGCTCATAACTACACTCAGGCTGGGCATTTGGACCAGAAATGCGCCAACAACAATGAACCATCCGTATCCACCTTCAGGATTTTCTGGATTCTGAAGAGTCGATTCTGACAAGGTTTCTGATTTTGGTAACTGGAAAACTAATTTACAGATTATCAAAATCTATATATTAAGTATTGTATACTAAATATTACCTTGTGTATTAAGAGAAGCAATTGTGTCAGTATCCTTTTGTTCTTTTGGGTCACAGAATTTGGTCGATGAAGTGGATCCCAAAGAAGCTGATTCTTGTTTAAAAGACATCTTTGATATATAGATATATTAAAAAATTATATAAGAGAGAAAGAGAGATAGGTCTAGGGAAGAATTAGTATAATAAATGGTTACATATAATGTAATATTGAGCAGAAAGAGAGAGCCTCAATTCGAATAATATGAATAATTGAGATACTAATACATAGACTATAGCAGTTAAGAGAAATGCTAGTAATTAGAATTAGAATGATAGTAATCAAACAAGCCAAAAGGAAAACAAAAAGCAAAACTAATAATATCAATATCAATATTTCATTTTACCTTAACTTTTGCTATCAAGACTCGTAGACTCTATACCCAGCCTAAAACAGAGCTTCACGGCCTGTGGACGGCCTGAACACGGCCTGACATAAAACCTTTCATCCCCCCCTTTTTTTTTGTGTGTAGTTTCCTTTTTGTGTACCCCTTTATCCTAATTATGCCGTTTACTATTATCTCTTACTATTAACCATCAATTATTGACTATTGGCTATTGGCTATGGACTATGGACTATGGACTATTTTCACTCTATAGAATTGCTTTCTTTTATTTTGTTTGTTTAATATATGAATATATCAATATCCGCTTACATATCCGAGCCATTTTTCTCTTTATTTGACCAAAGTTGACACCATAGAATATTGCTGTTTACATAATAATAAATTAATAGATACAGAAAAACATGCACGTATATGTATATGTATGTACCTTTGTCAGAAAGTTATTTTTGCAATATTCTTGGAATTGTATAATACAAACTATACATAACAATTACCAAGTTATTTGTTTCTCTAATAATTAATGAAAAATAAAGATAAAAATAAAATGTACGAATAAGTTCCGCATTAGGAAAGCGACACAAATCTTTTTTTTTTTTGAAAAAAAAAATTTAATCTCTACCTTTTTATTATGCGCAGTAATGCACACACTTACTCCACACACTCATTCCACAGGCACAGGTACAGGCACACACACGCACATATTGATTCGCGTGGCTGAGTGACTGTTTTTTATTATTTTTTAGAGATAGATAGAGAGACACAGATACTTTTTTTTTCTTTGATATAAAAAAAAAGTCTTTAATTTTTTTTTATCCTATTATATATATATATATATATATTTTCATTTGAGAACTTTTCTTTCTTTTTTGGTGTCTGTTTATAATGGTGAACTCTGATAAACTCAAGACTCTTGTCGATTGGTTCAAAACCCACGAGATCCAATGGGATCAAGAATTGATCGAGATTCGATCCAACAATGATGGTTACGGAATCTATGCTCGTAAAGACATTCCCAAAAAGAAGAGAGGTAAAAAAAAATGAATTGACTTTTATATATGTGTATATACACTTTATTGCCTTTGGTACTAAAGCGTGATTTTATTATTATTATCAAGTTGTCAAGATCCCTAAAGAAGCTGTTCTATCTGCAAAATCCACTGGAATTGCCAATGTTCTCGACGACGAGGGAATTGACGGTGGCTGCTCATTAGCTATTTCTGTAATGTACGAAATCTCTCAAGGCACAGATTCCCCCTGGTATGGATATCTTCAGGCACTCCCTGCTGGAGAAGATTTGCCAATTTTCTGGAGTGATGAAGACAAGGCTTGGTTGAAAGGAACGGAGATGGATGATGCAGTTCACAATGATTTGGTAAGTTATATATATATATGAAAAAATAATAATAATCTATATATGTATGTATAGAATGACCTTAAAGAAGATTACGAAGAAATCGTTCAACCTTTGATGGCCAAACACACCTACATCTTCACACCTCAGATCGTCAAAGAATTCTTTTCGTTTGAAAAGTTCTGCAAGATCTCAACCTTGATTTCATCCCGCTCCTTCGAAGTCGATGCATATCACGAGAATGGCATGGTTCCCTTTGCTGATCTGTTCAACCACAGAAGTGGAAACGAGCATGTCCACTTTGAGACCGATTTCGAGGTCTGTGATGCATGCGGTGCTCTTGAGTATTGCGAGCATCAGTTCTTGGAAGATTTGGAACTCGGAAGTGAGAATGGTAAAGAAGGAGAACATGACGAACACTGGAGTGATGTTGACGAAGAAGATGAAGACGACGAGGAAGCTGAAGATAACTCGGATGAAGAAGTCTTGGAAGACGAAGACGAGGAAGATGAAGAAGATAACGGCCCTCTTAAGGATTTGGAAGAACTCGAGGCAAAGGGAATCAACATCTGGGAAGGTGACAATGAGGAACCCACCAAGGATACCTGCGACATGGTCTTGGATCGTGCTGTCAAAAAGGGCGAAGAACTCTTCAACACCTACGGCGATCATCCCAACATCGTGCTCTTGAGCAAGTATGGTTTCTGTCACGACGACAACAAGAACGATTATGTGTCCGTTACCGAAGATTCGATCATCGATGCCTGTTTGATTGTCACCAAGGACCAGCTTGTTTCTGAGGGTGCCAAGGGTGACGACGAAGCTCTTGAGATGCTTGCCATTGAACGCACTCGCCCAAGATGGGAGTTCTTCTTGAACAACGAATCAATCCTCTGTCCCAAGGAAGACGACGAGGAAGAGGAGGATGACTTTGAAGAGGATGATGACCATGAACATGGTGGTGGATGCTGTGGAGATGATCATATGGACCATGACGGTCACGGTCACGGTCACGGTCACAGCCATGGTCATCAACATGGTGGAAAAGAGGGTGAATCCAGCCATGGACACAAGCATGACCATGCCGGTGGATGTTGCGGTGATGAAGATGAAGAAGAAGAAGAAGAAGAAGAGCACGAACATGAACATGGTGGAGGATGTTGCGGCGGTGATGATGATGGTGAGGGAACCAAGTCTCGCCCTTACTTTATGAACGAAGAGGGTCTTTATGAAGATAGTTTGATGTGTCTTTTGCATATCATGTTCGTCAGCGAAGAGATCTTTGCTACCTTTGAAAATGTCGAGGAGGCACTCAAGTACTTTGAGACCTTGGCTGAGGAAGGCCAGGGACGTGGCAAGAAGACCAAGAAGACCGGACAAATCAATCAGGCAAAGCAGCGTGTATACCAAGTCTGTAAGCTCTTGTCTGAGCAGCGTCGTGAAGAGTATTCTGAGAATGGTGTCATTACCACAGTTGAGGAAGATATAAAGGCCAGAGAAAAGGTTTGTTTGTTTGTTTTTTGTTTTTTTTTGTTTTTTACTTTTTATGTATTTATTCACTTCTAACAAACTTCTTCCTCTTCTTTATAGACTGAGAATATCCGCCACCGTTATGCTTTGACATGCAGAATCAGTGAAAAACAGATTCTTAACAAATCCATTGCTTACTATGAGGCTGCAGAACAATCTGCCTCAACCTCAGAACCTGCAAAGAAGAAGAGCAAGAAGGGAAGAAAGTAAATAGTCTTGTTTTGTTTCCTTTTCTTTCATTTGTATAGATCCTCCTCCTATTATCATTTTTTTTGCTTCTTTATCTTTATACTATTTCACTCTTTTTTTTCCTATTCTTCTATCTACATTTACCTCTATCTCGATCTCGATCTATCATTCTACCATATATATATATATATATATTGTATTATATTCTTTTTCTTGACCCTTTTACAGTCAAAGAAAATAGGTTAGGCAAATAAATCTTTTATTTATTTTTTTGGCCATTTCAAAATTGAAATGGGACACTGATATGAAAATGGGAAGCCTGAAAGGATAGCCTCTTGCAGTTTCTGCTATCCTAATAAAAACTTTTCTTGAAGAATCTGTTGCTATTTATTTTCTATACTTCTTTGAATTTCTTTTGTTATGGACAGACCGTACGAATGATTCAATCCTATATGGATTGGGAAAATCCTGTGGCAGCGAATGGGGAGGACAAGTTGACCAATAAAGAAAAAAGCACTGATCGCATTCGCAATGTGTCAGTACATATTAGTAAAGAAGATTGTGAAAGGTGGATACGTCATTCTGTGTCATTCTGGCAAAGATGTTTGGATTGCGAAAAAAAAAGGATGATAAAATCAAATAAAATATTATATTATATTATATTATTTTATATTCACATATCATCCAAGCAAAACAATAGTAATCACAAGTATAAAAATATTATTTTGCACCAAACATATTCTTGAGGTAAGCAGTGCTAAAGGACTTTGGTCGTTCAAGAGGCATACCAAGTGCACGATCCCAGATTAACTGCGCAGTGACTCCCAAGGCACGAGAAACACCAAACAAGACTGTGTAATAGTCCTGTTCCTTTAGACCATAGTATTGGAGCAAAACTCCAGAGTGGGCATCAACATTAGGCCAAGGGTTCTTGGTCTTGCCATGTTCAGTCAATACAGCAGGCTAATTGATTTACATATATAATATTCAGTTAATTGATTAATTAATCAATAAATTATTATTATTATTATTATTCCAACAACTTACAATAATGCTGTATAGCTTGGAGACAAGGCCAAATAGAGGATCGTGAGGTAAATGCTTGAGAGCAAATTCACGCTGGGCAGTATAACGAGGATCAGTCTTGCGAAGTACAGCATGGCCATAACCAGGCACCACCTGTCCTCCGTTCAGAGTCTCCCAGAGATACTTTTTGATGTCTTCTTCAGTCGCATCCACGCCAATAGTGTCCTTGAGCTTTAGTGTCCAGCGAAGAACTTCCTGGTTAGCCAAACCATGAAGAGGACCAGCCAGACCATTCAAACCAGCTGCAAATGACAGGTAGGGATCAGACAGAGCAGAACCAACCAGGTGAGTACTATAGAATAATAATAATATAAAAAAGAAACATCAAAGGTTTGTTATATATATATATATATGCTTGGTTGTAAACTTTACGTGTGGGCCGAGACATTTCCACCCTCGTGATCTGAATGGATGGTTAGATAAAGGCGCATCAATTCAACAAAATCACTATTGGTCTCAAATCCCAAGAGCTTCGAAAAGTTGTATGAATAGTCCTTGTTTGGTTCGATTGCAGGCAACTTGCCACCGATATAGACGTTGCGGTAGATGCGAGCTGCGATGTTGGGTAATTTTGCGATGAGATCCATGGTGTCCTCGTAAGTAGGTTCCCAGTATTTGGACTTGTGGATTCCTTGCGAATAGGCCTTGGCAAAGTGAGAGTCGTGCTGCAGAGCATTGACGGCCAGTGAGAACTGGGACATCGGGTGGAGGGTTTTTGGGCAGCTGTCGAGGATATCTTCGACGAACTGAGGAATGTCAGAACGAGCAGCCCATTCGGCCGACAGACCCTTAACCTGCTCGTGTGTCGGAACTTCTCCGGTGACCAGCAGCCAGAACAGGGATTCTGGAAGAGGTTCAGAGCCGCCATCGTCCTGTGCGGCCGGTAAGACTTGTTGGCATTCGGGGATAGTCAGGCCACGGAAACGGATACCCTCCTCAGAGTCCAGCACAGAACCTTCCCAGATCAGGCCCTTGATGCCGCGCATACCGCCATAAGCCTGATCTACAGTGACTTCACCCAGTACCTTGTTGCCGTACTCTTTCTTGAAAGCCTTGACTTCCTTTTGTTTCTCTGGAATCAATTCATGAAGACGTTCTTTTAAGCTCTACACGAAAGAGTATCCCCCAAAATAAAATAAAATAAATAAAAAGGTAAATTTAGGTGAGCATGTGTATCATATATATATATAGCTATATATAGTTATATATCGTTACGTTTGCTTGTGAGCCATAAGAACGAGTTGCACCCAGAAAAAGAGCTGGTGATAAGCGAGAAGCAAGAGGACGAGTGGCCTTTTTTTTTGAAAGATGGTTTAATTATGAGTACCGTCTTATTCTAATTATCTATACATAGATATAGCTTTTCTATCTCTTGAAACTTACCTTGGATAGCGAATAAAGAGAACGCATGGCAGACATTACTAATCGTTAGCTCTCCAAAGAAAAGAAGTGAAAAAAAAGGGCAAGATATCAAACTTGATTAAATCGGCCTTTTTATTTGATTTGATTTCAACTTAATCTTAACCTTTAATCCCGCGCAATATAACTTTGTATACAACGTCTCTCGGTTGTTTTTTTTTCTTCTTCTTCTGCATATTTTGTATAAAGTCCAATGATGACGATAATTTTTTTTTTTTTTTACCTTGAACAGCTATGAGCAATATACATGCATTTATGTTATATAGTAACTATAATAAAGGTACAATTTATTTATATAGAATATCCAAGTACACATATGGGTAAAGACGAACAAATTTTGTACGTTATTTGTTTATATATATAATCATCTTGATCAATATTATTGATCTAATCAACATCTGATTAGTCGAAAACACCTTCTTTTACTTTTTGATATTTTGTACGCACACACACACACACATACACACACAAACACAAACACGCACCAACTCCTTTATATAAGAAGCAAACAAATTCTTAAATCGATAAATAAATGTATATATTCTAAATACACTTGGTTGAATATTCAATCACCGGAATATACCTTTACACTTTCCGTTTATTATTTGTTTTTTCTCTCTCTATCAATTAACAAACAATAGTCTTCAATAATAATGACAAAGAAAAAAGAGAGGTAGACAGATGTTGAAAATGATGGGTTATTATAGATGAATATATATATATGAAGAAGAAGAAAAGATAAAAAAAAAAAGGATCAATTGAGAAAGAGGCAAGTAGAAAGGGAGATGAAGGTGTAGGTGGAGAGAGAAAGAAAATAATGATAAAGAAATTATTATTTTTTGATTATCTAATATTATCTTTCTTCTTCGTTTTTACACTTAGACTGTATTTGTTCTAGGCTCTGGAATAGGGTTTCCTCCAATCAACTCCTTCTCGATGCCTTTGATTCGAGTTGCCCTCCGGACCAAGAGTTTCTCGGTTCGATACTGCTCATAGTACCGTTCGATTGTTTCGCTCTTGAGGATATCCCGGTGTGTGTGTAATAAGACTTCCATCAGGCTATAGAGATCGCTGTCCTTGTCACTCAGGCAATCAATCACACCCCAGCCGTAGTCTCTTCCAATCTTAATTGCGCTATTCTGAGTTTCTAAAGGCTTTCCGGTTTCGGGGTCTTCTTCATAGGCAATAACCCCAAATGGAATCTGGTGCAGGTAATCCAACACACACTGGGTCTCTTCTTCTTCTTGATCGTAATCAAACTGCTCTAAAAAGGCAGCAAGACTTGTAGCATTCTTTTTAATCTTTGCTTCTTCTTCACTATCGTCTTCATCTTCTTCGTCTTCTTCGTCTTCTTCTTCGTCTTCGGGAATACCATAAAGGGGAATCTTTGTGGCTTCGTTGTAAATCGATTGAAGAATGGCAGGTTTGAGTCTTCTACGTTGAGCAGCAGTAAGAGTGTCAGCTTTGCCGATGACAGGAATAACATTCACTCGGTTCGAAAGGCGGGTGATGATTCGAACATCGTGCTCGTCAAGCTTTGTCTTTGAGGGATCGATAAAATAAAGGCAGGCGTGAATTTGTGAATCGACGGCCTTTGGATTTCGCTTTACTTTGCTTTCCTTTAATCGATCATGTTAGCAACATTCATTTCTTATATAGGTATTTTCTCTCTCTCTCTCTCTCTCTCTCTTATATTATATTATATGATTTATATTATTTATTTATTGATTGATTTTGCCTTTGTGCACAAAATCTTATATGTATACATACACACATGTATATATGTATTTTTTTTTATTTCTTTACCTCTGTGAGAGTCAAATCAAACTGGTGTTCAATATAGCCTAGTATGTCCTGGAGTTCTTTATCCATTTGATATCCCGTACTTAGACCAGGTGTGTCAATTAAGCGTAAGGTCAGCCGTTCTCCGCCAGAATCAATGTTGACAGAGACGGTCGAGGGTAGCTTGGTGGGTTGAAGTGCGGTGATCTCATCATCGGTTTCTGGAGATGCACCATGGAGATGTTGCAGGGCCTCGAGAAAAGTACGAAGAAAAGCAGTCTTTCCTACACCAGCAAATCCAACCACCATCACATTGAATTGTGCGGGAATATTCTTCTTTGGCCGAGGTGACATTTTTTTTTTAAAAATATATTTATATATATATTCTTTTTAGAATTTTTATTTTATTATTACTATAGTTAAAATTGTTGGTTATTTGTTAAATGAAGAAAGAGAGGAAGAAAGAAAGAAAGAAAGGAATAAGAGAGGGACACGAGCTATAGTAATTGGATTCATTAAAGAGAAATATAAATATAAATATAGAGTGTAATCAAGTAAGACTCCCGATGGAACCGAAGAAAGCAAGAAAAATAAAAAGAGTGCTTGTCGCATGCTTTATTATCTGTTTGTCGATTTTTGTGTAGCCTTGAGACGAAAAATAAACTTTAATAATTAACAAGCAGAAGATGTTATTTGACGCACGTTTTCAAATTTCCATATATTTGATTTTCTTGAATAGATTTTCGATCAATAGTAATAATAATATTTCATTTATAGGCAGGCATATAGTTATAGCTATAAGCTGCATATATATATATATATATGTGTGTGTGTGTGTGTGTTCAATGGGATAGTGATTATTGAGTGATGCTCTTTTTATTAATATATAGAGAGAAAGAGAAAAATAATATGCAATTATAATAATATAATAATAATAGTAGTAGTAGTAGTAAGAATAGTAAGAATAAGTAATAGTGGTTGGTTGGATAGAATTATATTTATATTTATATATATACAAAAGGATAAGATTAAATAATAAAGAGAAAATAGGTAAGAATTATATGTATAGTTAGAGAGATATATATGTGTAGTGAATAGTTAGTTGAATATTTGGATAGATACACCACCGGTCGATTATATACGATGTAAGATAAAGAAGTAAGTTAAAGAAGTAAGATAAAGAGGTAGGTTAAGAATATAAATAATAATAATATAATATAATATATATATAAAAAAGAAAGAAAAAAAATAGAAAAAGTTAGGTAGTGGTGGTGATGGTAATCAATTGGCCGATGGATAGATAGATAGATAGATAAATGGGTTGGTTGGTTGGTTGGTTGGTTGGTTGTTGAATATATATATATATATTCTTTTTTTTTCTTTGGGTTTCTTTTCTTTCTTTCTTTTTTAGCAGCCTAGTGAGCAAGATGGAGTTGGCATACATTGACGGGCAGGTACAAAAGGCGGGGCATTAATACAGGCGAGGGACAGGCGCTTGGACGCAGGCTGATTTGATCGCTTTGAAGAGTGGCGTGTTTGGGCAGAAGGAGAATAATGATTATTTTGATTATTAGGGTTACTATAGATATATTTGTCTGGGTCGTCTTCGGGGACCTCAACAAGGCTGGGTTGACCAAAGATATTTGGTGGAAATGGTGTATAACCATACATTTCTGGCACCTGCTGCTGGTTATGGATATGTTGTTGATTATGAATATGATGGTGATGGTGATGGTGCTGGTGCTGGTGGTGATGCGGTATTTGCTGAGAAGGTCTACTATAAAAACTATGATTATAGTATCCACTGGAATAATTTGTTGCCAAGGGGTCTGTTGTTACTGCTGCCGCTGCTGCTACTGCTGTTACTTGTGCTGATGCTTGTGCTGATGCTTGTGCTGATGCTGATACTAGTATTGTCGAGGTGCGGGCTGTATTGTTGTCAAGTGAAATCCGACTAGTGCGTTCAGACAGACGGTCGACCGAGTGACTAGACCAGGTCCGGATCCTCTGTGCTCTGTCAGGACTGGAAGCCATTATTGGGTTTCCCAAGGAAATGGATCTGTTATGACGCACAAGTGGATACGTGTAGGGTACTACTACTTCATACACTCGGCGCATCTCGTGTTCAATGCCCATATTCAGGAGACTGTCGCCATAACGCTGCAGCTCACTTACGGACACCATCATATTGAAACTGTTCAGGGTTAGGAATTCGACCTCGAGACGGTTTAGTTCGGATAGATCAATGCCTCCAACCTTAAAAACAAAAAGAAACACAAATCATAAAACAAAAGACTAAATGAGTGAGTAAGCAAAGATTTTACTTTTATTTTTTATTTTTATTTTTATTTATTTAGTTATTTGCTTACCTTTGCATAGCGGGCATTTGTGTAAAAGATGTCTGAAAAGAATTTGGTGGCAATCATGACCCCGGTAATGATGAGTCTGTGGATGTTGTGCGAGTCAATCGAAAAGGGTTGACCGTTTGTTGCGAGTGAGTGTTTGGCCATTCGGTCAAAATAGACCAGGACGGCAAGAAAACATTCGTTCGTGCACGGACAGTATTTGAGTATGCGATATAGATAGGGGGATAGGGCAATCGAAGGGATAGAGCGGGCATGGAAGCGGGTGTGGGCTGAGGGTGAATGAGATAAGTAGTTATTGTTCTCTGCTATTGTTGAAGTTGTTGAAGTTATCGCGGTTAGTGGTGATGGTGGTGATGGTGGTGCTTGTGGTTGTAGTTGTATTTTTTGCGGTTGCGGTTGTGGTTGTGGTTGCGGTTGTAGTTGTAGCTGTATTTGTTGTCCTAGTTGGTCATTAGCACTGGTCATTCGCTCAAGAAGAGAACCAAGGAGATATATAGTTGTCTCTGGTGAAGCAAGTGAGAGATCAAAGGAAGACATATTTTTTATGAATATTGTTATTATTTAAAAACAACAACAATAATAATATAATAAAAAAGGAAGAAGTGATTGCGTATTAAAAATAATAATAAAATAAAAAAAAAGGACTCTTTTTTTTTAAGGTAGGTCAACAGTCAAATTATTAATTAAAATAGAAAAAAGAGAGTTTAAAGACAATACAGTATTGATTTCAAAGGAGAGAAAAAAAAGGTTATTGTTTTTTCATTAAAAAAAAACTAGGCAAATAAACGACCCAATAACTACCCCACACAATAAGGATAATAGTAACAGTAGTACTTTGAATATTATACTATTACACTAGGAACTGACTGACAGATAGAGAAATGGAGAAAGAATACAGTACAACAAGAAGTACAATAACAATAACAATAACAATAACAATAAGAAGAAGAAGAAGAAAGAAGAAAGAAAAAAGAAAAAAAAACCACACGACTATACACGTGACTTGGCTAATAGAGTACAATGTATACAGTGCATACAGTGCATACAGTGTATATAGTGTACAACAGCAATATACGCCAAGAGAATGCTATCCTTACTTTGGAATAGCAACTACTGATTACTTGTTAATATTTTATAAAGAATACAACTACCAAGGCAGTAATAAAACGAAATAGCTTAAGATGATACTTAATAAATATGTGTAATATATACATATTGTATATGTATTTAAGCAAATTGTACAGGTACTACATTAAAAATGATAAGTTTGACTTCTTTACCGAACCCTGTACTCAGTCTGCTCAAATACACCGCGGATATTTAAAATAAAAGTAACTAGTAGAAATTATTGATATTGATATTGATATTAGTATTTCAGTGGTTACATTAAAAGTAATGAATAAGATATAGAGCAAGTAACAGCAATAATATAATATAATACAGTTTGCAAATGACCTCTTGTTAGTACTGAATTCAACCTATCAAAAAATACTATTATTTTGAATATAATACTAATGTATGCATATCTGCATATATGCATGTATTCATGTATTCATGTATGTTATTCATGTATGCATACAATCTTTTACAGACTTAAATATTAAACACCTGTCTATCATTCGATTTATGAAAGAACAAAGAAAAAGTGTATATATATAAATGTCTGTGGCTGTGTGGTTTTGTCGTGTGGTAAATATTTTGTAGGTGCCAATCATTATAATCATAATCATCATAAGTATCACTAAAGAATAGCTGTAATAGCAATAATGATAGCAAGTAACACCTGCTACAAAGTGTGCACGGTCATGGATAGCCTTTCATTTGTAACACATTGACTTGCAATATACCTACTACATATATATAGTTTTATTGTTATTGTTTATATATCTGCTGTACTGTACTGTTCTGTTCTGTAGTGTACTATAGTGTATTGTACTGCACTGTGATGTGATGTGATGCGATGTGCTGTACTGCACTGTACTGTACTGTGGTGTGGTGTGGTGTGGTTACAAGGTGTGTAACTCCTGTGATTTACTTGTCAGGTTAAAAGATGTATATATGGTATTCCTTCTTTCTTGCGTTTGGTAAACACCATTTGTGGGTCCACGTGTGTAAGTAAAATATCCTTATTTGTTATTTTTATATATAAAGTATACCCCTTCCACTCAAAATGATTTGAGCGAAAAGTAAGATAATTGGGTATTGTTTCTAATATGTGTATCTATGTATATTGTTTTTAACGTTGAGCTATATATGTATATATTTATAAACATGCGTCTTTTTGTACATTTTTTTTTCACCCAATTAAACCCACTAATAATAATAATCAAGTGATGTATATATATATATATTAAGCTTGTATGGCTCAAATAGCTTAAATAGCTTAAACTATGAGTTAAAGACAAGGTTCTGTCGCTTATTATTATTGTCGTTATTATTATACAAAATTGAGCAGAAATAATAGTAGTATTAACTATGATAATAGAAAGTGACTAAAAGTGTGTTTTTCTTTAAATAAACATATATCCATGTATTTTCTTATTTGTTTCATAAGAAGTAAAATAAACTTTACAGTCATGGGTCTTGTAAGAATACCAAATACCAAATAAAGAAGCTTGAGCTCTTCTTTTTTTTTTACTTTTGTGATCCTGGCTTAGGAATTAGAGACAAGATACATATAAAGAGTAGTAAGGAAAGTATAGTTGTTGCTTCATGGAAAAAACCCCAGCATAATCGAAAGAAGTATATACACTCCGACAATAAAAATCATCGATGAACCACATTTTTCATGCTGCTTTTTTTATAACATTCTTTACCTTTCTCTTCCTCACACCTTTACCTCAAACTTAACCACCGATGTCGAAAAGTAATAAAAGAATTAAAACTACTCCCTCCAGACGCGAGCTATCAGATTTTGAGCGTGGAGGCATTGTTTGGCTCTCAAAAGCCGATCATACTCCAACTGACATCGCAAACCGTATGAACATTCCTAGAACTACAGTTTTCGATACAATAAAGCGCTGGGAGACTACTGGAACAGCCAAGACAAATACCAGACCTGGGAGACCAAAGAAACTTAGTGTAGCAGACGCCAAAAGTCTTTGTTTGAGTGTGAGACGTAATCCTTTTGAGAGTTATGGATACCACCAGGAAAATTTGGGAGCTGCTGGCGTTATTGTCTGTAGACAGACAGTTATCCGATACCTACGAGCAAAAGGCTTCGGTTCTTACACCCCTGTATCTAAACCAAAGTTAACCCGTGAGCAGAAAAAGAATCGGTTGCGTTGGGCTAGAGCTAGGGCCAGTTTTAGCATCGAAGACTGGAGCAGAGTGGCGTGGTCAGATGAGTCGAGGTTCATGGTGAAAGGCAATGATTCTGACCCATCCATAATTCGTAAACGATGGGAGAGGCACCAGGAACGCCATACACTAACAACAGAAAAGTATGGAAAAGGTTCCGTGATGGTATGGGGTTGTTTCTGGGCTGGTGGCATTGGGCCATTATCGTTTATCGAAGGATCTGTAGACCAAGATGCATACGTCAATTGTCTGTCTAAGGACTTCAATCCCTGGTACAAACAATTAAATGAAGAACATGACACCATGTTCACATTCCAAGAAGATGGTGCTAGCTGTCATACTGGGTCCTACACGACGTGGTGGAAAAACCGTTGGGAGATTAAACGATTTGACTACTGGCCGTCGCAAAGTCCAGATTTGAACCCAATTGAGCATGTCTGGCATGCCCTAAAGGCCAAGGTTCAAGAGAGAAAGGCCTCTATTAACAATGTGCAAGAGCTGAAGGCCTGTATTCTTCAGGAATGGGAGTTGCTTGACCCTGGAGTTCTGCAAACTCTTGTAGCAAGTATGCCTGACAGAGTTAAAGCAGTCATAGAAGCTCGTGGTGATAATACCGTATATTAAACCTCATTTTTTTATTTTTATTCTATAATATATATACATTTCTCTATAACAACACAATGTTTGGTTTTATTTTGTCAACTTCTTGAGAAGATATAGCATAATGAAGTTGATGTATGGTTTATTCGGGGGTAGAAATCAAAGATTTTATCAGTGATTTCAGTTTTGGGAGTGTATATATATATATAATTTTAGTGTAACAAAATATAAAAGATGATAGTACCATAGTGGTGATAAAAGGCAAAACCGATTCACAATATTCTGTATCCACCTTGATGATTTCTGATATAATTATAATTATTACTAATACTAATATAGAAGAAAGGAAAATTATCGGACAAACGGCAAGGTTGAAGCGCACAAATAAGCACCATATGTGCAAATACAATCAATCCTATTCGCAACTTGAAAGGACGTATGGTATATTATCCATGACGTGATTTCTTATATATATAAATACATACTTTTTGCATTTTCACTTTTGTATTCTGTATTTTATTCTTTCTTGATAGTTACAATCTAATATTATTACTAAAAACAATACTGCTACTACTACTAATAATAATAATAAGGAAGGCAACCAAGAAGATATTAAGATATTAAAGAAAGATAAAGAGGACGTGTAATTCATTCGATTTGATTTAATTTTAATTAATTTATAACATGTGAAAATATTAATCAGATACATTGATCATTTACCACTGTACAATAATAATAAATGTTTCAAAATGGACTCTTTCATAAAAGTTAAAAAGATAAAAAAAGAATCTAAAGTGCCTAGTCAACCTTTCATCATTATCACTTGCTTAATTACTTGATTACACAAATATATTGAATATTAAGCATTTTGCACTGTTTATTGTTGCTCTAATCCTTTTTCTACTCTAATCAGATAAACCAACAGCAGAAAAATAAGAAGAATAAGTTAAATTAAATTAAATTAAATCCAAAATAATAAATGTAACACTGTGTTCTTTAGATGACCTAAAGAATTGCCTTTTCTTTATTTATCAGCTTGTTTGGATATTCAGAATCCCTTGTCAATTGTAGTAAAGCAATAGGTACACCAATTCCTGTTTCTAATATATCTAACCGAGACAACAGACAAGTATTCAGAAAACAGAAAAATTGTTAAATATCGAATAATACAGTGAAAGCCCGCACCGTTTGCAAATCCATACCTATATATATATATATATATATATATATGTATATGTATATGTATATGTATATGTATATGTATATCTTAAGGTTAAGTGAGACCACTCAGAAAGAAATTGAATATGAGTATCATTATACATATTATTAAAGAAAGGCAGATACACTGCGCATGACTTACATTTGGTCCTTCTATATTTTTAAAACGAGTTCATAAAATACTCTCGCACATATTATAGACGATGGTGATTGTGTGCCCAATCGAAATAAACAGTAGAAAAGTAGCTAAAGTTAAGAATAAAATGGCACACCTATAGAATTTTGATTTACAGAAGAGAACTTTCGGCTATCGAGACAGTTATAAAAAATTGAAAGGCTTTCATAAATTTAGACAAATGGGTAGGGCAAATGGGTAGTGAATACATAAACTCATAACATTATAACACATACTAGAGCTCTAAATCATAGATGGTACAAAACAAAGTCAAAATGATTTAGTTATTTTTTTTTTTAAAAAAAAAACACACACACACATATCAAAGTGCAATATTATATGTGAAATCCAATTATTTAATTTTCACTTGCCGACCTTTTTTTGCTACTTTATTTGTAGCACATAAAAAATAGACCGTTTAGTAAGATTTTTTTCTAAAGTAAGCTGTTAAGTCCGAAGTAATAGAATTTTGCTTTTTTGAGTATACGACATTAGGAGAAATAAAATATTAAAACACCGTCGCATTTTTTTTTGTGTACGAGAATTGCTACCCTCACAAAAATGCCACGCTCCCAGGTGTTTTTAAATTACTAAAAACAGCTTAGCTTGCTTGAGTTCTAAAAATGCCCTGTAATCAACCAAAAAGACTGGGAATTTGAAATTTAAATTTATTTTATTTTACCTTACTTTACTTTTTTTGCTTTTTTTACAAGTTTTCAAATAGTCTTTAATTTTTTATTATTATTTAATAGCAAGTAATTGATCCTCTTATTCCAACTATAATTTTTTAAACATTATACTGCATTGCAATTAGAGTATTTGTGATTGATTTTGGATTAGTATCTCAATTTTAGAAAAAATAGATACTGTGAGAGTGTTATTTATTAAAGAAGGTTAAAATAATATTCGAGGTGATCAGAACTGATCTTGGGTTAGTATCTTAAGATTAGAAAAAGTAGATACTGTGAGGGTGTTGTTTATTAAAGAGATAGAATAATATGCTTATATATATCAATCAATAAAGACTTTCTTTTTCTTCCTATTCAATTTGCCTCTCTTAATATTTGTACCTCCGCTGTGCCACGTCTGGTACTCAAAATCCACCCAGGCACACATAAATCTACCTACACACACACAAAATCTACCCAGGTACGCAAATCTACCCACACACACACAAATCTACCTACACACACATACATTCATTTGGACACACACACAAATTTTTTTGTGATGAATTCATAGACCTATATAAAGAATAAATTAATAAATAATAGTATACTTTTTGAAAGTAGAACCCCCCGCCTCCCCTCAAGTTTTATTTAATTCTTCCCTATGAAAAGTTTAGCTACTATAAATTACAATTAATGTATAAGAATAAGTCGAGCATTTTTTTGAATGAATAGTAGACTGTAAGTGATGTGGTTGTAAAACGGTAAGAAGGTTTGCAGAGAATTTAAAGGCAGAGTTTAAGTTACTTTCTTATATTCCAACTTTGTAAAGATATAGATAAGAAACTTTAGGAAGAAATATTATCATAAATTTTAGAAGATGAGTATACAGAATATGAAATAAAGTAAAAAGAGACTAAACAACACTGCAATTATTACTATTTTATTTGAACCTAAAGTTTCAATTTTTTATGGGTTACGTTTTTTTGTTTGTTTTAGTATCAAACATTTATAAGAATAAGATATTCAAATAGACTTAAACTAACAAGATTTCTCTTTCTTAGAATAGTATAGTTATTGATTATTAAACTGTCTCAATGGGGATAACCAGTCTACCTCGTTATGCTTTAAGAAAACAAGGTGGAAATTCAGTGGGTTCTTACAAATTCGTCTTGTAAAAAATTACTTGGTCCCTTCGATACTTAAAAAGATAGCTAGTACTGCCATTACTACGCTTATGGTTATTGCAATTGCAATTGCTTCTAAAATAATACAAGTATGATCTTTATCCTAACTTAGGTAAAGCCATGTGATATCCATGATGTCTTTATGAGGTATTCGGGATTGTTTATGGGTTAGTATCTCAATAATGGGAAAAGTAGATACTGTGAGAGTGTTATTTATTAAAGAGACAAAATAATATTGTTTATATCTGCCACTATTCAAATCCCTGTAATTCAAATCCCTGTTGTGTAATGGTTGGTTTACACTGTATGAGTGTGTAGTGTACGTGTGCCTGGTGTGTAACAGTTCCGGAGATTGTTAACTTGCCAGGTTCATTAGCAAGAAGGAACCAGTGTTTGGTTGTGGGGTCTGTTCTTCACTCAATTGTGGTGTGTATACCACACTTTATAAAAAGGAAGAAAGAATTGGCCAAATAGAAAGAGAGAAGAGGGGCCCAAGATATATATAGCATATATTTGCAGAGTAGATGCTGCTCTTGGAATACTTCAACATATAAAACCACAAAGATGTATTGAATAATTCGATTTGATTTTATTCTTATTCAATATTTATACAAGAAAATATACAGAGAAAGAAATTGAAAAAAAAATGGTTGAAAATGAGGTATATATATATATAAATATATAAATAAACTACTGTAAAGTTCCTCGTTTCTTCTGATAGTCACGGATGGCTGATTGAATTGCATCCTCAGCCAACATTGAGCAGTGGAGTTTGACAGGTGGTAAGGACAGCTCACGGGCAATTTCAGTGTTTTGGATCTTCTCGGCTTCATCGAGCGAAAGGCCCAGGACTCGCTCAGACATGTAGCTGCTGCTTGCAATTGCTGATCCACAGCCAAAAGTCTTGAACTTGACGTCTGTGATCTTACCGGTCTTGTCATCGACCTGGATCTGGAGCTTCATAACATCGCCACAAGCCGGTGCACCAACTAGGCCTGTTCCAACTGCAGGATTGGATTTATTGAGCGTTCCTACGTTCCGCGGGTTCTCGTAATGATCGATTACTTTGGGATGGTAGCAACGTCTGAATTGAAAGAATGGGCGTCCGATATTGCTATTGATATTGATATCGACCTTGGCCTTGACCTTTGTGTTGAGAAGAGTGGTTCTGAGCATAGTTTGATAAACGTATATATAATAGGTGCTTTTTGCTTTAAAAAAAAAGAAAAATTAAATTAAAAATATAGAAGGAAAGAAAAAAGAGATGGAAAACTAATGTGCTTATAATTTTATTTTATTTTTTTAAAAAAAAACAATTCTTGACTTGATATGTGTATGAATGAATTCCTACAGTTTTATTGGTTAAATAGTAAGGAGAAGGAAAACATATAGATTAATATTAAAACTATTAGTGTTTAGCTTGAAGACTAACCAATGTTTCAATTAATTTTTATTTTGTGATGTCATGTTTATTCTAAGCCAAAACGCTATAATGATCCCACTAGTCCATTGAAGGAAATATGATGGTTTTAATCAACAAAAGATTTATATATAAAAATTATAGTGCATATTAAACATCTACTGTGCTGAATAATTCACAAATCAACAAGGTACATAAAAAAACAATATAATTGCTACTTAATTTCTATATAACACCAACCATAAAATACTTTTTTTTGCTTGTATAGACGTTTCAAAAGTAGAAAATATATTAAAAAAGGCTAATACTTGTGTGAAGTGGGGAAATTAACAAGTCTTTGCTATGGTTTCTGTTGTTGTTATGGTTACTAGTTGTGCTTTTAATTAACCTTTTTATATCTATCTATTTATTTATTTATTTATTTTCCTATATATTTCACAGCAATAGAAGTTTACTAGGAAAATGGACAAGGAGAAAGGGAAATAAGATTGATAAAATTCCTCGGTTCTATATAAAAGAAATACTATTGTTTGGAATCCTTTGGATACATAAATATTATTGACATCATCATCATAAGCATTGTCGTCGTCACTAGTATTATATCCCTTATTTTCATATATATATATATATGTTTTTTGTTTTTGTTCCAAAAAATATAAATATTGGTTAAGAACCTCTTTTTAAAAAAAACTTCCCTTTTTTTTACCTGTCTTTCCTTCTTTATTTATATTTTTATGTATATATATATAAAATGTCTTCATTACCACGAAAGGCCTTGATTGCAATCACTTCTTACAATGAAGTATTCTACTCCGATGGAGCACGGACTGGTTTGTTCTACACCGAAGCTCTGCATCCATACATGGCCCTCGTGAAAGCTGGCTTTGAAGTCGACCTGGCTTCAGAGACCGGCACCTTTGGCTTGGACGATCACTCGACCCAAAAGATGTTTCTGACTGACGAGGATGAGCAGATTCTCAAAAATCCCAACCACCCGTTCAACGTCAAGCTCAACAAGGAGCTCAAACGGGCATCGGATGTCCAGCAGCATTCCAAAGATTACGGTCTCTTCTTTGCTTCGGCTGGACATGCCACACTGTATGACTATCCGACCGCTCGGGGACTCCAGGCTATTGCACAGGACATCTATGGGCGCGGAGGTGTTGTTTCGGCAGTGTGCCACGGACCGGCCATATTACCGGGCATAAAAGATCCTTTGACCGGAAAATCTGTTGTGGAAAATAAGGTCGTCACAGGGTTCACGGATCTGGGTGAAGTCCAGATGAAGGTAATGGACAAGCTCAGGAGTGACAAGCTCAACACGGTCGAGAAGTGGATGGAGCTAAGTCATGCGAAATATATTGCCCCTCCCGAGCCATTTAACTGCTTCTCAAAGATCGACGGTCGGATCGTCACAGGCGCAAACCCGGCAAGTGCAAAACTGACTGCCGAGAACGCGATTAAAGTGTTTGATTGCCAATAAAGAAGTTTGATATGAGAAAGAAGAAGAGCTAGAGGACGGTTATTTATTTTCTATATGTATAATATAATTATCCCGTACATATATATGTGTATATTTCATTTTCATTATCATTTTCGTTTTCACTTTTTTTAAAAAATAATAATAAGAAATAATAAATAATAATATGATATTTTTATGCTGGCTGGTTGACTGGTTGACTGGTTGACTGGTTGACTGGTTGACTGGTTGGTCTGTTGGTCTGTTGGTCTGTTGGTCTGTTGTTTACTTTGGCATATGTTTTTTGTCCCACATTATCAAGATTGGAAAACCTTGAATGCTGATTTGAGCAACCGCTTGATAGGGAAGTTCTCCAGTTTCTCGCTTCTTTAGTCTCAAAGATATTATCTTGTGTATCAGCGGGAGAAACCAAACAAAGCACAAAATATTAATATAAATATATAAGTATCTCCTATATACGTAGGTATATATGTATGTATTATACATTGTGATCGAAAGACTTGTGGAGACCCTGTGATTTTTAGCTTGTATTTCCATTATCACTAACATTAACATTAACATTAACATTAACATTAACATTAGCGTTTTAGGTAGAAAGAGGGATAGAGGCATAGATACATACACAAGTACTTAATTACATATATGGAGATCGAGAGAATGAAATAAAATATATATATATATAAAGGATATCTTGGTTTTGGGGTTTTTCTTGAAATGAATCAATCAAAGTGCGTTTTTAATAATCACATTATTTCCAAAAAGATTTATTAAAGCCTGTCGACTAATTGGGTTAATCAGCCATCAATGTTAAGAACCAAAAAGTCGAGACAAATCCTCTTTTCTCTATCTTTTTATTTTAAATATATATATATATATATTCTGTATACAAATACACCCTTGATATACTGCTTCAATTATTATATAACTAGGGATAGATTGATACATATTGAAAAAAAAGAGACAAGGACAATGGATTCAACTGTCAAAAATCAAAGGTAAACAGACACAGAAGAACTGTTATCCTTAATGTATAAAAATGTTCTAATAGTCTGTAGTTTATCCAATTACAATCTTATACCAAAAACACTTGAGGCTGACCGATTGAATATAACGACTATATATACAAACTAGAGAAAATAAAATAAAGTAGAACATTACTACTTAAAAGCCACACCACACCACACCACACAAGACAAGACAAGACAAGCAAATACTAGCCAAGATTAGCCAAGTCTAGCCAGAACCAGACCACACAAGACCTGATCGGATATATATATATATATGATATTGTGGCGAGACCAACTTGTCTTATCTGACTCAGCACTTTTTCTCTTCTTTTCAATTCTTCTTATATTAACATCAAACAAAAGAAACGGTTGACATCATAGCACAAATTGACCAAAAGGTATGTGTAGGTATTTATATATATATGTATATATAAGGGATTATGGATGAAATCTCTGGGTGGCCAACAGATCTTAGTAACGTTTTATATAACTAAAGCACGTGTAAGGCTTCCAAGATCATTACAAAATAAAAAAAAATAAAAAAATACTAAATTCACCGATTTGATTAATTGATTTTATTTATTTTCTTGCACACAAAACAAAAATATTGGCCTAAATGTGTATTTAAATATTATAAAGTTCCAAGTATATTTATTAATACATCTAAATATAAATAAATATATAATAATTCTTACACAAACTTGGCTCTCTCCTTCCTTACACAAGCCCTTTACCTTAACCTAGTCAGCAACTGTATGTGTATATAGCTTCTATATATTTTTATATACATATACAAGTGAGGTTACACTCATATCCCAGTACTTGTATATAATTGTATGTGTGTGTTCCTTGGCTTTAACAAAAACATATAAAGGAAGAAAGAGGGTCATTTCAGTGTAACATTATGAGGGATTTGGGTATATGAATTAAAAGTAATAAAAATTAATAAAAAAGAATAAAAACAAAAATTACTGTTATTTCAATTTTTACAGTTCTTTCCCTTTCCTTTCCTTTTTATCTCATATTGCTTCCTTTCTTTCCTTTTCCACTTTTAATTCCTATTATATACATATAAATATAAATATAAATATATATATATATATATATATATAAAAGTATAGAACAGAATTAATAACAATAACAATAATAATAATTTAATTTTGTTAAAGAAGATGCCAAGGTCTACTGCAATACTACCCACCAGTCAATTCCGCCAAAGACGTCGTTCTGAGAACAGTATCGATAGTCAATCAGACCATGAAGTCATTAGTGACGCGGAGGTGTGCTCAAGCAGCCCACAGGCTACAGCTACAGAAATGGCCACAGCTGAACAAGTATCCATGCAAATGCCCGGAATGCTACGCCGCCAGAGTACAGACAGGGCATTTGTGCGAAATTTCTCTTATTACTTTAATAACAACGTGGTCGGTCGAAGTTCACTGGACAGCAATGGCTCTAGCGGCTCAAGTAATACAAGCAGTACACACAATACAAGCGCTATCAGCAGCAGCAACACAACCACCACTATAACCACCACTACCACAACTACCACACCTGGTACCAGCCACAACAGCAACAGCAACAGCAACAGCAACAACCATAACCACCACAGTAGTACAAACATTAAGATGCCCCAGGCTTATCGGTCAAATCAAGACATGACTGTAGAAGATATCATGCAGGATGGCTTAAAGGGAATGCTCCAATCAAAAATCCCACTTGGATATTATATTTGTCACTTGATGGAAGAATACAGTTGTGAAAACTTGGTAAGATTTTATTACATAACATTATGTATTTTTTTTTAATGAATGGTTATCATAAGAAAGAGAAAAAGAGAACTTTAGATAGTTAAGGAAGAAGTATTTTATTCTTCTTTGGTTAACAAGTAAATCAATATGATTATATGTGCTTTTCTTTAGTTCTTTTACTTGGCTGTAGAGCAATACGAACATCACCAGTTCGAAACTAGAGACGATCAACATATCGCAGCAAAACGAATTTACAGCACATATATAGCCCCAAACAGCCAACTAGAAATCAATCTCGAGAGCAAGATCCACAAAGCAATCGTACTTGCCCTTTTGGATTCAGATAGTTTATTACATGTATTCGAACCAGCAAAACATCATGTATTTGAGCTTCTGAACCTTAGTTACCATCGTTTTATCAGCAGTCCTTTGTGGGATACCATGATAGCACAGTGTGGTAAAGTTGTTGTTTTTTTATTTATTTGTTTATTTATTTCTATTAACAACAGCAACAACAAAAAAGACAGATGCTTTTTTTGTGTATATATATATTTCTTGAAAGGAATAATTATTAATAATAACCTATTATATTATATAGCTCCTTTGACTCCTTCATATGATAACAAGTCAAGACGACTTATAGCACAAGAAGCAGCAGCTAGGATGCACCAGACTCTCGAACAACTTTATTCTCCTGTCAGCAGTGTACGCCCAATGGTTCTTATATTCTGTCGAACTTTTTTGCATTGCAACCATGAGCTTACCCAGAGCGGCAATTCGGGCAACACAAAGCACACCGGTCGAGTACGTAGCAAGAGTGTAGAAGCTAAAAAGTCGCGTCGATTCGATTTCTTTACAAGAAAAGCCAAGTCATAAAACAAAAACAAAAACAAAAACCAAGATATTTACAAACATACGCATATACACATATACAAATGTGCGTATTTAAAAGAAGAAGAAGAAGAAGAAGAACAATGACCAGCAAAAAAAAAAGTAAAAAAAAAACAGTAAAAAAAGAAACAAATCCAAAAAACAAAACAGACTGAAGGGAAAGTAAACAAAATAGAAATATACAGTTTATTTCTTGTATTCAAAGAAACCCTGACCAGTTTTGCGACCAAGACGACCCTGGCTGACAAGGTCATTCAAGATTGTGCAGGGCTTTACCAGAGCTGGCTCAACAATACCCTCCTTCTGCCAACCATCAACAATGAACTTCATGGTATCCAGACCAACAAACTTAAGCCATAGAGTAGCAATTAAGATACGGACAAGGACATGGACATGGACATGGACACGGACACGGACACGGACACGGATAGATATAGATATATAGATTAATAGATTAATAGAGATTGCGTGTACAAGATGTGTAAGATTAATTGGTTGATGATAATGTTGTGTATGAGTGTGGGGAAAATTATATAATAAAAATTATATATATATATATATATACATATATATTTGATTAATAAAATAATAATTGTTTACAGACTCAGTAAGCTATCTTGTATTGTTACTTACGTCAGCGAGTTCAATGGGACCCATGGGCATACCAGCACCCAACTTCATGGCAGTATCTACATCCTTGGCACTAGCCTCTCCACGCTCGAGGATTCTAAAGGCCTCCATCATGTAGGGTACAAGAAGGCGATTGACGATAAATCTTATAATAATAATAATAATAATAATAATAAATTAAAATTCCATTCAATAAATGCAAGTTTTAACATTATGTAAGAAATTCGGTTGTAGCATTATTCTATTTACCCACCCAGGAGTATCTTTGCAGGCAACAGGAGTTTTGCCAACCTTTGCTGTGAATTCAAACAAGGCATCAAACACTTCGTCCGAAACAGCATCAGTGCGGACAACCTCGACGAGTTTCATGGCAGGTACGGGGTTGAAGAAGTGAAGGCCGGCAAAGCGAGTCTTGCGGTCAGCCGAGACGATTTCGGCAATCTTTGTGACCGGAAGAGACGAGGTGTTGGAGCAGAAGATAGAGTGTTTTGGGGCAACCTTGTCGAGGGCACCAAAGACCTTTTGCTTAATGTCGATGTTCTCGACAATGGCCTCGACAACGAGATCAGATCCCGAAGCAGTCTGGTCGGCATTGGTAGAGGTGGAGATGTTCGAAAACACCTTTTCGACAAAGGACTTTTGGGCAGTCTCGTCGTCGGCGAACTTCTTGCGGGCAACGCGAGAAAGAGACTTTTGGATGATAGAACGGCCGTTGTCAAGAGCTGCATCAGAAGTGTCGACCATCGTGACCTTGTAACCGGCCTGTGCAGCGACCTGCACAATACCGGAACCCATCAGGCCACCGCCGAGAACCATGACATTCTGGATGGCTTGCTGCTGTCTAGCAGAGGATGCAAATCCACGACGGGCAGTGAGCAGGATAGAAGGAAACATAATTTATTATTAATATTTATTATTATTTATTAAAATCAAATAAATAAATAAATAAATAAGAAAGAAAGAAAGTGAGAGAGAGTGAGAGAGCGAGAAAGGGCTGGTAACTTGAATTACCCCTGTTTGTCAAAAAAAATAAGAGAGAGACTTTTTTATATATAAAACATACACTACAATGGTTTCAAAATTGATCTTTACAAGCTTGTCATTTTCACATGACCGACTACATAATTTTTTAACACCCTCTCCCCCTCCCCCTCTCTCTCACACACACAAATAGGCGGACACAGACAAACAGACAGACAGACAGACAGAGACTGGCAGATTGGCAGACACATAATGGTGGCACATGACATCTTTATTTATTTATTTCAAGTGTGCGTTTATGTGTATAATGTATATAAACTATCTTGGCTTATCTGTAGAAGAGAGAAGAACATTAGGCATATGTTTTCACATAATAGTCAAGTAAACGAATGCATGTATTAGATTGTATTGTCGGAAGCTTAAGCTTTAAGGGCTTATAGGCTATACACATATACACACACACACACATATATATATACAATACCCCGCTCCACTTCAATTCGTAGCCATAATTTTCACCCCCTCTCTCTCTTTTCTTCTTCTCTCTCTCTCTCTCTCTCTCTCTCTCTCTATCATATATATATATATATTATTTATAATTTTTTGTATAAAAAAAATTGTAATCTATGTCTCAGGTTCCTACCATCTCCATCACAAATCCTGACCTGGAGAGTCAAGATCTGAACATGAGCAGTCCAGTCACAGCTCCAGATTCACCTACCGTATTTGACTTTGTAAAAGACCTGCAAGACCTCGAAGCAGAAGAAGACCCACTCCATGAGTCCAATCGTCCGGGTTTGGGTTCAGATTCAAGCCCGGGTTCGAGCCCGATTACGAATGACATCTTGTCGTTTTATCACAAAAAGTCGATCCTGCTGACTGGCGCAACCGGTTTTGTGGGTAAAGCCGTCCTGTGGAAACTGCTTGAAGCAGGCCACGAACAGGTCGACCGTATCTACCTCTTGATCCGTCCTGGACAATCCGGACGACGCCAGATCCAGGCCGCCGAACGCATCAAAGAAGACATCCTGTCCAACAAAGCATTCGTGAACCTCAAAAGAAAAATGGGCCCGCAAAACTTTGATTCGATGATCAGTCGTATACTCTATCCCATCTCGGGTGATCTGACTCTTCCCGGACTTGGCTTGAGTCAAGAAGATCAGAAGCAAGTGATGGATAATGTACATGTGGTCCTGCACTGTGCTGCAAATGTCGATGGTCACGAACGACTTGATCTTGCAGTAAAGGTAAATTATTATAATAACCAATATCATTTGACAATACAAATATCTCTTGTGTTGAATAATAAAACCAAACCAAACCAATCAATCAATCAAACAACCAACTAGCCATAAAATTTAATATTGAAATTTGATGTATATATATATATATATATATATATTGTAGACTAATGCACTGGGTACACTTCAACTGGCAGAACTGGTCAGTGCGTGCCCACTGTCGTCTTTTATTCACTTGTCCCCACTACAAGTACATCATGCTGAAAGTGAAGAAGAACATCTATTGCCTTTACCAGAAGAAGGCCCCGAAAATATCCTCGATACCATTTTGATGTCCTCCAATCTTGACAGTAAGCAATACAATACAATATAATAGAAATAAAAATAAGTAAATATAGAAATATTATATAATGATCTAGTATGTGTGAAACAAGCGGCAAATCATTAATTGGTATTTTCTCTTTTGTATTTCCTTTTTTTGGCAATGTATTATATATATATATATAAAAGATATCCAAAGCCTCTATCCTGACTTTAGAGCCCAGTACCCCAATACTTATCTATTCTCAAAGTCTTTGGCAGAACATCTTTTGTCAAAACACGTCGACAAGAAGAGGTCCATGGGTCACAAACAATTTCCTATGGCTATTCTTCGTCTTAGTCCTCTTGGACCTAGTAAGGTTGAACCTCTTGTGGGCTGGGTAAGAAACTTTTTTTTTTAAAATAAAATAAAAAATAATAATAATCGGGGGTTGTTGCTACCAGCAATCTACATCGGGCTTATTATTATTATCTATTATTAAAAGAATAGAATAGAATAGAAACCCCCCCCCCCCCCCCCCCCCCCAATCTTGGCAACAAATAAAGATGTATAAAATTTACATGAAAATGTGTATATTGCTCATAGGCAGATGGCGTTAGTGGTGCAAATGGAATACTTTTACTGACCGGAAGAGGAACAAAAGCCATTCAATCAGACCGCGCAGATGCGATTGCTGACATCTTACCAGTCGATTTCGCAGTCAGAATGATCGTGGGTGCAGCCGCAACCTTGGTCGCTCCACCAGCAAACTTTGTGATGCCTCTGACTAGTACATTTCAGGACATTTCCGATACTTCTTCGGTATCTTCAATGCGCGACTCAGCCGGCTCTCAGGTGCCTTCCTCATATCGATTCTCGGCCGATAGTCTGGTGTCTTCAGCTACGTCGCTACAAACCGAAAATACTACTTTTAATAACAACACAACAGCCTCTTCGGGTACATCAGAAACCGTCTATTTCCCTTATATATTTCAAGCCACCACAGTCGCACTACAGCCCATTACCTGGAAACTGGCCTATGAGGCAATTCGGTACTATTGGACTCGAGCAGCTGCCGTCAATCTGCCAACATCAGACGTTTATTTCAGCAGCTCCCAGGGTCTCTCACGGGCCAGAACGATGATGAGTTCTATTCGATCGGTGGCATCGAGTTATATGACAAACAACAATAGCAACAATAACAGTAATAACAATAGTATTATTAATGGCAATGGCAGTAGTATGTCTCCTGAGCCACTTACTCGCAACAAACGAAACTCCCATCGCCTCAGCCGATGTCTCGACAAAGCCGCCAAGCTATCTTCCACCGTCCGACTTAACTTCCGCACAGGCACAATCAGAGGCAGTAATAATGGTGGTGGAGGAGTGATTAAGGACGATCAAAAGAGCCAGACCTTACTTGACATACTCGCCAACGATCCTTCAGCCGACAAATTCGACCCTCGAGGAATTGTTCCCCGCGACACCGACAAATTGTTCTGGATCCATTATTTCTTGAATGCTGCGTATGGTGTCCATTTCTACGTCGTACTTGAACCCGACATCCGTTTACCCAGTCCTCGCCCCGGATGGGCTAGTGCTTTGCCTCTGTGCGCACTTGATGGCCAGCATCTGGTCGACAGGCAGGTCCAGAGCGACATCTATTCTGCTGAGCAGATCAATCAGCGTTCCAAGCGAATGATCCGCCACCTGAGACAGGTCGTTGTCGAAGGCATGCCGACCGAAACCACAAAGGAAAACAAGGAACACGACGAAGCCTGGCTGGTTGATCTGGATGATTCTCTTGAAGATTGGTCCCAAGACAACGGGGTTCTCCAGTCTGATCAAGATCGACGCCTTTTGCTTGGAAAGTGGAGACGGAAGATCGGCAGTAATGATGAAGCTATAAAGGTGGTCGTATTGAATGACAAGCGTGTTCACCTTGCTATTCAACAGGTATAACAATATTCTTCTTCTATTTATTTTCTCTTTGAACAATATTTTATACATACATACATACATACATACATATATATATACACGTGCATATGTATGTGAGTGTATGTATAAAATAGATAGATAGATAGAAAGAAAGAAAAAACAGTGGCTAACAAGGTTTGATGTGTGCATATGTGTGTATGTAGATCACTCAGAAGGCTGGTGTTTCAAGGATTACTGCTACAAATGAGGCTGTGGTAAATATTAAGGATCTCGACCTTTTCTTCTTCTACATATATATATATATTGCTATGGCTACTGGCAGTATTAGTATTATTTATACAAGAGAAATATGTTTATAAGAATGATATGCGTGTGTTTGTTTGTACTGATGTGTGAAATAGAAAATCTTGGCACGAATGAGTGAAAGAACCCAGCTGGCGTTCGTGTGGTTCGCAGGCTCATTTCTTAAATCTATTCTAGACGATCTATTCGAAGGTGTTTGCGTTAGAGAAGAGAGCATTCGCTACGTAAGATTTTCTTTTGTCTGTTTTTTAAACTTAGTGGTGTTTTGTTACAGTAAAGATAAAAATGAACTTATCTATATGTGCTATATCTGTGTGTATAGATCAGAACCTCTACATTTGGAAAGCGTGTTGTGTATGTCCCGGTAGGCAAGAGTATTCTCGATCCTCTCTTGATTTGGTACATAGCCATTCGATACAACTTACCTGTGCCAGCATTGATGTGTGATGAAGGTAAGAGAATTAAACTATATTATAGTATAGTCTCGTTTAATATAGTAGCGTAGCATATAGTATACTATATTATTTTAACATTAAAATAAATCAAGATAAGTCAAGCATAAAAGTAAAAATAAAATACAATACAATACAATAAATACGCATATATATGTATATGTATATATCACCATAGCAACAGTACAAGATTATATCAATAAAGACTTATATATATTTATATATATTTTATTTTCTTTATTTTTTATTGTAAAAAAAATTCGAATTGAAACACACACACACACACACATCTCTATACACATCTACACACATCTACACACCTCTGTATATCTCTACACACATCTCTTCATCCATATAATATATGTATATGTATATGTATATCAAACTATTAGCTACTTCACAGTTGGGCCCAATTTCAGATCTTTATCGACTAGCAGGTGCTTACTACGTCAAGCGAGATAAGTCACAGCGCTCTCCACTGCAATCGGCTGTTATGGCTGCATATTCCCAAGTATTGCTACGCGAACACGGTGCTTTGACCGGGTGCCTTGAGAAATCAAGGTCGCGTACGGGTAAATACCAGCCAGCTTATGGAGATGGACTTATTGAAATGCTGATGGAGGCCACTCTCGAGACCAACCAATCTGCCACCACCGCTACAAAACACTCGGTCGACAGTCCACCTCAATCACCTGCATCGATCACTAGCCTTTCGATTGATGAATCTCCTCGCCGGGTCCATCGGGATGTTGTGCTGGTGCCGATAAATATCACCTACGACAGTTTGCCAGAACTTCCGTTCCTGGTTGACGAAGCACTTGACCAGCAACTTCCACGCCGCCAAGGATCTCTCAAGGTCACTCGCGATGTTGTCAGACCTAGCGAAGCCATGGACAGACGTAATAAACCAAATGAGGCAGCAGCCCAGCGACGATGTGGACGAGTGCTGTTTGGTGTCGGGCAGCTGGTTAGCATCCAAGAGACTGCTTTAAAAACTAAATGGTCTGGGTAAAGTATCATCGTATTTTTTATTATTATTGTTGTTGTTGTTGTTCTTAACTGTGGATGTATTATCGTTATTGTTATTTGAAGTGAAAGTAGTCAGATTACTCCTTTAGCACAGACAATTACCGAAGCAGTTCAGGATAGCCAGCGCAAGGCAATGGTTATCACTCCAGTATCCCTTGTGTCTGCAATTGTGCTATATGGACGTGCCACAGGCGGTGTGTGTGTAGGAAAGATCAAAGACTTGAGTGATTGGTTAAAGCAAGAGTCTATGGATCGTGGCTACCTCGTCGATTGGCAAGGTAAGATAGAAGAAGAATGAAAAAAAAGCAAATATTGTGATTGGAAAATAAAGTACTACGGTCCAAATTTACATTTGGAAATCATAAAGATGGTCGTATGAGTACTAATACATCTTGGACTGTAGATGGAGAGGATATGGATGCAATTGTGTGCAACGTGTTCAAGCTGCTAGATGAATCCAAGAATTTGATCATTGAAGGCAAAGAGATTAATGACGATACCAACATTCGTGTCAACGACCATGCCGACAATGTTATGGCCCTGTCATATTACTCAAATCAAGTAAGTTGAAACGGAACGAGATGCTGATGATTTAATTGATTTCTTTAACAAGAAATAAGAGAACAAAGAAGTAGAGAATACATACATACATACATACAATTCACTCACTCACAATCTTCGTCTCCTTTGTTTTTATTTTTTATTTTATCTTTACATCAGATGGTTGATGTATTTTTACTCGACTCCTTTTTCTCTGTCGTCTATCTTTCGTTCAGTGAAGAGAATGTTAGTAAAGATGACTTGGTAGATCGCTTCAGATTCCTAGTCCAAATGCTTGAACGCGAATTTGTCTTGCAGTGGGATGTTGATCAGGTAAGGCTTTTTCTTGAACTTTGTGATAAAAGCAAAAAATCATAATATATATATATATATATATAGCAATTCAAGAATATATTCCAATCATATGAAGAACGTGGAATTATCCGTGAACTGTCTGATCAAGAAGGCCATTATGAGTTGCGCGTGAGAGTAGACGCAGATCCTACACGCTATGAGCAAATGATGTTTTTGGCATCTTTGGTCTATCCTACATTGGACGCATATTGGATCACGTCCTGCTCTTTGTCGGCTCTTGAAGCAGTACCTATGCTGCCTCGGTGCGTCGTGCCTCAACTGGCCCAGTGGATTGCTACTCACTTGATCAGTGGTCGACGAACCATCTATCGTGAAGTACTGTCCACCGAAACCAGTAGAACTGCGGTTGAGGTATTCCTGTCTCTTGGTTTCCTCAGCGAAGTCCAATCCAAGGAGAAGCTTTCTCCTGATGCTCAAATTCTTCTCCATGAATTGAGCATCCCAACCACCGAGACTTTGATCGAATTGACTGGGCAGAATAGCGAAGGTGGCAAGACGCCTGTGTCTCCTATTGATCCCGAAGGAATGATGGTACGTAAATTTGATGTAATTTTTTTTTTTGTATTTTATTTGATTATGCATTATTTGTGTCTGTGTCTGTATCTGAATTATTGCTATATATGTTTTCTTATTTGTACAGAAGGCAATGATGGCACAAATTCAGATGAACAGAGCCAATTCCAACATGGCTGATCTTTGTCAGCAAATTGATTCGTACCGCCTTGGGGCAGCATCTCAAAAGGAGAGTTTCCAGAATAACCAGGTGTTCCAGAAATGTCTAAAGCAGATCAACGGCATTCTGCAAGCCAGTACTAGCCTGGCTAAAAAGAGAAGAATCTCATTAAGTCAACAAGAAGAAGGACTTGTGCAGTTGGTATATGCCCTTCGTTCAAATGGTTCCGTTTCAGTCGATAGATCAGCAAACGGACGTGCTCTTCGACGCGTCTCAGAAGCATACAATCTTAAATAAGTTTTTACATATTTTTTTTACAACTAGTAGTAATTAACCTTACCCTCTTTCTCTCTCTCTCTCTCTCTATCAACCTTTCTGACTTGCAGACCTCTCAATATTTTGTTTCCTATCCCCCCACCCCCTTTCGTATATATTTATGTGTGTGTATAAAGAATCTCTTTCTCTTTTTAAATAATTTTTTTAAAGAAAAAAGTACAATATTTTTGGTATTTTTTTTTTAGGATCGTCTATATCGTGGGAATGAATACCATGGTCTTGATGTTGTTGGTTGTGAGGGAGATGTGTCTGATTCTATTTGTCTGCCTGCTTCTAATGCAGGTGCTGTTGTTGTTAATGGGGGTGGTGCACTCGCCATACGCGTAGGCAATTCAATGATAGTTTCTTGTGGTTGAGTAGCCCGTTGTATTTGTCGTCGCATGTTACGCGGCAAAGACCGCGCCATCCACGACCGGCTATATTCTTCAGCTCTGTCAGCCGAAATTGTGGGTCCAAATGAACGCGAAAAGGTTTGGTCTGTAGTGTTGATGCTGGTGGTATTATTAAAAGTATGGGCTCGTCGCGTGAAGAAATAAGAGTAAAACGTAGGGGGTTCGTACTGCAGAGGCGGCGGCGCGGGAGAAGATAACGAAGGAACGTCGTTGGAGCAATCGTGTTTGCATAGTGGACACGTAGCTGATTTGATAGTTAACCATGGATCTACCAAATATTAAATGAGTGAAAGAAAGAGGAATAAAGTTTAATTTCATTGTTGCTCAAAAGATAAAGAAAATAATATATTTATATATCTCAAATCTTACCTATACATTCACAATGATATTCATGGTGACATGGCAGCACACGTACGTTATCTCCTGGTTCAAATTCGTCCAAGCAAATAACGCAACCATTTTCTGGATCCCCTGCAGCCTCCTTGTTCTTCACATCCCCTTTTTGTTCTTTGTCTTCTTTTGTCATTCCGTCGGGTTTCTTTTCTTTTTCTTTTTTTGCTCCCCCTTCTTCAAATCCTGATTCTGATTCTGATCCTGATTCAGATTTGCTAACCTTTGGAACCACTTGTGCTTCTGTCACTCTTTCTGTGGTTGGCAATGGCCCAGATGTGGCCAGAACTTCTGCATTGGTCAGCGCAAATTTTGATCGAATAGAACGGGTGGACTTTGTCGAATACATGGACCGAATAGACCGAGCCGCTCTGGATGATTCTCCTGATTGGCGTCTTCCGGAAGTCGTTCCGGTAGGTCCAATCGTGCGAACAGGGAACAGATTTAGCTGGGAAGGGTCGATCAGATGTTTTTCGGCTGGTTGGTTCGGTTGGATTGTCAGAAGGCCAGCTTCGAACAATGCACGTTGACGCCGGCGTAACCGCCAAAGGTGCCAATGCATACCGACTATGAAAGATTATAAAGAAAGAAAGAGTTTGTTGGTAAACAAATATATATATATATATATATATATATATATATGAACACTTTCAGAGTACTATGCACAATCACACCTGTTTCTCAGTGGCTTTAAATATATATATATATATTGTTTACCTGAGGTTAAAAAGCTGAGGGCTAGCAATGCCACAACGACGATCAGTGTGAACTCCCATGCACTAGGAAATCCTCCAATTGAAGGATAAAGCACTACTTTTATGACTCTTTCGGAAGAAACTCCATCAGATCCGACCAAAACAGGCCCCACTTGTTGGAGTTTTTGGAGAAGTTCGAGTCCGACGTCAATATCAACATAGTAAACAGTGATGTGAAGATTGGCTACAGGAATACTCTATAGACTACAATTAGAAAAAGAAAAAGAAAGAAAAAAAAAGATACTGAAAAATCAAGTGACAAAGAACGAAATAAAATAAAATGAATATATAAATTAAATGTTGAATTGATTATACCATAATACCAGCATAAGGATCTTTTTCAAATGGAATGTTGTCATATAATATCATTGCCGATGCACCATTTGCTTGTACAAGAGCAGCCTTTTCTGCAAATGTACAGTTTCCTCTCAGTACAAGTGCAATCTTGGGTTGTGTTTGTAGTAATGAGGGTTGATTCGTATCATTCGAATTACACATGAGACCAGCATTATATAAGACACCCTAAAATTTACAAAATTCATTTATTAGTTTACACTTCTTCATTTGGTAAGAAAAATAAATAAATTATAATGCGTATTGGATCAGCTCTTACTTCTAATCCATTGCCATTGGGTATTGTAAGATTATAGTTTGGGACAATGTTCTGTTTGAAGTTCAGTGTTCCAAATGAGCTCTCTAGAGGCTCTATCGTACTACTATTCGAATACAATACAGCTGTAGCTATTACATCAAAGAAGACGGAGTGTGAGTTTGGGATTTATTTGTTTATTTTAAATATATATATTTAATGCCTTTTTGTACGAGTGAAAAACAATAATGTCTATATTTGTATATAATCTATGTACATGATATAGATATAGATATAGATATATTGTATTAATAAGCTAAGTACATATATCCATATATATATATATATGGATATAGTGTACTATCAATCTACCTATAGGTTTGTAAATTGTATACTTACTGGCAGATATATATGGGTTGCTTGAAGAGAACAATCCACAGTGTACACATGTAAAACACAGCGATAGTAGTAATAGTCGAATAATTATCATTACAAGAGAAAGAAATAATGCTAGCAAATCAACCAAAAAAAAATAAAAAATAAAGTAAAGAGAGGAAGAGAAAAAAGAATAAAAATAAGAAGAGGTTTTTAAATAATTAATTAAAAATAAAAAATAAATAAAAACCTTGGAATATTATTTTATATTTTTTTATTGTCATCTGTGTCTGTCTGTCTGTCTAAATACATCAACAGATACGCACATACGCACATACGCACATAAATGATATACAAACAATATACATAGTATATAGCAGGATAGTACTTGTTGATACAGTACAAGACATATTTAATGGGTAATTTGGTTCTTTTTATTTGATAATAAAGAAGTGCAAGTGGTATAGTACAAGTAGATAATATAGCATAGTTTAATAAGTAAGAGAGTTGGGAGTTGGGGGTTGGATGTGTTTGTTTGTTTGTTTGTTTTTTTTTGTTTGTTTGTTTGTATGGTCAAAATAAGTATTACATCTTCTTTGTTTAATAGATAAGTTAAGTTATGTTTACGACTTTTGCTTTCAGTCGATGGAATTTGCTGGCTTCTTTTCGTCCTTTCGGCTAGAAAGAGGTTCGTCTGGCTCACCTGTAGGCAAGACCTCGATATCCAGTTGAGATTCAGTTATATCTTTGGTTGGCACATCGACTTTACTGGTATCGGGTTCTTTTACTTCTTCTTTTTCTTCTTTGTCATCTTCCTGAACCTTGGAAGAGAATGCTGTAGGCTCGGAGGTCTTGTCACCAGAAACACTTTGGGATTCCTCCTCAACAACGACTTTTTGGACCGGAGTTTCTTGGACCTCTTTGGTGGCTACTACAGGCAAATATCGGTCAGGAAGATTCTCAGCATCGATAAGTGTGGTTAGGCCAGCAAAGATCTCGCTACTACAGAATTATATATGTATATATTTAGATTTATACACAAACATCGTACAAAGATAATAATAACCAGTTTAATAACAAGTCTCTTATTTTGGATTCAATAAACTTGTACTCACCTTGAGCATACTACGAATTTTTTTACAGTGGCCTCAGGCAAAAAGGGGCGAACCATCTGGAAAATCATACTTCCCCACCAGGGCACATTAACAAAGAATTTGGTTGACTATATATATATATATATACATAATTAAAAGAATAAGAAGAAAAAAGAGTCGACAATTCGTAAGAAAACAAAATAAACAAATCGTCAACTTGCATTGTACAAGTCAGCAAATATATTGACTTACCAGATATTCAGGGTAATTGTCCTGCATTATAGCGATGATCTCTTTGGTGGCTGCTTTTGCATTGGAAGAACGTCCGAACATCGAAGCCCCCTTGTAATCGTGGACCTGAAGCATCGAATCGACCTTAACAAGATCAATCGAACGTACACCTTTCTCCATCAACTGAACTCTCCAGCGAATAAATCTATAGACAATAGAAATAAAGAAAGAAAGAAAAAACAAAAAACAAAAAAACAATCAATTAATAAATTAATAAATTCAATTCAATTCAGTTTATCTTTGAAAGATATACAACATTATCAATAGTAATAATATATCAAGTCAATTCTTACGTGTCAGGATTAGCAAAGACCTTGTCTTGATCGATATCACCATAAAGGTTGTAGCAGACTGGGCGGCCTTCTCTATCATGCTTGTGCAAGTAACCGAGACTTCCATACACCTCTTGGTCAAAAGTCTCATCAAGGATATCGTCCGTCTTGAATTCTTTGCGCCACTTGAGAGTGTTGGTCAACATAGTGGCAGCGTTATCGACATTTAATTCTCTTATCAGAGCATAAAACTTTGTTATTATTATTTTTCTTTCTTTCTTTTTTTCTATGACTATTCAGAGAACTTAAAAATTCCTCGGATGTTGTACCTTGCACGGAGGAATTTACAAAGAAGTACATTGAGTCGTTCATCAGTCGAGGTGCTATCTAAGGGAACATTCCACAAGACATAAGGTTCTTCGGTATCGAGAGCCTCCTTGGTAATCTCTGGCAATTTAGCCTTGAGCTCATCAATAGCTTTGATTTCAGTAGGAAGCATGGCCTTTACAAATGAGTTTTCCATCTTCGTATAACGATGTACTAGAAGAAAGAGAAAGTTCAATAATATAGAGTTAAGAATGATTGGCGCGGAACTTGATATAATCTCTCCCTTTCTCTCTCTCTCTTTTGGTACAAAGGGAGATCCATTTAAGGACAAAAGTTCAGACACGTCAATTTTTTTTTCGGTTCGCGTACTATACGCGTCCGCTAAATTTTTTTTTTTGTTGGATGTTCACTTTCCTCGTTTTTTGTCAAGTCACAGCTTATGAATTTAGCTGGTGTAGTTAGCATCAAAAAAAAAGCTATAAAACTACCTTGCTTCAGTCAACTTTTTATTGTTGTTTAGCTCTTTATTCAAACACATACTCTTCTCTTCTATTCAACCATGTCTTCTGTATCCGAAAGCCTCTCCAAGCTCACCGTCAAGGAGCCCATGAAGCAGGTCGTCCCCTCAAAGAGAAGCAACACAACTGATGCCGAGGAGGAGATCTTGAAGGAAAACCCTCGTCGCTTCTGTCTCTTCCCTATCAAGTACCATGAGGCAAGTAATACAAAAATACCCTTTATTTTCTTTATACCTCAATTCAACCTCATTCGATGCCATTAGCCACCTTGCTAACTTATTTTTTTTGCCGATCTACAGATCTGGCAATTCTACAAGAAGGCAGAAGCCTCTTTCTGGACTGCTGAAGAAATTGACCTTTCCAAGGACCAGAATGACTGGGACAATAAGATGAATGCCGATGAGCGTTACTTCATCTCTCGTGTACTCGCATTCTTTGCCAGTTCCGATGGTATCGTTAACGAAAACTTGGTCCAAAACTTCTCCGATGAAGTTAAAATTGCCGAAGCAAAGTGTTTCTATGGTTTCCAAATCATGATCGAAAACATTCATGCTGAGACCTACAGTCTTTTGATTGATACTTACATCAAGGACCCTGTCGAGAAGGAGCTTTTGTTCGACGCGATGACACAAAGTAAGCACTAACGAAAGTACACTTATTGCTATACATATATATTCATGGTCGGAATCTTAACAAACGCGTTCTCTCTCTTTCTTTCTTTCCTTTTTATTAAGTTCCCTGTATTAAACGCAAGGCTGACTGGGCATTCCGTTGGTTGTCCGCCGATTGTCCCTTTGCTGAACGTCTTGTTGCCTTTGCTGCTGTCGAGGGAATCTTTTTCTCTGGTGCCTTTGCTTCTATCTTCTGGCTCAAGAAGCGTGGTCTCATGCCCGGCCTCACCTTCAGCAATGAATTGATTTGCCGTGATGAGGGTCTCCACACTGACTTTGCCTGCCTTCTTTTCGGTCACATCAAGAGACAGCCCTCTGCTGATCGTGTTAAGGAGATCATCACTGATGCCGTTGTTATTGAGCAAGAATTCCTCACAGATGCTCTTCCCTGCAACCTCATTGGCATGAACTCCAAGCTGATGTGCCAGTACATTGAGTTCGTTGCTGACCGTCTCATGGTCGCCCTTGGATTCGACAAGATCTACAACTCCACCAATCCCTTTGACTTCATGGACATGATTTCCCTTCAGGGCAAGACCAACTTCTTTGAGAAGCGTGTCTCTGATTACCAGCGCGCCGGTGTCATGAATACTTCTAGCGATGCCAAGGCCTTTACTCTTGATGCTGACTTTTAAGAATAAGAAGACAAAAGAAACCCGCCCACCCCCACACCCTCATCCACATCGTCTTTTCTATACACACCTACACACCCTCCCACATTCACACCAAAAAAAATAATCATCCATACATCCTTTTTCCCTTTTCTCCCTTTATGTAAATATATCTATACTTCATTCATTGCCATTTCAAGAATCATTGATTCAAGAAACCACCAAAAAAAAATACTACTTCCCACCTCGAACTACAGACCCTTCATAAAACAAATAATAAAAATTCTTTGTTTTGTTCATATTAATATTATTATTATTATTAAGCTATTGGCATTATATAAATATAAATATAAGTAGTCTGTTATTCAAATATGAGTAAGCAAAGCCTTTTAGTTTGTAAGAAGGACGGAGTAAGATAAATCCGATTAAACGAGTCCCGTTAGCATCCCCCCAAAAAAAAACCAATAGAAACATACCCATTTGCTTGTCACTGGTGTTATTTTTGTCTTTTGAAGAGATCAAATCTGATAAGATCAACTGTCGATTTTTTTTACACTATAATTTTAGCTTATTGTGATAAGAATAATAGTATTGTATATATATATGTACATTTACCTTCATAGGTTACTAAAAGTAGTTTGCTTGCATTTCAGCAAGAAACTATGGAACAATTTTTTAAAACCATAGATTAATATATTTCCCAAAAAGGCAAATATTTAAAGTACAATAGTTAATTGCCTTTGAAGCTGCTTATGCAATGTTGACAAAAAAATCGCGCAGACAGCTTAGATATGTGTCGTTGACTAAATGATCAAAAAAAATGAACAGAATAGAAAAGAAAAGAAAAGAAAAAAAAAGAATCAGGAACGAATGTTGTTCCGTCATTTGTGTCAGAATTCACCATCATATACCCCCAGACACTTCTGGTTTGTAGGAATGCCAATAAAAACCATGGTAACCAGTTATTCGGATTTTGCAGTACTACTATTAGGCACTTTGGTGAGACTATAAAAGACATTTAGATTCCGATTTACTAAATACGAATTTATACAAGGGGTTTCTCAAGCACCCGCCAAGGTCCTAAAAGTTGGCGTTGAAATCCAAATAAAGATTAGTGAATGTTTTCTAATTTAGCCAATTTTGTTGGCGAAGGTTGCTACTTTAGAAAACTCTCGTCAATCCGAAAAAAGGAAACCACCGCCAAAATTGAGGACCTTTAGGGTGCTTAAGAAGGCCCTTCAAAATAAAATTCGGATTTTGATACATATCTTTAAAATTACTGCAACAAAATGTTTATACATTAGGGTAAAGAGAAATAAACAGTATGCGTTTTTAAAGTGTGCATTAATCAACACGTGAAGAATAGTGACTATGATATTTCTCACTAAAGTTTATTATTCTTGACATAGTAGACTCTTTCTTCTGTTTATGCTTCGATTGTAGTTACTTAAAAAGGTGTCTACTAATGATAAAAATGTAATATGTCTTAATAAAATTCAAACGGTTTTATGTGATTTAACTTTTTCTTATTGTATTCTAGCCAACTACACAAATTTTGATCATTAAGGCACCTATCGATAAAGCGGTCAAACCATAATATATTCAAGCAACAGTCAGACTAGTAGATATTGTAAACAATATGGCTACCTATACATATTTTATCAACAAACCATTCTTTATGGAGGTTTTCTTGTCTCTGGTTGAAAGACAAGTACGCGACGGCATAAAAAGTGGAAATGGAAAATCAAAAATGAAAGACGAAACACTTCGATATCGTGATTTTATTATGAAGCACAAAGAAGCGTGTTGTGAACATGCTGGATATGTACCTCCAAAGCTAACTCACGCTAAACAATCCGCCGATTATGAATCTACCAGGATACCTACCGCCTATATAAACAACATAAAAGCACACTTTGGTAATCGACTCCACCAGGTCCTGAATTTAATCTGTGATAAAAAGAAGAAAGCAAAAGAACTTGAGTGAAAAATGAAAGATGCAAGATATACCAAAGAATGCAACAAAGGGAGTAATTCGAAATAGCGGGACTATTCCATGTGCGAATATCAAAACATCAATAGCCAGAAAACAGTTACCAAGGGGTGATTTTTTAGATGAAAATCAAAGGTCTTTGGTGGCAAGTATTTTGGCGATATATCCTGAAAGCTATACACTTTTAAAGAGCTCGATATATTATGATGTTCAAGCAATTCCTTTAAATCATATGAAAGCCTTCTGCAAACTTGGCCAGCTATTGAAACCATTGCCATTTGATAAGAAGTAAAACACTCATAAGTCATTTGTTGTTTTTCCAATACGTACATCGTTCATTACTGCCTACATTACCGTCGATTCATTGATAATGGACTATCATATACTCGGCTTCGAGTCATTCAAAGAAGAAAAATCGGCTATTTGGGATAAAATTCTAAATATAAAATACAGGGCACTTAAGAAACAAAAGGTTGACAAATCTTTATTTTTTCAAGAGATGATGCTAACCAATGGTGTTAGTGTTACTATTTTGAAGCAAAATTTTGAATCTGGACGCTGTCAAAAAACGGATGCTGCTGTTACATCTGGAGAATCCAGCACCAATACAGGTCGGAAGATTAAAAGAACAAAAACAATTAATGAAGATAGCTTTACGTACGTTGAAGACCTGACAACAGAACAGCTTAAAAGAACAAAAGGCAGATGTGTGCTCATAGATCCAGAACGTTAGGATATTTTATATTGTATGAAAGAAACAATTACGATAAACAATTCTCAATTATTTCGATTTACAAAAAATCAAAGAAACAAGAAATCACGACGGTTAAGGTTTTTAACAAACAATTTGAAGCCAGAGTCTATCCAAGTTAGCAGAACGTCAATTTCCTGAATTCCCTTGTAAAACACTTAATTATAAACAGTTTGTTCGATATCTAGAAGCAAGACGATAAGCTGAAACACAATTGAAAGGGTACTATTCGAATGGAACTTTGGAAGAAAAATTTGTGTATTACCCTGATCCTTTGGATTTCGTAGTTGAAAAAACAGGGGACATTTATTACGGAAAGCATTTAATGTTCATTAAGCGTCTTCGCGATGCCCGTCCTGGAATTGCTAAGCTTGATGCTTATATCTACTATCTCACTCTCCTTCTGTCAACTAAGCATATTGCCCGAAGACTAGCAAGTCAAGTCATTGGCAACTATAACAATATTATTGAAGATACAACTATCTAGTTAAAGAAAGAGCAACTATCAGAAGGAGTCAATGCCAAACAAGTTCAAGTTAAGCAGGGACCGCATGTTATAGTACCAAAGCTCCTCGTTTTACCGTTTCGTCAAATGAAATTTATATCAAATATAAACTATGACAGGTGCGATTCGAGGTTGGCAGAGGATCTGAGAATTTTTTTTGAAAAGGATCCAGTTTTCGTCTTTGGGGACTGGTCCGCCCCAAATGTGAAGTTCCAAGAGCCATCAAGGAATAAAGACATATTGAAGTATCTGGAGAAAAGCCGTTTCTCTATTTATATGATCAATGAATATAAGACGTCGAGTTGCTGTTCCATTTGCCCAACAGGTGAGATGGAGAACTTTAAAAAAAATGCCAATCCTCGACCACTTCAAAGAGAAAAATTTCCCAATGTACTATGCCATGGTCTATTAAGGTAATAATGGAAATCAGATAAGGGTACAGCATACATAGTTGATTACTTCTTTTAGATGTAAAAATAAAGCCTGTTTAGTCAATGGGAAAGGAAGGCTTTTTAACAGAGATACAGCAGCAGCTATAAATTTTCGTTTAATATTAAATTCTTTGAGGGAAGAAGATCGAAGACCGCCAAGATTTATTAGAACATCAAAGGTGCTCTTCAGCGGTCTCGGTATAATTCAAAATTATGTGATAAAGAAAAGTTTTATCTAAATATAGTAATTATACACCAAAAAATCATGAATTACTTTCCGAAAATTGTTAATTCTACCAAGTAGTTTTACGCGCGAATTTGCAGGGGAAACTACTCGGTATAACTCAAAGCAGCGCTAAAATAATAAAACAACTTTAAACTACGGTTTTGGTAAAACGTCTTCTAGAAATTTCATTTTTTATGCTCTACTCTTTTCACTCCTTTTTACTTTTAAAATATTCAAAATAAACAACAATACCTTTGCTTACTATCTGCAATTAACTTTAGTAAAGATAAAATTATGCTCAATATTATAGACTTCTTAAAAAAAAGAAACTTCTATGCAAATATTACAAGAACAAAGATAAAAGATATATAAAGAGATTTATTAAAGAAAGCCACCAAAAATGAATAGCTATTTTAGCAGGCTGCAATTAGTCCTATCATTCCTAATTATATCAGCGTTTTTTCAATATAATTTTACCAAGTAGTTTCCCAAAGTTTTTCACCAATCAAATCATATAATTAGCATCAAATTTTGGAACAAAATCTATGGCTGTGTAGCATGATTACTATAAAAAGCAGTCTCTCTACTTTATTTGTAATTTCCCGTTTTTTTCTTATAATCAAAATAATTATACCGAGATCGCTGAAGAGCACCTTCAAGGGGAGTATTCAAGTAATCACAATTTTTTTCCCTTTATCTTAATCTTGGGAACTTGAGACGGCGGGTGTAATTGGAGACCATCGCCATTTGGAAGAGAAAAGCAGCGACATTAGGAGATTGAAAGTGGTAGAAGGAGAGAGAAAAATAAAAAAAGTAAATAGTAGTTGGCAGTAAAGAAGCCAGCAACTCGACTCTAGACACTATACAGCTTGAAAGCTTTTCCTAATAATAAAGTCTCTTACTAGTCACTTTGCCCCCACTCAAGTACTCTGTTGCAGACACGTGTATTCAAAATTGCAAATGATTGGCTCATGTCAAAATAAAAAAAAGGATGGCGTTACAAAGTGTGTGGCCCAAAGGCCATAACTTGCGCCTTAAAAAAAGAACGCGTCTCAAAATGTGTGGCCCAAAGATTATAACGCGTTTTAAAAAAAAGAAACACTCTCACGGTATTATTTTTCTTCTTTGCGCTTTTTCATTAGTTTACTCCAATGTACAGCAACACCAGCAGCAGCAGCATCAGCAGCATCAGCAGCATCAGCACCCGAAAAAAAGTGTCCTTCAACGGCTTGTTTGTGTTTGGCCCAAAGGCCATTCACAAGCATGTCCCAAAGCTGTTGAGACACACATTTCTGGTTAGATTAGCTAAAACTAATCTAGCCAAAGTTTTTGATCGAAAGATCAAAAAAGTGAAAATGATTGGTAAGTCATGTCTCTATATAATAGTAGATAAACAATATAATATTAATCAATAATATACATATAGCACCAGACCTGCCCAAGGGGCTTAAGCGACGATTGGAGAAAGAAAATGAGCTGGAGCACAAAGCTACAGCTCATTTTATCAAGCAAAAGAAAATGAGAATAGAAGAAGAAGTACGAAGAAGAAGGGATATAGACCCAAGAGAAGCAGAAAGAAGAAGAAAAGCAGAAAGAAGATATGTAGAAGCAGTAAGAAGAAGAGAAGCAGAAAGAAGAAGAAGAGAAGCAGAAAGAAGAGACGAAGAAAGAAGAAGAGAAGAAGAAAGAAGAAGAGAAGAAGAAAGAAGAAGAGAGATAGAAAGAAGAAGAGATGAAGAAGATGATGATTATGAAGAAGAAAGTGATGAAGAAGAAGAAAGTGATGATGAAGAAGAAGAAAGTGAAGAAGAAGAAGAAAGTGAAGAAGAAGAAAGTGATGAAGAAGAAGAAAGTGAAGAAGAAGAAGAAAGTGAAGAAGAAGAAAGTGAAGAAGAAGAAGAAGATGATGATGAAGAAGAAAGTGAAGAAGAAGAAGACGAGGATGACGGTGATTATGAAGAAGATAATGATGATGAAGAAGAAGAAGAAGAAGATGATGATGAAGATGAAGAAGAAGAAGATGGTGATGATGATGAAGATGAAGAAGAAGAAGATGGTGATGATGACGGAGAAGATGATGACGAAGAAGAAGATGGTGATGATGACGAAGAAGAAGATAATGAAGAAGAAAAAGAAGAAGAAGAAGACGAGGATGACGGTGATTATGAAGAAGACGATGATGATGATGAAGAAGAAGATGAAGAAGAAGATGAAGACGAAGATGATGATGATGATGATGATTATGAAGAAGAAGATGAAGAAGAATATAGTGAAGATGAAGAATATGAAGATGATTATGAAGAATAAGGCGAGGAGTTGGCAACAGGAAGCAACAGAAGCAACATACTAACATACTAACAAGCAACAGACACTAACAAGCAACGGGAACTAACAAGCAACGGGAACTAACCTTACTCACAACTAACTACAAACAATTAACTTTTTGAACAACTAACATTATGAACAACTAACATTACTAACAACTAACTTTACTAGCAAAATCCGGATCAGAGTCATAGCTAGAGTTAGAATTAGAGTCATAGCTAAAGCTAGAATAAGAGTTATAGCTAGAGTTACAATTAGTTATAAGCATAGCCAAAAAAAATCAACTCTTATATATTTTAACCAAAATGTGTTATTATATATATTAGGAGCTTTGCTCCCCCCTCCCCTCGGGGGGAGGGGCCATTGGCCTATAAAGTTCTATATGAATTTTCCTACTGTTAATTGTGTACGGCACACAATTACCAAGTAGTATAGGCCTTATATTTTATTTTATTAAGAAACAAGTAAGTTAGAGAATACGTGACAAAAGTTATAAGTTGTATGACATGATCTCTAACTTCATCCTGTTTTTCTCATTAGACTAGGAACTTTGCTCCCCCCTCCCCTCGGGGGGAGGGGCCATTGGCCTATAAAGTTCTATATGACTTTTTCCTACTGTTAATTGTGTGCCGTACACAATTACCAAGTAGTATAGGCCTTATATTTTATTTTAATGAAAAACAAGTAAGTTAAAGAATACGTGACGAAAGTTATAAGCTGTATGACATGATCTCTAACTTCATCCTGTTTTTCTAATTAGATAAAATAAAATGAGCTGCTGGGAGCATCGCTTTTAGCTAAAGGTCTAAATGCGGGATAAAAGTCGAAATAAAAGCGAATGCTGGAAATGTTGTTATATTATATTGCTCGTTTTTTTTATCATTATGATTACTATCATTATTGCGAAAGTAAGAAACCCCTAAAAAAGTCTGAGGGTGCCCGGAGCCCAGAGACATGTTGTGATGATTATACAAAAGAAACCATGTACATCCGACAATCATCTGAGATTAGCATTAAAGAATATTATCGTTTGTAAGACAAACAGTAATTGACCATCTTTTTTTTGTCTTTCAAGTAATTCGGTAGTAGGTTTGGGTATTACATCTCTTAGACTAGCCTGAACTAAAAGATGGTAACAACAATTGTTACGATGGGACTGAGACTCATGTCAATTGAGTAGATGACAAATTAAGAAACATAGTTTAGTGTGATAGCTCAGGATTCACAATGCGGTATGTAACAATGGGACTGCCTGAGTGATAAGTAAGAAACCACTGATAAGAGGTGCACGTACATTGATTATATATATGCATGTGTATATATCTTATTATTATTTTGACTCTCTTTAATAAAGCAATGCTCTCACGCTCTCTACTTTTCCATTTTTGAAATACTAACCCTAATATTTATCGTGAATACCTCAGCAAGGAGGATTTCTGGCATACTCTTTCTGAGGCTGCTATTTCATTAATACACTGTTTCATTAGAAGCAAAAGTGTATTATAGACAAGATCTTTACTTATACATAAACTAGAGAAAACGTAGGCTTTTCTACATGTATCTTCCTTGTAAGATGACCTTTAAATGATACAGATTCTATAAAATTAGCTTTTTCCTTGGTATTGTACCATTACACATACCCTCAGCCCTATTTTACGGTGGAAAGATAATGAGAACGGAACAAAAGAGAAAAGAAAGTTCATTTTCTGACAATAGGATTGCTGTCATTATGTCGACTGTTCTTGTTCTGTTTTGGATGTTAAAGTATAGAGCTTGAAAAAATCATCTTTCTTGTTCTTTAGAGCCTTGATATTTTTTTAATCGGATCAAGACTCCATTATCGACTCCATTGACAAATAATTAGTTAATACCATGTATATGATGCTAGCTTAGACAAACTAGTACTTACTTAAATATATGTGTTATCCTATTCATCGGATCATCTTTAAGCGCCAGGGTCATTTTTAGTTGCTCTGGAACATTTTTTGTTGAAATTGGCATAAATTATGAAAAAAAAAATAGCGTGAATTACCTTGGAATAAAAGTAAAAAAGAGTAGAAGTCTGGATGATGTTATTAGTAAAGTTCGTAGGGACAATATTTTCAAAAGTGCCCTATGTTATCCCCTTTTTCTTTTTTTTTGTTAAAAAAAAGTATACGGTGTGTCCAAGGTCCCTAGTAAGAGTAAGTGGGATAATTTGAGATTTTATATAAAAGTACCATGAATACATACCCACTGAGAACCACTTACTTAAATGTCTAAATGTTTAAATAATTGACGCTGCATCGGGTGCTTATTATATTCTATTTTATTGTATTTTCGGTGCGAGCATATATAAACTCTATGTGGACAATATACTATGACAGAGCATGTATCCAATTATGCCAAGGTGGGTACGCTAAGAAAATGCGAACAGATCTATGAAAACATTTTACTATTACTGCTTTTGAACAGATGGCAGGAAAAGAATCCCCGAAAGGCAAGGTAAATTAGGCGAAAGAATCCTATGCCTGAGAAATAAAAGACTCTAATAAACACACACACACACACACACAATGTTGTTAGCTGGCTGGTACCGAGCTACACAGATATTTTCAATAAAGAGTTAATTATTTGTTTATTATTTCAAAAACCAAGACTTTTGATACCGTGGTTAGAAAACTATATAAGCCATAAATTTGAAATATAATAGCAAACTATATTCTGGTGTAGATTTTTTTAAGCTAAAATAATATTTTTTTATATAGAGATAGTGTACATAATTTATTAACAACAAAAATATTATTATTATTGTATTATTAATATTGATAATGATATCATTATTATTACTACTATTACTACTACTTCTACTACTACTAGTAGTGTGGTGTTAAAAAGGTAAAAAAGTCTCTGTACAATGAATTGTCTAAAATAATACTAATAATACTAATAATAAAAGGTAGAGCGACAAGGTGAATCTTTATCGGTTATCAGATGTCTCAACCTGAAGTAACAATTCCCTGGGTGCATCGAATCGAGGCATGACGATTTCCAAGAAATGGATACGATCCTTTTGTTCGGAAACCAGTGTCATGGCGGCTTCAAACTCCTTTCTTGTCGATAGTTTGGCCTGAACTCCAACCTTTGACTGCTTGGGCTTACTGGTATTGACAGGCAGATCTGCACCAAAGTAGTCCAGGGTCTTGGCATACTTCCACATCTGGAAGTTGTTGTAGTCTCGGTCAGGACCGTGGATGAGCTTTTCGATCAGATAGCCGTCATTGTTGAGCAGGAAAATGACAGGTGTGAGGCCCTGGTGCAACATTGCCGAGACTTCCTGGACCGTCATCTGGAACGAGCCGTCGCCGACAAACAGATAGACACGGCGAGACCGGTCAGCCATGGCCGCACCATAAGCTGCACCGACTGAGTAGCCAATCGATCCCCAGAGGACTTGGGTGATAAAGGAAGCACCCTTTGGTGCATTCATGTTAAAGACACCAAACTCGGATGTTCCGGTCTCTGCGACGACAATTGCATTGGTATCCATGAAGTCTGGAACCTTGTTCCAGAAGTAGTTGTGTGTGATTTCCTGGCTGTCGTGCTTGATGTCCTGAGGTCTTGGAACAGGTGGGTAGGTACGAGATGGGTACTGTGGAAGTTCCTTGATGAGCAAAGGAAGCAGCTCAGACATGCCGACCTTTTCATAAGTGGCACGGTAGACATTGGTGGCAAAGGTGTGGAAGGCGATGATCTTGCTTCTGTCAACCTTGTATGTAAAGCCACCGGTGTTGAAATCAGACTGGACAGAACCGACTTCGAGAATGAGGTCCGAGTCCTGGACTTCCTTGTGGACCTCGGCTAAAGAAACAGACCCACAGTAGCAGCCTCGGTAATAGTCTGCAGTGTCGTCGACTGCACCTTTACCCATGGGCGACACAAAGGTTGGGAATTTGGACTTTTCACAGAGCTCCTTGACAACACCCGTGAGCTGGTTGCGAAGAGCACATGCATCGACAAGAATTATAGGGTTCTTTGCTTTCTTTATGGCCTCCAGAACGACCTGTAGACAGTCGTTTTGTGTGTTTCGGGGGTTCTTGGGCAAAGAAGTGTCGAGTGGGCTGACTGGTTCGGACAATTCAATCTCAAATTTGACGAGATCGATGGGTAGTCCGATATAGGCTTCATTTTTTATTTAAATAATAAAAAATAAATATGTAAATGGATAAATTAGATGATTATATCATTATTATCTATACTGTTTTTTTGTCTGATTTGTACCAAACTGGATGTATTCCTTTATTTATATAAAAATATTTACCTGCTCTTCTTGAACGCATCATTGCAATCAATACATTGTCAATTTCTGACAAGGCATTCTTTTTGTCTAGCTGGGTGCTTGCGACTGTGATCTTTGCAAACATTTCCAAAAAGACATTAAAGTTTCCGTTTCCAAGCGAATGATGCAAGATAGCACCGCTAGATTGAGCCTTGGTGTTTGGTGTACCGACAATATGAACAACTGGAACCATTTCAGAATAAGATCCGGCTGTACCATTAGCAGCCGACATTTCACCTACGCCAAAGGTTGTCACAACAGCCTACAAGTAAAATACAAGAAATTAAGCATATAGAATTGCTTTGATTTTATTTTTCTGTTACATACACCAGCTCCTTTGATACGCGCATAGCCATCTGCGGCATAAGCAGCGTTTAATTCGTTTGCATCGTTGGCCCATGTGAGTTGACCGTCGTCTTCAATAAGATCCAGAAAAGGCTATAATAAAGATAATACAAGAATATGGATATTAGTGAGTGACTAAGAATGATGCATTGTTTATAAAGGTGATTTCTAGTAGAATCCTCTTTTCTTTTGTGATTCTGACTAACCATATTGTAGTCTCCTGGACATCCAAAGATGGTGTCGATGCCAATATCCTTGAGACGGTTGAGGAGGTATTGACCAATAGTAATTTTGTAGGTTGACATTTTGTTTGGATTGTGTGTAAAAGAAAAGCAAAGAAGTACTAAAGATTAAATGATTATGATTATTTTATATAAGAAATAAAAACGTCAAATTTTAATGCATTTTTAATCTACTTGTACTCAGTGATTAGACTCAGCCAAACGGGTTCAATGACGCTCAGCATGTGTAAGGCTTGTATCTATTATGTGTTTATTTGACATGTAATCTACATCATTATAGCTCAGAATATTATATATATTTATAAATTATATTGTATTGTATTGTATTGTATGTCTTTCTTCTTATCGATGATTAAATATTATTATCATTTTAGTATAAAAATTAATCAATAAATTAATAATAACAATAGCTGTCTATATAGATTCAACTCACAATGCTATTTTAAATAGGCGCACAATATTCCAAGCATTTTCTACTTTTTTTTTTTTAAAAAAAATAAATAGTTGACGTCATTACCAACCTTTATCATCTTGATTTCTCTCTCTATATTGTTCTTATCGTTTACCCTCATCATTCGGATCCTTAATAATTCTCCTTCTTTATTCCTAATATCTAATATATATATATAAATAAATAAATAAAAGAGCCATTGACTTGAACAGGCCTGTGTGTATAAATGTATGAATAAAGTGCGTGCATGTAGGGTGTCTGTGCGTGTGTGTAAAGTGTGTGAGAGTAAAATGTGTGTGTGAATAAAATGTGTGTATGTAATTTCTGAATTTTATTCTTTTGGTACATTTTGCCTCTCTTCATCCAACATCAAATAAACATAAAAATCAAATCAAATGACACCAGAACAGAAAGCTACATTCGAGGCATTTTCAAAGTATGATTTCGACAATGATACCAGATTCCAGGTAAAAAATAAAAAAAAGAGAGACAGAAAATTATATATATATAGAAGGAGATCGAGATTATGGTGAATGACAATAAACCTTTGAGAATGAGGAATTGAATGTCATTATTATTTTGTGATATTTCAAGGGTTAAAAACGTGCAAATATATATATATATATATTTGTGTGTGTGTGTAGTATGCAGTATTTAATATATAATATTAATAAGAAATAAAAATAAAAATAAAAATAAAAATACAAATACAAATGTATGTTTTTCTTTGTGTGTGAATTTGTATGTATATTATGTATGTATTATACATAGTCAGGTGTGTCTTCATTGATGAATCGTTACAAGAAAGAGTCGATCGATTCTGATGATATTTTGGAGCGAGCCCAATGGTTTTATTACACAAAGTAAGAAGAAATCATTTCGAATTGGAGACGAAGTAAAGGATTTCATAGTAGTAATCATATAAAGTACATAGGTTTGTCGAGCCATTTGATCTAGATGCCTTTAGAGAATGGAAAGGCAAGTGGACAAGCAATGGATGATCTATCTTTGGAATGCTAGTAACAAATGAATGAATTGCTAAGTGCTTTGTTTTTACAGCAAAGAAAGAGGCTGATGTTGACCAGGAGCAAAAACGCTTTACGTTTCAAGAGTTGGTGGAAATGATTGAAACAGGAAAGGAAATCCCAGGTGAGAAATAAAGAGAGAGAAATAATGTCAAATGTGTGATCATATTTAATAATAATATATAAATAAATAATAAGGCATCAAACAAATCCCAAACACTCTTAATGAGGGTACACCCAGTCAACCGAAATTAAACGTGCGTCGTAAACCATGGGAATCAGTTACAGAATAATTGACTAATTGACCAATTGACCAATTGATCGATTAATGGTCTGTAATTAATAAAAAATGCATTTTTAGTTTAAAAATCGGCAAATATTTCCAGCAATGCCATTTTGGTTTGGTTGTAACAAAAGTGTATGTATATTGGTTGATTGGTTGATTGATTATATAATAAATAAATAAATAAATAAGTAAGTAATGATGGTATACTATGTGATATTTGATTTCCTTCTTTCTGCCTCTCTATTAAGACACATATATAAGATATTCCGTCTCATTTGGTTTCAAAAAGAGAAAGTGTTCTTTAAATGCCCATCTGATGATGGTCGCACGAATCATCTGGGGTAACTGGCAGAGAATAGGAGAACTTTGGATTGACAGGTGCTCTACAGGGTAGTTGATGGAGTAAAAGGGGCAGCTGAGGGCGTTTTGCTGACAGGGGTTGTGGAGAGGGACGGCTGAGGAAATGGGAGGATAGAGGAGACTGGACAAATGTGTATTCTTTCTTGGGTGACAATAGTACTTGTTGCTGAGACTGCCAGCCCCAGAGACTGTTCTGTAAACGGCCAATGGACGATTTGAGGATCCAGTTGGTGCAGTCCAAGGTGATACTAGAGGTAATTTCGATGGCAAGCAGAGTGAACCTGAGGATGAGAAACGAGGATGTCAGGGTGCTTGTGATCACTGCCAATATGGCAAGTGAAGTTATCACCGCCAGAATGATTGGTGTTGCGAATACACACATAATAGTAGTCGTAGCTGCAGCGAATGTCATTTTATTTATATTTATTTAATTAATTGATTAACTGATTAGCTAATAAAGAAGAAGAAGAAGAAGAAGAATCAAGTCTTGAGAAGAAAAAAGGAACCTCTTTATATATATATATTTAGATTTATATTCTTTTTTAGCTCTTTAAGCATGTGATATCTTTAATTGCTTTCCTTTGGTTATGTGCTGTGTATCGCACACAAAGATGGAAAGAAAGAAAAATCCAAAACTAAAATATAACCCATGGTTTAGATGCCGCAAAAGTGGGGTATTCCTGTGCTTTGGCGTCACACATCATGACGCTTCATGATCAAAAAAGGCTTCATATCTCTCTCTTTATTATTTCTCTGTACTCCACCCCCCTTATTTTATTTTTATTTTTTTATGTATATAAAATATAAAATAAACATAAAATGAACCAATTATTTGTCCATGAATATAATCAAGTATATTTTAAGTTGTAATAATTGTCAATTACATTTACAACCAGAAGCAGTCTGCCCAACGTACAACATGCACAGTGTTTTCACTTGACTAGTAGTCAACTAACCAACTATATATACTTTTATAATCATTAACCAACCTGACACTCTCTTTATCCTAAAATATTTAGTCACAACTAATTATTAATACCTTTCAAAAGCCTCACAGACTCTTCTTTACCCAACCACCCTCTCTCTCTTGTTTGCGCATGATCATTAACCGGCTACTAAAGGTTGGTTTTTAAAGAAACAAACTTTCTAACCAGCTACTACTAGATTTTATGACTAGGCATCTTAAGATTCGAATCAATATTACAGTTATTCATTCCCTCCAGAATATATATATATATATATATATATATATATTGGATCTTATTTTATAATTATGATTGTAATAGTGATTGTAATTAGTATTAGTATTGGATCCATATTTGACCAATCTTGCATATTCAATGCAAGGGGGGGAAGAATAATAAGAGGGAAAAAAGGGAAAAAAAATAAAGTCAATAGAAATAATGGAAACAGATAAAGATAAGGGAATTTTACTCGGATATATTATTGCCTATTTAATCTTATATACACATACATGAATACATGCATACATGCATATTATTATCTATTTACACATCATTAATTTTAGACTACTAGTGTTATTGAATAACAAATAGCAATTAAATATAATGTGGGTGGGTGGGTTGTGGTAAATGGTATCAGATATAAGCTTCACAGACCAATTCAATGAAACACATTGTTTAGAGAAAAGATGATTGTATTCATTCATTGAGAGAATGAAAGAGATAGATCTAAAACACAATTCAAATCACACCATTCATCACCATCATCATCAACTTTTGTAAAAAAAAAAAAGGAGTTATTAATGTTGTATACTTTCAGACTTCAATCATGTTGATCTCTGACAATGATTATGTAAACATGAAATTGTACAAGTTTTTTTTTAGAAAAAAAAAAGTCTCTGGATTGATTTGAACTTTGAGAAAGTATTGTTCTTTCCTTGTATTGATTCAATTAAGAATTTGTTAATGGCAACAATGTAGAGTGATGAACTAGAGAAAAAGCAAAAACTAGATATAATAACAGCTATTAAAATGGATGCAGAAATGGCCTGGCCAGTTTTATTTTATATATAAATTGCCTATTAAAGAAAAATGAACAAAAAAAAAAAAAGAGAAAGAATAAGAATAAGAATAAGGGACAGACCAGTGGCCCCTATTGTATCCAGATGTAGTAATCAGGCATTTCCAAAAGTTCGTATTCTTCCTACATTATTACAAGTACCAAAAATCATATATCATATATTTATATTCTAAAGACCCTTTTCATTCTTCTAATCTCACAATCTAATGAGACTACTGAAAGGTGATTAATATTAATACATCTGTATTGTATTGTGCTGTATTGATGCCCTGTAATTATCCCCTCATTGGTCTGCTACTCCTATTAAACAATGTCCATAGGCCATTTAGTCTTTCATTCTATATATTTATTTTCATTAAATAAATATACATAGTTTGAACAAGATACAAAATAATCGTGTGCTTAGCGTGTAAAACACTGTATTTATATGTTCTCCGATACCATATGTTGCATCTCCGATATTTAATATATAAATATATAAAACATATTTCCCATTTTGTGTTATTCTTTTTTTTTTTCTTCTTCTTCTTTTCCATTTTACTGCTTCTTTACTTTTCGATACCTACACACACCAAACACCACACATTATAACAATGACTTGTCTTTTCAATTATCAAATCAAAGATATCAAGCGGAATGAGTGGAATCTGGAAGAGCTGAGGGGAAAGGTACAAAAACAACAACAACAACAATAGTAATAAAAATGAAATAACAATTCTATACATACAATAGGTTGTCTTGTTCGTCAATGTGGCATCAAAGTGTAGTTTCACGAAACAATACGATTCTTTGGAGAATATCTATAATACATACAAACACAGAGGACTAGTAGTGGTTGGCTGTCCCTGTAATCAATTTGCAAATCAAGGTAAAAAAAATACTAACAATAATTTTTACATATAAAATTGTAGATAGCTACTCGATCTGCTCTTCACTTTTTATATATATAAATAAAAGAAAAAAATTCAGCATTTACTTTACTTTTCTTTACTAATTAATGCTTATTGACGTTTTGTATGTACATGTACATGCATAATTCTCTTTTAATAAACTAATCACTTTAGAGCCAGGAACGGAAGAAGGTATAGACATATACATATAATATATTCATATAATTGAAGAAGGAATATTAACTTACTTTTGTCACAGAAATCCACACCTTCTGCAGACTCACTTACAATGTCTCATTTCCACTGACCTCAAAAATGTATGATTTTATTTCTCCAAAAACGAAAAAAAAAAAAAAACACGAAAACAAAATATGGGACCTGGACCTCTGGGGTGATTTATGTTTCTCAGGCCCATGAAATATATATATATATACTTTAACTCTAATCCTTTTATATCTATATATAACATAAATAGTGAAGTAAATGGTAAAGGCGAACATCCAGTCTACCGATTCCTAAAGGATTCACAACCGGGATTTTTAGGGTGAGTTCAAATATACATTTGTTTATATATATATATATATATATAACTTACAGTTTTTTAAACTTATTTGTAGATTGAGACGAGTCAAATGGAATTTTGAGGTAAAGATAATACAACACCTATTCGCTTATCATAAATGTACACATATGTACTAGGTCTCTAATCAATATAAAATATATCATATAGAAATTTCTTATCAATCGCGAAGGCAAGGTCGTCAAACGATTCTTTACATTCACAGATCCAAAGTCAATTACCAACGAAATCGAAAAATGTCTATGAGTAAATGAAACACCCTGCCACCCTGCGTCCTGTACCCTACACTCTACACTCTACACTCTACACATTATTTACACACATTACACATCTTGTAATTATATATTTATTTATATATTTATTTAATCATTTAAAATAGTATTACTTTTGTTCATTCTATCCTATATTATCCACTCACTCACTCACTCACTCAAAAAAAAACAAATATAATTTAATACACACAGAAAAAGGGAGATATTTCTTACTCTCAAAATAATATACTTCTTCTTTTTTTTTTTGACAGCAAAGCTAATCTTATTCTATTCATTTTCGAGTATGTGACACATAGTGTGTACTCGTGTTGTTTAAATCCAGACAATATATATTCTTGCAACACTTTGGACAAATAGAGTAACTTCCGTCATCTTCATGTACGATATTCATATACACAGCACATGGATCTCAATACTATATATACACACTGATTTAGTTAGTAGTAGTTTGTATCAAGGGAGTAAAAAAAAAGATCCATGCATACATATAAGAAGACAGAGAAAAAAAGAGAAGTCCAATTCGGTACTGAAATCTAAAAAGTATTAAACCATTTGTATTATACAAACACGCTCATTCACACTTTCACACTTTCACACTTTCGTACATTTGTAGCTTACAAGATAGGCTAGTCACTTGTAATACTAATATTAATTAACAACTAATATATGAAGAACAAAATAATATATAAAGTAAGATGAGAAAGAAGGTGGGGAGGATTATCTGGGGGATCGCAATCGTGTTTCATGAAATCGATGCTTGTAGCAGAAACAGTCGCCATAGAAACAACAATATTATAAGATAATTATGGCAAAATAAAAAAAAATAAAAAAAAATTTCTATAACGATTAACTTTTATTATTATTATTTTGGGAACTTTTTTCTTTAAATATATAAAAATAAAAAATTAGCAAAAAAAAAAGTCTAAATAACCTACTCAAGGCCGAAGCACGCCAAGCATATTCCATATGCACAAACGCTCTGATCGCTACACTGAATAATGAATAGGAATAAATAAGAGTACAAATAATACAAAATAAAAATAAAAAGAATAATAAGAATAATAAGAACAAGAAGGGAAGATATAACCCTAAATTACCAGAATTGTTTGGCTGGCTACCTAAAAACAAGTGCTTTTGTGAACTTTTTTTCTTTTTTGGTTTTAACTTTGGTGGTCTATGCCTTGACTTTACTTTCCACAAAAGGAGAAAACAATAAAGAAAGAAACGAAAAGAAAGAGAAAGAGAGAGATAAAATAGGTAACAAACGATTGTGGCGAGGTTTCTTGTTTCAAATATACAAAAATAAAAATAACGTTGATAATGCACTGTACAACACAATAGAAAAAAAATACTTACACACGTACACGAACATAAACCCTACACCCATGCAAAAAAAAATACCCACACAGAGATAGAAATATTAAATTGGTTACTATTTGCTGAGCCAGTTCTTTAGTGTATTTATCGAAAGAGTAAATACTGCGCAAACCCCATAAAATAAATGGTCTGTGCATGAAACCACATGCAAAGAAACTATATCTATAGTAGCACTGAAGAAGAAGAGGAGAAGAGGAGAGAGAGAAAATAAAAGGGTTCGATATATGACCATTTCTTTTTCAAAAAATAAAGCAATATGTGCATATGAGAACCACATAATACATGCATTAATTCATTCATATATATATATCCATCATGCATTTGTTCAATAAGTACTAATAGCTGTAGTTTCAGTAATTATAATTACCAAAAAAAAATTAGCAAAACAGCAACCACAGAAAAAAGGCTCAGCAAATGATGAGTATAACTGTCCCTAGTTTTGTTTTACATTCTGGTGTTCAGCATCGAGCCTTTCGATCCGATCTGCACCAAGCTTGGGCCTTTTTTTTTATTATGCAATCATTTGTCCTTTCTAACTTCTTTGGAGATTTTACTAATTGCGCACTAATTTCTAACTTCTACAACCCCGTAAAATCCACTTATCCGTCGAGCCTTTTTTAATAATAATAATAATAATAATAATAATAATAATGAAAATGAAAATAAAAGGAAGACTTCCATTCTTCCTTTATTTTTTCAATATATACTTGATAGAAGTAGACTATTTTATCTTATCCTTGTTCTCTTGGAATCAATAAATGAATAAAAGGATGTATTTTGTTTTCTTGTATTGTGTTATGATCATACGATAGATCCCGGAAATCCAGAGAAGGAAGCCTCCGTAATCAACGTGCTGTCATTACCAGTCTTAGTTTTCCAGAAGAAAAAGAAGAAGTAAAAATAAAATACAGCAATAAGAAGCGGTGGATTAAAGCCTCTCACCAAGATAAACAACAACGACAAAGTAAATGAACAACAACAGTAATAAAAATGTTCAATATAGCATGTTATTCATCTTGTTTCGCTTAATTGCCTCGAATATATTACTTCCTCTCCTTTCTTTCTTTCTTTCTTTCTTTCTTTCTTTCTTTTTTTCTTCACTGTGGTCTTTCTCTTGAACAGATGTTTTTCCCCTCTTTGCATACACACACATACACTTTTTGTTGCACAATTCACAGACTCTGCTGATAATTTCCGATCTCCTCTACAGTTACACTCGATTGAAGGGATCGAGAATCACCAGATAAAAAAAACAATAACCCAGCTCAAAGCACAAAACACAAAGCACAAAAGAAAAAAAAAGAAAAACGCTCCTCCATCGGTCAACTGTCCATTTTACATGCTTATTAGCCAAATTGCGCCCATTGTCTTTTTTTTGTGCTTCTTCTTTTTCTCGTGTCTTTCCGCCAAATAAAATCCATATTATGTAGTTACCCAGTACAAAACCAAGGAGATGGAGAGAGGAAGGTAGAACGGGAAAGATGAAAGTGGCAAAAGAAAGAAAGAAAGAGAGACGGTTTAAGCATGCATTATTTGCTTGATATTATTAATGGTGACCTTCAGTATACTTAGCAAACTCATCCAAAGTAGAATGGCTTTTCAATCTGGACATGGAAATATCAACTCAAAAAAGCAACCAACTTCTCAAAGATTCAAGTGCTAATAGTTACTTTTAAAATGTTCTCTAAAATTTGCATGTTATAAAATAATTGAAAGAGAAAATGGCTTTTAGGAGAACACCATTATTACCAACAGTTTTATTATTTGTCCATTTTATTAATCAAAAGTGCATTGGAATATATTTCAGCGCTGTAACCAAGCATTAGTTTTAATTGTCTGTCTACTCACAGCACACAAATATAAATTTTATATATCTAAGCTCCAAAAGTAACCATGTTGAATTGATTTGAAATAAGTTCACTCGCTTTTTTTTTCTTAATTAATCCACAGCTTTAAACCTTTGGATTATGTTCAAAATGAAGAGGTCAATGTATCGTGTGTTAAATATATATATATAAGCATATCTGCGACAGCTTAACGAATGAGAGAGATTTGTTTGTGTATTAGACATACAAAGAAAAAGAAAGAAAGAAAGAAAAGACAGAAAAAAGAGCAAGGTATAAGGTGTAAATATAATACTTATACTATACTATTTTTCCTAGGTATGTGCAATTGATTGTTGCTTTGTCAAATATCTGGCTTTCTTTTTTAAAATCATGCAAAATTCTTTATATGAAATAGGCTCTTCGCTCTCGCTCCTATATATATATATATATATATATATATATATATATATATTATAAAAATAAATAAACGACAAGGCAAAAATATATAATCACTAGAGATGCTTGATATAAAGCTTACTTTACACGACGTTTTTTGTTAGAGCTATTACTAAAAATGGTAGAGATTTGATATTCGTCTTCAGGTGCTGAGTGGAAATCAGAATCTGAATCCTCCAAAGACTCTTCATGAATTTTACTTTGATCATTCTCTGTATCCCAATCATGACAGTCTTCATAAGCAGAGCTACAAGTACTGTCTGCTGGGCTTTGGGATCGATTACGCTAAGAAAAATAAAAATAAGGAATATGGGTGAGAAAATAATGGTAGAATAATAATAATAATAATAATAATTCATCCTTATCAATATAACACACACACACACATAAAAGTACAAAAGATACTGACCAACTCATGAGCTTTTGTGAGGGTTTTTCGCAATTCTGCTCGGGTCGCCACCCATCTGTTTCTCATAAAGAATTGAGCACACCAATAATCTTTGCACTGATCTATATGAATATTCAACGATCTTCCATAGTTCTCCAAATCGATGTATGCTTGCTTTTGTAAATCAGTCGGCACGATTTTCCAACCCCCAGGATAATCAGGCGCTAGATTCATATTACGTATCAATCTTTTTACAAGACTCTGAGCGCACCTCCTAATGTCGTGATAGTTTGATTTGGCTCCATTAGTGCTATTGGGCCATGCTTTTTCCATGAATAGCTGTACTTTTGCAGGGTTCAGTCTAAGCACACTACTTCCACATATCTCGGGTATTCCGATAGATCGGTAACGATCCAAAGAAATGCCTCTTTTGCGCTTTCTGGGTACTTGCTCTTGTTCTACCCGGCTTGGTGGATTTACTCTGGTTACTTGCTTTGGTCTTCTTCCTCGCTTTGCTTGTTCCATTTGATTATTTTGCTTTGACTCTATTCCTCGCTTTGGCGGTTCCATTTGATTATTTTGCTTTGGCTCCGTTCCTCGCTTTGCTGGTTCCATTTGATTGTTTTGTTTTGGCTCTGTTCCTCGCTTTGACGGTTCCATTTGATTATTTTGTTTTGGCTTTCTTCCTCGCTTTGCTGGTTCCATTTGATTGTTTTGTTTTGGCTCTGTTCCTTGCTTTTCTGGTTCCATTTGATTGTTTTTCTTTGGCTCTGTTTCTTGCTTTGCTGGTACTATTTGATTATTTTGCCTTGGCTTTCTTCCTCGCTTTGCTGGTTCTATTGGATTATCTTGTTTTGTTTCTGTTCCTTGCTTTTCTGGTTCTATTGGACTATTCTGCTTTGGTTCTGTTCCTTGCTTTGCTGGTTCTATTTGATTGTTTTGCCTTGGTTTTCTTCCTCGCCTTCCCGGTTTTAGTTGTGTTGCTTGCGTTTCTTGGGGTTTTTGCAATTTCTGTAATTCTTGTTTATTTTGCGACTTTTCTGCCAGCAATCTTTGGTTATAACTTCTTGTCTGCATTCGTAGGTTTATTAGTGTATCCTGCAGTATGGGTCCTTTGTCGCCTTTTTCCTCTTTATTTTCTTGCTTTTGTAATATTTCTCTAGATCGTGTACTTTCTACCAGCGCTGGTGCGTTTGATAACGGTGGTGTAGATAAGGTTGACTGTTCTGAAGAGGTTTGTTGGTCTTCCGATATCTGTGTCTGTTGAGTTTCTCGTGGGATTCGGACTTCTGAGATAGTCGAGGGCTCTTGTGCCATTGAAGATTCTGTAGAAGCTGTCGAGATTTCTGGAGTTATTGGAACATTCGGAATTACTATTGCATATGGAAACGGAGTATTTTCAGCCTTTTGCTTTATTTCCATGGATATTTCATTTTCTGGTGCTGTGTATGATTTTGATACAAAAGTTGTTTCTTCTGGCAAAGTTTTTGGGGTTTGGGTTGGCAAAAAAGTATTTATTGGTTCTAATCCAAGTGAATGACTGATTCTCGTTAACAATTCAAAAATTTGCTCTTGTCTTTTTTCCATTGAATCCATCTGGGCTTGGATGTCATCCAGATTCCTTGACATTGTTACAACGCGTAAAAAAACAAAAACAAAAACAGAAATGAAGATATATATTCAAAATATTAAACAGACCAATTAAAAAAAAGGGGGGTAAAATATGAAGAATAATCTTGTAAGGGGTGAATAGATAGAGGCGAACAAAAAATTGGTTCGACAAGTCTGGAGAAAGGCGAATGATCTTTTGTTTCCCGGGCCGACAAAAAAAAGCACCCGCTAAATACACCACTCCACATAGTTGAACGTTGGTTCTTATTTTTCATGTTTCAAAGGAAATCAGATTTCAAGGGCATCCGTACAGACAATATAGAATAGGAATATAATGAATGTGAATATGTGAATAATGTTTATTTGTTGGAATATTTTGGATATTTATATGTTTTTGAGATAAAATCTGCCAAGTAGTTAGTATTACTAAGTAATATATTACTAACTGTTTCTTTATCGTTGCTTGGTATAATAGACATTGCCTTATCAACGTTCTTAATAAGCCATGACTTATAATCGAATACTATTGCAACTGAGTGTGGAGAACATCCTGTTCTTGACAATATACGTGTTAACTTCCTTTCTGTCCCATAATCCGGTCCGTAAGGTTACCTTATAATCGACTGCTTACAGAATTGCATCAATAAAATGCCAAATTCCAAGGATCCAACTTGTCACTATTAAATATGAAACACCGTATTAGTAGCAGATGTTGGATAATAACATTATGATCTACTACCACCTCAAGGTCACTCTTCCATATAAATATGGTCTTTGTTCACTTGATTTGTAAAATCCACCAAGGCTCAGAGTCGACCGAGTAGGTTGATCGTACGCGGAAGCGATAATACTCGACTGAGAGATATTTGCCTCACACTCTAGAATATATGTATTCGATTAGGATGAATATAAAGTCAAATAAGGTACTTTTTACATTAACCCTAAAGTTGCCTTCGCCTTGCCTGTAAAAACTAACGGTTTCCAATTGAAACTGGTCACAGACAGTGGATTTGTGCACTTTGTGACATGCTTGCTAGGGAGCGAGAATTTAGCACACGTTACAGGACTATATTCCAATAAACACTTTTGGAGTCATTATAAAGTTAGTGAAAACAAGGTTTCTATAAAATGAGAGACAACATCCCATATATAGCATTATAAACAGTCAAAGCTATACAACCACTTTTTACGAAAACAATAATTATTTTAAAAGAGTATTTTACTTCTTTACTTCTATTTCCTTTTCCTTTTCTCTTATCAAAAAAACACTACACTTATTGATAAAGCGAGCTATGAGACTGTTTGTACCCTTTCCATAGTCCAAGCCGGAATGGTGGTAAATCCACTAATGGTAGTTATTGTCAATTGGATAAGGATACTTAAATCGAGCTTCAGTTAAAATAGACAAGCATGCCCGAGAAAATGAGCTGCTGCAAATTCACAATAGTACGTTGGCTTTCTGAAAGCGCAGAGCTGGCTTGGAAGCGAGAGATCAATCCTTTCAAAATGAGATATACTCTTTCAAAGGGATGTGTTTACTCTTATGAGTCATTTATCGATTGGAAAGTCTGATGGCGAGCATTAGACAATACTTTACGAAATTCCTCGACTCCCCCGTCTCCGAGAACAGTATCAATAAGGTAGCTGTATTTCAATGTTATTTTATTTTAATAAAGAAAATTGTGGAAAATAAAGAAATTAAAATATGAAAGAAAAAATCAATAACACCATAATAGAATTTTAGGGAGCAAATAAACCTAAATTTGCCTGAGTAAATATACAGCTTTAAAATTGTTTAGTGTAAGACAAAAGCATTAAGCTAATGGAATACCAAAGCATTATTCTGGGTACGCTAAGAGTGCCTTTAGCAGCCATATTAAAGTATACACACACCACGTTCACCGTGGTTACATGTATAGCATGGTTGATAAGTTTACTACGTTATGAAAGCATTTCTCGGGGTTTTTTTAAGATGCTATAACCTTTGGATTTAACATTGTTGGGAAAGAACAGCTATCTTTCAACTGTTACATTTGCCTTTGGTTTGAGCCTTTGCTCGGAAAGGGACTCTCCCACTCCTCGGTACTTACAATAAAGTTGATTCTTTTTCTCTCAAAATAAACGACCAAAGAAATACCTGTTTAACAGCACCTTTTCATAGATTGACTAACACGAGTGTAAATCGCTCGTTATATTCAGGAAAAATTCTGGGACTCACCTGCAATTTGTTTTATTGTTGCACTTTGTAAACTATCATAATACTCTCGGTATTCTAGGTTGATATTTCTCCTAGGCTTTTAGATGACTAAGGCATTAATTTTGTCATATGTGTAAGATTACATTGTCACATTCAATACGTGATTGCCTCAAAGATTACAAATAGATAACAAGTGCACCGATTGGGGTACTCTTGTTGGTACAGAATGTTTCTCAGGTGATTGCTTCGAGAAATGATTCAGGCAAACAAAGAGAGCAACATCATAAATCAAGTATTTCAAAAATAATCGCCGTACAGCATTTTTTTTTATTCTTTTTGCCTCTACAGTTTCAGTACCGGGTGTTTATTTCTGAAATGAATGTCATCAAGATGCCTAGGTTATAAGGATCGACTTAATCTTCCAGGTCCATCGTCCCATTTCCTTATTCATCCACAATAATTCCTTATCAATCTTCATAAAAAAAAGGTAGTACTCATCTGAATGTAAAGAAATAAAAAAAGAAACCCAAAAGTATAAACAAAAATTGAATATAATTAAAACGAATTTTGGATTGCCCAAAAACGAACATTGGTCGGAGACCAAACCGAATTTAATTCTGAGGAAAACGAGTAGTTGGGGGAGGGGGTAGAACCTTTGTAAATTCAAAAACTTTGATATTTATCCTTGATTACACTATATAAGCATTCTTTATAAATGCATTTATTTATATATGGAGAAGTGGAGATATATATGAATAAAGGTTCAATTTAATAAAATTGTATTAAAAATAAAAGCATGAATATACATATAACATATAACAGTATATTTCAATTGGCTCTACCTTTTATGCTTTCTTTTGTAAGATCAAATACTCATTGTGTGGTGTGACGGTTATGTGCATCAAGGCCAAAAAGGACAAATTCATACACACACACACATATGTAGTTACTTTCGCAGCACCAAGTGGTTTACAGTGGCCAGACCTTTTTCTTTCTTTCTTTCTTTCTTTTTTTCTTCTTTTTTAAGCATCCAATCTTTTTACCCAATCTAAGTTTTCTTTTTTTTTTAAAGAAATAAAGAAAAAAAAAAGCATACACACAACCACAATTACAAATCCTAAAACAGCAGCAGCACTAATAACAGCAGTAGCAGCAACAACAATCACATAATCAACGACTCAATGGATTCTTCTTACAGAGGACGTGGGCGTGGCGGTAGAGGCGGTCGTGGTCGAGGAAATTCGACCCAGAATGATTATTACAATGACGCGTATTCAGATAACCACTCGCAAGGGCCAATCACATCGCGCTTAGGCCCTATACATGGAAATTCCCATGATGATGGCTACCGAAACAATAATCAGCGTGGTGGACGTCAATATGATGGAAACAATACTCGTCAATACGATGGAAATAATAGTCGCCAGTATGATGGAAAAAGTGGACGTCAATACGATGGAAATAATAGTCGCCAGTACGATGGAAACAGTGGACGTCAGTACGATGGAAATAGTGGACGTCAGTACGATGGAAATAGTGGACGTCAATACGATGGAAATAATAATCGCCAGTACGATGGAAACAGTGGACGTCAATACGACAGAAATAGTGGACGTCAATATGACAGATCCGATGGAGGCGGAAACCAGAATGACAGAGGTCATTACCAAGGAAATTCCGGAAACAATCGCCCAAGAGGAGGAGGGGGACTTGGAGGAGGAGGAGGAAACTACCAAACGTTTGGGTCGGGCATGTCAATACGTGGTCGGGGAGGAAGCCAACAGCAACCTCGGTTTAAAAGAGAATTTATAGATAACGACATCCAGATGGATACCCAAGCATCAATGTAAGGGAGCTAAGGATAAATAAGAGAAGACTTTCCGTCATAACGGGTCGGTTTTTTTGTGTCTTAATGAAATTTTCTACTCTTAATGCTCTAATTTAAATAGTGCACCAGGAAAGGCGGCCGTCAAAGTAAGATGAATACATGTAGAAAATTAATTAAATATATAAATATATATATATGGTGAATCATATCGTCCTTGAGACTTATTTCTGAAATAGATATCTAATTATCCACCCGGCTCTGAAAATCAATTACTTTCTTTTCTTCAACGCAAAGCAAAATTTCAATGGGAACCGGAGGAGGTAATTACAGGATTATTGCTATTAACAAGAATAAGATACTCTTTGATATATATATTTTCTAGGATTTTACAAAAAAAATGATTTAACTTAATTTATTCTGTTTTGTAACTCTTTAAGGTTTTTTACGAGAATGATGGTATGGTCGTAGTACTTGAAAATGAAGGATTGGCCAATTCGCTATGTCGCTTGAACAATTATGAATACAGACAAATGCCGGTAAATTCAGGAATTTTAAGCCTGTTGTGCAATATATATATATTACAATTGTGTTAATAATTTCTATGTATTACGTATACACTATTTTATAGATTTCAATCCAACGATTTCATGAAAACAGCTCTCAGGGGGGTGTGCACGGAGCAAGACCAATTAATAACAACCCAAGAGCTCCCAGATCCCGATCGAACGCACTCGATGAGCTACTTAAAGAAAGATGGGATCCTTCATCTGGATTTCTCAATCTTGACGAGTTACCCAAATCAAGATATCCTGTTAGTCTTGTCATTAGTCGACTCTTGGCTGCAGCCCAAGAACTTTTTGGCGACGCAGTAAGTAACAGCAGGATTTTTATTGTTATTATTCTAGTATTTCAAAAATGAAAATAAAGGTAGAGTATAATTTGACGCCAATATACTTCTTGTATATACATATATATTTCTTTTACTTTTTTGTTGTATTTAGGTAGTAACAATTTCATTTGCAAGAAATGAACTTTGGTCCGTATCACCAATCAACAGATTACCAGAGTTTTTCCCCAATATTCTGAACCTGTCACTTCAAGACAACGATATTGCTGAATTCAAAAGTCTCAGAAGTCTTAGTTCTCGATTGAATCGATTGACCGAATTACTACTTATTGGAAATCCAATTCAATATAATAATGACTGGGAAACATATTCAAGGTAAATATTATCATTATTTTAGAGCAATAATGACAATGATTTTTATTGCTTTATCATAGAGGTGTTCAACAAATTTTCCCAAGTGTGAAAATTTTGGACCAGAGACCTATTTCTGGCGATCAAATAAATCCAACACATCTAAACCAACAACACCAGATGGTGCTTCCCACTCAATTATCACAACAATTCCCACCCAGACCAAGTTTCTTTGACCAAGACTCTTCAAAGCAAGCCACGGAAGACTTTATGTCAAAGTAAGTTTACAAACAAACAAACAAACAAAAAACGAATAATTTAAGCTTACAATATATTTTCCAATACACACAAACAAAAACTTTTTTTTTAAAAAAAAAAGGTATTTTCCATTGTTCGATTCAAATCGTGCGGCATTGGTGGATTTGTACGATGCACAGGCCACGTTTTCTCTCAATTTTAGTCGTACATCGTGCGCCCATGAAAGATGGGGTCTAGGTAAAGAAAAAGAAAATTCTGTAGAATACAAGAACAAAAAAGGAAGAAACTGTAATATTCCAACAAAAGAAAAAAAAATTGACTGGTTACTATAGTTGGTGGTAGGAAACAAACCTTGTTTACCAATGAAGAGATCATCAAGAAATTTATCACCTTGCCACCCACAATCCACAGTGGTGTGCAGATCGGTAGCTTTATTACAGACGCATGGCAGGTTTCTATTTCTTCACCTGCCCATCCTCTTTTACTCTTTATCACTATTCACGGTGATGTCCGGGAAGGTTTGTCTAGATAGATAGATATTATAACAAAATTCGCTTTAAATTATAACCTAATCTTAACTTTAATTTTTTTTTGTCATTATTAAATATCATGTTATCTATCGATTAATGTGTATCTAGCAACCGGTTTAAATGGTCCTCGTCATATATTTGAGCGAACTTTTCTTATTGCACCTGCGCCAATAAACTCAAAGTAAGTCAAGCAAGGCAAATGAGAATATATCCATACTTACATTTTATTTTTATTAGAGCACACGCGGCTGGTTGGCAGTACATCGTTATTACGGATTCATTGATTCTTCGTGATTATACAGAAAACATTCTCAACCAACCTCCACATTAAATCCCATTTAGATCCATATATCTATCGGGTGCCTCTAGTTTGATCCAATACTTTTCCCTATTAGCTAATAAACTTTATTTTGCATCATTATCTGGATTTTCTATATATATATAAAGTGGTAAACTTCAAATCGGTCTGTTAGAATCTTATACTTCATATTATTCTTTATGTTATATACAATTTTTTTGTTTTTAGATAAATGTAACAATTCAAAGAATATACGTAGATATACATGTATATTGGAATACAAGTTTTTATTAGTAGTTGGTATGTTAATGATGTTATACGGACTGGTATCTAATGTAATCAGGAAAAAAAGCGTAAAGAAGAAAAATATTGTAGAAAAAGGAACTGTCTACAAATTTATCAAAGCTCTTGTTTTTGGTTCTAGTTTGTAAAGAATGTTGGATGAGGTTTGGAATTGTATATTCTTCCATCAGAAGGTTGAGCCAAGGAATATAAAAGACGCCCATAATTGAATTAAGTATCAATTTAGTCCAAAGAGGAAGAGCAAGAAAGGTTAGAAGGCTGTCTATGGTTGTAGAGAAATTTCAAAACCAATAAAAAAAAAGTGATTAAGAGACTGGGACCAGTTATGAAACGTATTATCCAAATGTTGGGATTCAATCAGTTAAAGGTCAGGAAACAGAAATAAAGGATAAAAAAATGGAGGGGAAGACTCATGGATCATCATATATTAAGTGGAATTACAGCATAAATGAAATCAGAGGACGAGCCAGATCCAGGAGGAATAAGCCAAACGCAGCTGAATCATACTCTGTTAAATATTGGGATCTAAGCTACTAAGTTTACCAAAACGGTACTAAAGGTAGGCTTTTGTAGATTTGATGAAGGATCATACAATACTGAGAGAAAAAAAATGGAACATATTCAAGAATGTCTTTTGCTCAAATATATAGAGAGAGTATAAATGTCCTTTGGGTAAGCTAGTAAGATAATTTTCTTTTATAAGGTAGTCTAAAGATTTTGAACAAATTGTACCCATTAACCCTTTACACTATCAATTTACTTCACTAAAAATATTCTTCTACAAATCCTGGACTGATAGTAACAACTCTATATATATATTATGAAAAAGGTTGAAAGAGAGCAAAAGAGAAAAAGAAAAGATCAAAACCAAGACCCGACGTCACTCCACTTCATGACGTTTCACCATTTATATATATATATAAAGGGCACATACAAATATTTGTATAGTTTGGTGTATATTTAATGTATTTCTATTGTCTTACAAGAACTTCTTGTTCAAGTACCAATATTTAGATAAAGAAAGAAAGAAAAATCAAAGAACTATCTAAGGCCCACAATACACAGAAACATCTATATATTACTATTATTATTATATTAAGAATACATTCTCCTTTCAATATCTACCTAACCTTTTTTGCCCTTATTATTACTCTTACGATACTATATATATATATATATATATATATATATATATATATCAATTAAAAGAACAAACAAAAGGCAAGTAAAAGAAGCTGACAAAATAAAACTAAACATTTTCATTAGTTAAAGCCATTCACATCAACACTGTGCTCATTCGACTTTTTTTTCTTCTTTCTTTCTTCAATTCTATACGCATTACACACTACAACACACACACACACACACACACACACACACACACGCATTATAACGTACAAAACCAAACCAAACCAAACCAAATCAATTATTCTTTTTCTTGTTTCTGGTCGATATTACGAATACAAAAATTCTAGGGTCCTGACGACAATTCACCCAAAGAACAAAAAAAATCCTATCACTCTCTCTCTCCCTCTCTCTCTCATTGCGTTTTCTGTTATTTTTTTTTATTTTAATTATTATTATTACTATTATTACCTTCACTCGCGTACAGTACGTAAATGGGCACGACGAAAAGTCGTAAATCAAGGCGGAATACCTCTAGACCAACTGCCATCTCATTCTTGTCTGCCATCACTCTTGGAAGCGAACACGAAAAACAAAACAATGAACCAAATCACTCTAGTGCAATCGTTGAGTCAAAAGCACCAGGCGATGATGAAGACACGATTATTTCACCTGTCTCGACTCATCCATCAGAAATACGAGGTACATAGATTAATTTATATATATATATTGTTGCTGTTCTTCTTCTTCTTGTCGTTTTGTTATGGTACAAATACACACACACACATATATATATCTATCTATATATATATTATATGTATCATTATTTACTGTAATCATCAGCTTTGTCTCTTCACTCGACCGACAGCAGCTCGACATTTGAAAGCCAGCGTCAAGTACATAACCTCACTCTGGACACCACAGCCAGTCGCGATACAACAATCCCTCCACCCCTTATAACGCCAATTACTGGGACAACGAGCCAATCGTTGGACTCTCAGCTACCACCCACCTCAACCGACAACAAGAGCAAAAAAAGAGGCCAACCCACCAAACATGAGTCTTATCACAGTACACAAACCAGATATTCTCAAAGTGATCTTTCTGAATCTGTCGAACACCACAAACTCACCCGTGAAGACAGCAAACGTCCCATTGCATCCGAGAAGATCAAGAAACGATCGACCCAGCCAAACGACAAGGACGTAAGAGAAAGAATATTTTATTTAGACATGATAGCGATAGCGATAGCGATTATAGAAATAGTAATAGTGATATTTAAATATTTGGATTCTGGATTTTGGATTTTGTACATCAATAATATATATACATATATTTATACAACACATATTTATATACATACATAAATATATATATATATTTATTTCTTTATATTTGTACGAAACAAAAACAAAAATCCCAAAATACACACACACACACACATATATACATACATATGTACATACATATGTACATGTCATTCACAGCCCGAACAAAATGGCATGAACATTCTCTCTGTCTTCCGATATTACAGTGATAAGATTCGTCATTCAACAAGCAAAAGAAAGCCCGAAGAAGATGGAGCTGACCGTGGCTATGTGTATGGATCTATAATCTCCAAAAAGATTAATTTTGTTTATTTTATTATAATTGTTGTTGTTGCTGCTGCTGCTGTTGGTGCTGCTGTCGGTGTTGGCATTGTTTTTATTGCTGAACATTAACCCTTTTATTTATATATCTAGACATCAGCAACAACTTACTAGCAATGATAGCTACTCTCGTCGTAAAAAGCATTCCTATGCACATTTCCTACAACCAGCCAACTCACTCAAGTAAAAAAGAAAAACAAATTTCCCTCAAAAAAGACATACACAGATTAAGCATAATTATATATTTATGCTTATTTTTATATGTATATTATGCATATGCATATGCGTATGCATACTTGAATGTAGCTGTGCCAGATAAAGATTACTCATACCACTTGCGTGTGTGTGTATTTTAGAGACGATGAGACTATTGAATCCAATATTGGACCTGATGATTATGATCCATTCTATCTCGACAATGATCTCTATGGATCCTTTGGGGTTATTTTTGGGTCATCAGTAAGTAATATATGTGTACTTATTCGCTGTCAGTCTAACCTAACACGACATTTATTACTTGTACTTTTATCTTCTTATTTCTCTTGTAGACTACGCCGTTGTCTTTACGCCCAGCTGAATTGAAGCGAGAAACAAACGAACAGTTTCGTTTAGCTCATCCAGAAATCAATCCAGAGATTACTCTCAGCAAAATCCGTTCTATCAAATCTCATTTGTTGACTATTGGACGTGGTTTGGATCTGGAGGTCTCAAGCATATCACATGCCTATGTTTACTTCGAGAAACTTGTATTAAAGGTAATAACAACTAATTACATATATATTATGATTAACTGTTTTTTTTTCTGAAAATGCTTTTTCTTGTAGAATGTCGCAACCAAAAAGAATCGAAAATTGCTAGCTGGTAATTTACTAACAATTGCATACAGAGAAAGATAGAAAAAAGAAAGATAGAAAAGCACTTATATATATATACTAAACATTATTATTAGCGTGTTGCCTTTTTCTAGCTACCAAAGCCAATGAGCCAAAGGGTGCCTGGCTTCAACCTTTGCTAGACGTGAGTAATATATTGGAATAATTAGAACCCTAATTAAAAACACATTATTGAATATTAATATTGATATTAATGTTTGTGTGTGTCTGTGTATACAATTCAGGCTATCGACGATGAGTTAAACATCGACTCTGAAGAAATCAAGAAACATGAGTTTGCAGTGTTTGCAGATCTTGAATTCAACCTTTTTATTCCTCGCCGTGAATTTATGCCTCACTTTGAAAGAATATTTAAAATTCTAGGTAAATATTTCTCTTTCTCTCTGTGTGTATGTGTTGTACAGTTATATATTTTTTGGCTTTTGAAAGAAGTTCCTTTTCTTTCTTTCTTTCCCTCTTAATTTATTAATGATATTTGTAGAATACAAGAGTATAAGAGATTATCTTGGAGACGAGCCGTTTTATGAAGTGGACTATCAATAATAACAATAATAATAATCTTAGTAGTAGTAGTAGTAGTAATAATAATAAAATAGAAAAGGTGAAGATTTTTTTTTCAAATTTCATCATTTCCACATTTAGCGCCAATAAAATCATCAGTGATAAGGCATTTTTCGCTCGACAACGGGTTCTCTAATTATTATTATTACTAAAGTCCCTACTTACTTATTTATCAATCACACGCACACATATCTTAAGGTCAAGTCAAGCCACACAAAAACCAATTGAATATGAGTACATGTTTCTAAAGAACAATGATGGTTGGACTTAGTCAATGTTTGGCAAACTCAGCCAAGCAATGTTTTGAACAATAGCGTAGCCCACACACACAAATACAGAGAGGGAAATGCATATATTTTCGCACATTTTATGTTGTTTTGTTTTGATTGAATGATGAATTTTTTATGAATGTTGTATATATATATATTTTAAAAAATAAAAAAAAAGTATGGATGTTTATAATAATATTTTAAACTATGGGTGTCAGGGGTTGGAGAACGTCGAAGGAACCAGTACCACCTTCAACAACTCTACCAACAACCACACGAGATGATGGGTTGTCTAAGGTGTCAAAGTCACCATGGAGTGTAGCCTCGGTCAAGAATTTACAGGTAGATTCGAAACTCATCTTGAGGAAAGGAGCAGTGTTGGAACCAATACCGATACGACTGAAAGGCTTGAATCCACCCTCAAAGGTCATGTAATCTGCGATGACAGTCAAGTGACGACGATCAACCTTAATACCGTACACACCGAACACACTGGCAACCTCCTTGATGATCGAGTTTCTAGCGGCCTCAACACCATATGTGCGTAAAATGGCAGCAATGTCGTTGGTGTCGATCTCATTGATCTCAAACAAATCACTGTGAGCCCACATGCCTCTCAGGTTTACACCCTCGGTTTGCAGACGCTTCTGGGTGTCGTTTTCGGTGGGGTTGGCATACTCGAAACAACGGTCGATACCCTTAATTTCGTGAACAATGACACGTCCACAGGCCTTCTCGACCAAGTTGACCATCAGGATCTTCTTGGTGTCGGCAGGGAAAGTCATGTCAATCTCACACCAAGCACCATTGACATCATCAAAGGACCAGCGCTTGACGTAGGCAGATCTGGACAATGCAAGGTCCTCCAATTCCTCGTCATTGAATCTAGATCTGATGGGCTGTTGCTTTTGGGGCTTCTCGTCCTCTACATCGCCAGCCTTGGCTACTTCCTCCAATTCAGCTTCCTCATTTTCCAGAGCAGTCACGGTCTTCATGTCCTCCACATCTTCCTCATCAGGACCATCATATGTAGCCTGCTGCTTAGTCTTCTGGAGCATGCTTTGGTTGGTGGCATCGCCATCACCGTTGTCAGACTCATAGCCAGCGGTGGCATTAACACTGTCATCAGCATTAGAGTCTTCTCCCTTGTCGTGGACCATCTTGCTACCCTTGGAGATATCTTCCTTGACGGCCTTGCGGGCTCCCTTGATATCTCTTCTAATCAACTCTTCCAAATCCTTCAAGAAAGTAGTAGCCAAGACTTCCTTAACACGGGATGCCTGGACACGGTACTCCTCGAGGTATTCCTGTTCACTGAAAAGGTTGAGGCGGATAGAGTACACCTTTGAGCGGCGGTAACCGTTTTCGGCTGACTTTGCAGAGGTTGCCTCAGTAACTGACACGTCGTCGACGATCTGGGACAAGGTGAGCTTAGAAGCAATCTTGCGGAAAGAATCGGCCTGCTCAGCAGTAACATTGGGCTTCAGGGGCAGCAACATGGTAGGGGTCTTGAGAACCTTGGCGGCAGTCATAATAATTTCACGAAGACGTGGGATACCGAGAGTAACGTTAGCAGCACCATAACCAGCAAAATGGAAAGTGTTCAAAGTCATCTGAGTAGAAGGTTCACCGACAGACTGGGCAGCCAAGAGACCGACGGACTCACCAGCCTCAACCAAACTGTGAAGATACTTGAGCTGCATCAGAGCCTTAAACTTGTTCTTTGAAAGGTTAGCGTAACGCTGGTTGTTGGGAGAGATGGCGTCAGACTTGGAGAATGGCATCTTGTCGGGGTTCTTGTCAATGTAGTTCTTCATCTGGATAGCGAAACGCTCAGAGACCACACCAAGATGGCGACCGGGGTTGTAAACAGAAAGTGCGGGATCGTACTTGTTGGGCTTCTTCAGAGCCTTCTTGGCATACTCCTCACCTTCTCTGGTCTCAAGGGCATCAAGGGCAGCCTTGGGGTTGTACTTTTGAGACAAGGTCTCGAAGTTGTGTGCAGAGAAACTGAACTGGTTCAGGTACTTGGCCTTGATGACATCAAGCGAATCTTCACCATAGTGGAACTGGAGAACAGAACCATCGGCATCACGAACGGTGTGATCATAGTGAACACGGAGACCCTCAAGATGCTTAATCAAACAACGCTGGAGATAACCGGAACGGGAGGTCTTGACAGCTGTATCAATCAGACCTTCACGACCAGCCATACAATGGAAGTAGTACTCCTGGGGACGGATACCAGTCAAGAAACGGCCGGCAACGAAACCACCAGCACGGGCGCTAGTGTCATAAGGACGGAAAGAGGGGAGAGAGCGACCGGATACCATGAGAGGAACACGACGACCCTCGAGTTCCTGCTGACCCAACAAGCAAGAAATCTGAGTGACGTTGACGTTGGAACCCTTGGCACCAGAAATAGTCATCATTTGCATGTCATTGTCAGGGAACTTGCGGTAAAGACCATTGGGCAAACATGCCTCAGTAATAGAAGAGGTGAGCTTGTTAACCTTGGCTTTCATAGCATTATCAAGACCAGCCAACTTTCCATCATCGCGAGCAACTTCTTGCATACGCAACTTGAATTCTATAATAGAAAGAAAATATTAATATAGCATTGATACCACATAAATACATATATATATCTACTACTTTTTATTTTTTTAAAAATAATTTATAACTTACCCTTGGCGAGCTTCTCCTTAGTGGCAGTCTTGGCAGTCTCTTCAAGACCCAAGTATTCAAGATGGGCTTCATATCCAATACCCTTGCCATTCTCCATAAAGTCGTGTCTCCACTTGTTACCTTCTTCGGTCAACAACAAATCGTCCATGCGGCAAGTGAAACCACGGAACTGGACGTACTTTGTGAACAGACGACCCAAGATACTGAGAAGTTTGCCTGCAGATTCGGGACCGTAGAGCTCATAGACAGAGTGGACCAAACCAAAAGCGGTAGCACCAAACTGAGACTTATCGAGAATACCGGTCACCAAAGCACCATCCACAACCAAAACAGTGGCCTCATCCAGAGCATCGGGACCCCAGAGTTTGCCGGGAACCTTGGCCTTGGAAGTCATGTTGAGCGAGGGCTTACCGACAGTCAAGTTGAGCAGGATGGTTGAGATGATCTGCTTACCGGTCCAGAGAGGGACAGGCTTGAACACGGCAGGAGGGACGGTCATGATGGTACCGTTGCCAGTGTTGTCATGTTCAGGACGCAAGGATCCGTACAGCAATTGGTGGTATTCTTCTTTGGTGAAGAAAGTTCCACGCGAAGTCATCCATACGCCACACACTACGTGATCCTGAATCAAACCACGAAGAGGGTCACCACTGGTGGGAACCAAGTACTGGTTGTCGGTGTTGGCAATGAACGAGGCTTCAGCACGGGCGACTTCGTTTTGAGGGAAATGGATGTTCATCTCATCACCATCGAAATCGGCGTTGTAAGTGTTACAGTTGGCGTAGTGCATACGAATGGTCTTTTCTCCGGGGAGAACACGAGCCTTGTGGGCCATGATGGATGGCTTGTGGAGTGTAGGTTGACGGTTGAGCAAAACCATGTCACCATTGCGCAAATGACGGAAGACCTTTTTGTTGATAGTCTGTGTACGGGTGGGGTATGGGTTAGATCCAGACTGGGCAGTGTGAGAGCTTTGGGGAGCCAAGAGCGAGTTGGCCAAGGCAATACGAGATTCGATGCTGAGGTTAGCAAGCACATCAATAGACTGATCTTCGTGCTGGACGTGTGTAGCACCGGGCCACTTGTTGGGACCGTTGATAACAGCTTGGCGCATTTCCTTGATGTTGTGGGGGGTGACAGGCTCGGGGTAGGTGAGCTTCTTGGCGAACACGGGAGGAATACCAATTTCGGATGTCTCGATGTTGGGATCGGGTGAAATAACCGAACGAGCAGCGTAGTTGACACGCTTACCCATCATATGCTTACGGAACAAACCTTCCTTCTTTTCCAAAGCCTGACGAATACCAGGATGGTGGGTTTTGCCCTGGGGAAGCATAGCGGGATTCTTTGTCGAATCCAAGAACGAGTTTACGGCATGCTGTAAAGTGATGATGGAGGTGACGAAACGGGTCTGCAGGCGCTGAACCTTGGCCTTGTCAACCTCATCTTCTTTTTGGGCTTCCTGAAGACTATCAGAGCTGTCACGCACTTCGTGACTTCCCTTGAGAATGTCACCCAACAATTCGTTCTGGGGAGATTCGAACACTTTGTCGCCCATAACCGAAGGAGGGCGGAAACGAGTGGGTGCAACAGCAAGAAGTTCGATAAAGAACATGTGGTAGGTGGCACGTCTGATCTGGGAGGGGACGCTGGGGTTGCGTGCACCGTACAAGAGAGTAGTAATGTCGCCTTCGTTGACAAACAGAGACTTAATTTGGTCGCGAACCTCGTAGGGTGTAAGATAACGCTGGGTGACGGGAGTACTGCCTTTCTCGTGTTCCTCGAGTCTTCTGTTCATCTGCTGCTGATCCTTTTTGGTAAGAGGCATCTGGAAGAGCTTGGCGGCACCGTCGCGGCGAATTGGGGGTGAGATCTTAGCACAGTTTCCGCAACGCTTGGCAGCCAAACACTGCTTCATAAATTCGAGCATCACACGCTTACGCATATCATTGATTACGGTAACCTTGTAATCCTTGCTAGCAAACTTACGGGCTTCCTTATCCTCTAAGCTCTTCTTGACAAAGGCATCTAAAATAATAAGGATAAAAACAAATAATAATTTTTGTTGATTTTGTTAATATCTGAATCTAGAAATTACTAAAGAACACAGATACAAATACACATGGACACACTCAAAGAATAACTTTTCTAATTTATATATATGTGTATGTGTATGTGTAGGCAGACCAGAGATTTTGATCTTACCAATTTGTGCTTCGTACTCCTCTACACTGGTTGCAATGTCTGCGTCTTCTTCCATTCTATCTTCCATTGTCTCATCTTCACCGTCGGCTTCTCCCTTGGAACCCTTGGGGGCGGAGCGGAAGTAGAGATCTTCAAGTGCCTGTGCCTCACGGATCAAACCGTGCTGCAACAATGTCAATTTTGAAACAACCTTCTTCATCTATTATCATCATTGTTGTTTGAAATGAGAACAAGAAAAAATGGTTAAATACAACACAATTCAATTCAATATGTTATCATTAGTATTGCTATTATTTGGTTATCTATTTATCAATTGATCAATTGATCAATTGATTAAATTCAACTAGTTTTATTCTAGCCAACCAACCTGTGTTCTGTTCATACGGAAGAAATTACAGTACGAACACTTTGCACGCAAGACAGCATAAAGGTTATCGAAGAACATGGGGTTGTATGCAGGAATGGGAAGCTCAATGTGACCAAAGTGACCAGGACATTTGAAATGATCCTGAGAACAAGTGGTGCAGCTAAATTAATGATCAAGGAACTTATTAGACATTTGTTCAATGATGTACACACAATTGTGCATGTATAATTATATAGATATATATAGTTGTCTTTCTCTTCGTAGGTGTACGCTTGTACGTGTGCGTGTGCGTATCTTTTTTGGTTTCGGGTTTTTCGATTTTCTCTTTCTTTTATTCTTTTTTTAAAAAAAATGTTCTAAATTTGAAGTCAAAAGACACCTACAGTTGGTTCTTCTGGTAAGGACCGAGAGCAGAGTCATAAAGACCACCTTTGGTAGGATGTCCCAAAGTGTCAAAAAGAGTTGGGTTGACGATTTGCTTCACAGAGATTTTGCGGACCTCATGTGGCTCGTAGAACGAGAACGCAACAGAGGCGATCTCTGTGCCAATTGGACAGGAGATGTTCATGGTGGTGAATCCTTTGAACCAAAATGCACAGTCGTGAGCAAGGCAAACTTTGAACTCAAAAAAAAGGGTGAATTAAAAAATGAGACAAGCAGTCAATAGGCCGAAAAAGCCACAGCTTTTTTTTTTTTTGCAAAAGTAGAATTTCATTATATTTAATAGTCCGATAGCAGAAAAAGAAAATGCAGCAAGATTCTGGTGTGTGTGTGTGGGAAAAAGAAAGGGTAAAAAAGGGGATTGCTAGGTTTTTTTGAGTCAACCGGGAAGGAATAACATTAACATTAACAAATTTATATGCCTAGTTAAATCCCATATTGTTATGAGTCATCGAGGACTGGGTGGGAGGTTGGTAGCCGGGTCTCAAGTTTCTAGGAGCATTTGTGCTGCCTGGAACACCTCTTCCATTGTTAGAGAAGTTATCTACAAGAGTAGTCTCTGAGGTCTCTGTGGAATTGTCCGAGGGAGGGCCGCCTTGAGATTGTGGTCCCTTGTGGCATAAAATGATTAAGAGAATTATATATACATTATGTTTTTATGTATGTAGATTATTATTATTTTGGTTCAGGTAAAGTTTACTACTTGTGAATTTTATGTACCCTATGTTTTTTGTTTTTTTAATATTCTGGCTTACTTACATAGTTGTATCGAGGTCCACTTCCGGGTCCAGGAGCCTATCATAAAAAATGAATAATGATTGTATATTCAGATCACTCGAAATTTTTATGTATGTATGTATGTATTTATTTATTTATTTATTTTCGTCTTACAAAGACTTGAGGAGCTGGTTGTTCTGGGTAATGGCACATATTTTCTGTTAATAATAAAAAAAGAAAGTAGGAAGCTTTTACACTGTGGAACATACCTACTATATATATGTTACATTTTTGGTATATTTATCAGAATTGTACCTTGTGAAGAACATAAATCAATTCATGCTTATAATACTTTTTTTTTAAAAAAAAATGAAAAGAAAAGGCCCTATATTTTGAAAGCTATTCTACTCTTTATCTTAATACATCAAAGATAGAATAAAATAAGACAGCCAAGTGATCTCTTTAATTATTGATATAACCGGATAATCCTCGTCCGGATTACGGCTATTGTATTAAGACTAATATTACTATTACTATTCTTTTTTATTTTAAAGAAGATAAGACTAAATAACTATAGTTGGAAAAAGGTTGGGTAAAAAGGTAACTTACTACATGTAGAATGAGCACAAGCAAATTAAGCGTTCCTTTTTTTCCCTTTGAAAAGAAACAAAAAAAAAAGTTCAAAACACTATTGAATAATACTCATCACAAAGACGTAAAACTGATACATGTATAGATATACACTCACATACACACACTCAAGTATCGAGTAAATTCATCATCATTATCAGTATCAGTATCATTATCAGTATCATTATTGTATACAGCAATTCAATCAATTGATTCCTGCATAATCAATTTAACAGCAAGACGAGCCTAGGATAGATTTCTTAGATAGTGCTTATTTTATTTATATATAACACATTTTCTTTTGATTGTCGGAAACATGATGTTGGTATGAGGTCATCCAAAAAAGGGAAGAAAAAGGGAAAGATAAATTACATATAAAATATAGGTTTGCTCTTCTTTTTTTTGTTCTTTTCTATTATTATTATCATTACCCTGTGTTGGACTCATACTCTGTCCACACCTTTATTCCTCTTCTTCTTGCTTTAATTTAACTTATTGCTATGGCAGCCCAAAACTTTATCGTACCTTCAATTAAAGAAGCACCATCAGCAGGTGGTTCCAAGATTGAACTCTACAGTCCAAAATTCTTTTTAGCCTGTACTGTCGGTGGTGTTCTTGCATGCGGGTAAACTTAGAAAACAACAAAGCAACACAACCACAAGCATTTTTTTTATTGATCAAGATTCAAAAAAATTATAATTGTATTAGACCAACACATTCACTCGTGACTCCTTTGGATCTCGTCAAGTGTCGTTCTCAAGTGAGACCTGATATCTACAAAGGTGTTCTGGATGGCTGGCGAACCATCTTTAAAGCAGAAGGTCTGCGAGGTATCTTCACTGGTTTCGGCCCAACCGCGATAGGTTATTCTTTGCAAGGAGCTGGTAAATACGGTCTTTATGAGGTTTTCAAGTATCGTTACGGTATATTGGTTGGCGACGAGAATGCACACAAGTACAGATCACTTGTCTACGTTACCGCGTCCGCCTCTGCAGAGTTTTTTGCCGACGTGCTCCTTTGTCCTTGGGAAGCATTAAAAGTCAAGATGCAGACCTCGGTCCCGCCTTTTGCCAGAACAACCCGAGAGGGATTTGCAAAGGTCATGAAGACAGATGGCTTGGCCGGATTCTACCGTGGTCTAGGTCCACTCTGGGCTCGTCAGGTGCCTTATACTATGGTCAAATTCGCATCTTTTGAAACGACAGTCGAATTGATATACAGCACATTACTTTCAAAGCCAAAATCAGAGTACAACAAGTTTCAACAGGTAAAAGAAAGGGGGACATAGAACGAGATATGGAAATGACTGGTTGTAATCAACCTTCAAGATAAATGGGTAATTTGATACTGAATATTGATTTTGTTCATTCCTTATAGTTGGGTGTTAGTTTTAGTGGTGGTTATATTGCTGGTGTATTCTGTGCAATCGTTTCCCATCCGGCCGATGTGATGGTGTCTAAGCTAAACAATCTACCAAAGTCAGAAGCTGGTCATAAGCAGGCTGGAGTAATGGATATAGCAAAGGAACTTGGTTTCAAGGGAGTCTGGCGTGGTCTTGGAACTCGTATTGTAATGATTGGTACTCTCACTGCCCTCCAATGGCTTGTTTATGATACATTCAAGGTTTATGTTGGGCTTCCTACTTCTGGATCAACAGATGAAGAGAAAAAATAGTTTTATTTTTTATGTTATTATTATTATTTCCGTTACTGCCACTGCCACTGCCACTACTTATCTTTATTACTTTTTACTTCCGTTAATACATTTATATATATACATGAGATGCAAAATTACTATTTTATTTTATTTATTTTTGTTTTTGTTTTTGTTTTTGTTTTGTATGATTTGCATTTTATTGAATTGCCCAAGTCGGGATGGAATTCCTAAAAAGGAGGAGTAAATCCCTAGGAAGATATTGAGAAACACATGTAGATACTGAAAAAAGATTAATAAACACATGCACATCTGTACGGAAGAAGGATAAAAAGAAATTTTAAGCCACAGTTGAATAGGCATAGAAAATACAAAAGTTGGTAAGTAGAAAATATCCAGAGCGTATACTAGAGTGTAAAATAAAGAGTATATAGTATATATAGGTACGTATGTTGAGAAAACGAAAAGAGGATGAAGTAATTGTCGATGAGGTGTAACGATTGAACTAAATGCTGCAGGATTTGCGGTCGGTGCGTAACACATAAAAGATATGAATGTTTGCTGAATTTTTCACTATTTATGTGTAACATATGGCCTCTAATATTTACAAATAGCTGAAAAGCACTGAAGAGTTTGATCAGAATTGCTATATACCGTTTTTACTGTAAAAGAGAAAAGAAATAAACCAAGACAAATGTAGTATTATTATATTTTTCTCCACTTTATGTAAGATTTATGTATTATCCTCTAATAAATGAGATTTTAGCAACTGGCTCAGACAGAAAAGAAAATAATAATGATCCGGATACGTTTAGCAAATCAACTTGATTTTTGTTTGTCCCTACCGATTTATTCGAGGTACGTTTTGTAGTGACAAGACGTATTCAAAGTTACAATTATTATTATTTTTCGCTTTTAGATTAATCTTATATCCATAATATTTATAAATATAATACTCTCGATCAAGTTTACCATGACAAAGTTAGACTTCTGTAATTTTGGTGAAGATATCTACTCAAACAGATTGATTTTATTCTTCTATTTTATTTATATACTTACCTGCTGGGTTTTACATTTTCAGATTAATTACAGTCAATAATATATACATTAAAATACCGCTACAACGAGAAGCAAACATTAAATGCAGTTGAAACCCCCTATTAGCATTAAACTTTGAGAATATTAAAATTTTTAGAAAAATGCCTATAAATAGGGATACTCAGTCGAGTTGCAGGAAAAATTTAAATTCAGAAAAAAATTTTATTGGGTTAAAGTTGTAATAGCGATAAGGAAATTTTGTTGGCCCTTTTGGACGTACAAGTTTCGGGGGTACTCAACCAGGTTATTCGAACAAAATCTTATGTGAATTTTAGCCAATGATATTATTTTGTAGTTGAGGACACCAAAAGACAAAAATACAAAATTCGTACAAAATTCATAGATTTTTAAAGCATTTATAGAATAAGCTTTTGGACATTCTTATTTCTTCTTTGAGCCCATATGCACCTAGGTTCTCGAAGAAACCGAGTATTTTTTCCTTTGGCTCAAGACCTGGCAATACATTGTCAACCTTGTGTATGTATCTATTGGCTTGAAGGATATGTTCAAGCTTCTTCACGGAAGCTATCTGCTCAAAATCTACATTAAATTCCTCTTCAATGACTTCTAGAATAGCTTTGATAAGCTCGTATGTACTTGCTGATCAATACTCTATCAGTGTTTTTTTTTCTTCACGATAAATTCACTGATTTTATGCTATTTCTTTAAGGCATCAATTGTTTGTTGCCTTGTACTTTATTTTGGCATGTAATATGGAGAGAAAGAAGTGTTATATTAATCTATTAAGAAGAAAAATAAAAACAGTAGCATGTCGCATATAAAAAAGTAACAATTCAGCCGGTCAGAGAGCCAGAGCCGTACGTTTTTTTTGGTCAAGTTTGTTCGAGATTTGGTCGTCGCTATTACAATTTTAGTCCAATAATATTGTTTTCTGAATGTAAAGATTGCTTGAACAACTTGACTGAGTGCCCCCTCAGAGAATCAAAAAAAATTTAAAGAGAAAAGTAGCTGAGTCCCCCTTTTTTTAATTTTTTTTTAAAATTTATCTTTTTGCGGCTAGAGTGTGTGTCGAATTTTAGAATTATGCCTTACATTATTACTCATCAAAAGCCTATTTTGTTTAGTTTTATAATCCTCACAGAGTACAACTTTTAAAGTGTAAAAAGAAAGACAGAAAAAGAATGCCCTAGATAACAAAAAAAAATACACTATTTCCTATTTGTATATGTATATATTTTTAGAATCATTCCAAGTCTAAAAGGGTTCGCAGGTAATATACATATATTTGTGAGTTATTCGAAGCCTAGCACACGTATTCATTTAGTCAACCCATTGAGGACTGGAATAAAATTGCGACAAAAATAAAAGAAAGAAAACCTCTTAAATATACGAAGGAAAGGCTAAGAAGAAAGAGAGGTGCTTAAACAAATTCTATGTAAGAATTCAAATTCGGCAATTAGCTAATTATATTATTTCTTGGTTGAATGCACCAAAAATGCAAGTATAAATTTAGTAGATTATATATATATAGCATTAATGTACTAACATCTTAAGTCATATAATAAATGTAAATGATGAATAATGAATAAGAACCTGTAAAATTTTACAAACAGAACTTTGTTTAGGAAAAGATTATTATTTGCATATAACATAAGAAACTAGATCTCAAAGCGACGTATGTTTTTATACGTGAAATTTCTAGTATAATCTGGTTGAGTTCCCCTATTGAACCCTGCAAATTATATCCCTGTGATGTGGTAAGAATCAAATATACTTGATTTTGATTACTGCCTATAGTGTTGGTGAGACCCGTTTTATTTTTCTTTGCTGCATTAATGTATTATTTTTTCCTACTTTCTAGACCCTCATAGATTTTGGGTGCCAGTACCGTTGTCATCCCAACGTGACAGGAGGGATGTTGCTGTTTAGTTGAGAGCAGTAATAGTAATATGCTTTGTATATTATTAAAAATGAAATTCAAGAAAAAGACAGCCTTTTATTTACTTTTTTAACCTGGAATATAACCCTTGGAGTATAGTGTTTGTTACAACATAGTCCTATGATTATTATGTAATACTACGTATATTTTGTCGTTTTACAATATTCCTCATTGTGGAACCTATTTCGCTACCAGTATAGCGGTTTTTGTTTTATTCATTCCTTCACTGAAAAAGTTGTACTCGGTGAATACCATAAATGAGCTGTAGTCCTTTGTACACCCTTACCCACCTAAAAAATAAAATTAAGGTTTCCCTTCTTTCTTTTGTATATATTTATATTGTTTTTTTTTTTTATTTAAGTCTTGGTACATAAATTTTTGCTTTAATTTTTAATTATCGTGTGGGAAATCATTAGTGACAAAAATATATGCTAAGAAAATTTTCAAGCAAAAAACCAAATAATAGCTGTATATTTATCTTTGAAAACGCCCAAATATCTATATCATATACACTAGGATTGATAAAGACCACCCTGACAAATCAGTGTCCCCTCCATCTCCTCATTTAGGACAGAGTTTATCCAATTTATACGAGTCCAAACTTCCATATACCCACTACTACCCCGCACACACACACGCGCACTCCCGGTTTACATATAGATGTATATATAAAAACAAAACTATACATGTGATTCTATAATTTTTTATATTCTTCTTTTCTTATTTCTAAAGAGGCTTATTATGAGAGCATTACTGATATACATTTATATATATATATATATATATGTATATATATGTATTTGTATGAGTGTGTGTGTGTGTGTGTGTGTGTGTGTATTTACATAATTTGATTAAAAAATTTACGCAGTCAGCCAAGAATAAGAATAAAAGGGGTAAGATTTCATAATCTAAAAATAAAAATAAAATAAAAAATAAGATAAAATCAAAAATAAAAACAAAAATAAAAATTCAATCATTCACTCATATTTTTATCTTCTTTTATATACATATCTTGAGATCTTTTCTAAAAGAAGTATTTATCTATCTATTTATTCAAAAAAAAATCACTGTTCCTTTCACTCAATCGCATACACACAAAAGAAGAAGAAATGTCGTTTTGCTTTACATTCCCAGCAGAAATTATCGATTCAATCAGTGGGTTTCTTTCTACCCAAGACTTGGTATCAGTTGTGCTGGTCTGTCGTGCGTGGAACTACAGCTTCTCTCCAAGCATCTATAGAAATATTTCTCTGAGTGATCCTCGCCAATTCCATCGTCTGTACTCCATTCTCGCAAAATCATCCACCACAAATACACCTTTTGGAAACTACGTCCGTAATCTGGACATTCTGGACGGAAGAGCCATACAGGCAGGAATTGGTCAACTACCAGTTCTCTGCCCTCACATTACCGCCTTAAAGGTTACACAGAAATGGGCATCCCGCGTCAATTCGATAGTCTGTGTCAATGATGGTGCTTTGGAAAGGACAACCAAGGCACTCTTGCACACCTTTGTCACATCCAATCGGCTCAATTCTCTTTCGCTCAACTTTTACCGGCGGATCGATCTTGACATCTTACCACAGCTCTCCAATCTACAGCATCTGAGTCTGGGGTGGCTCAACCAAGGAATATCTCCAGCCACACTCCAGACCATCCACGCTCAATGTCCGCTTCTAAAAATTCTGGCACTCGACGGACTAGATCGGATAAATGAACCCCAACAAGGTTTGACATCTTCTACCCTCCAGTCACTCTCACTACACTTCCGAAAGGGCATCCAGTGCGATGAAGCCTGGCTTGTTTACATTTCACACACCTATCCTCGCCTGAGTCATCTCAGTCTCGAAGCACCCGCTCAGTACTCCGAGTCTGTCGACTTTGCACCTCTACTGATCCCATCGGCATATCATCGGTTTGCTTCCCAAGCCAAACATCTACGTCAGCTTGAACTCATTCACACCATTCGGCACAAGATTCTTATCGACCTGCTTCATTCCTACCACGTGCCTCTTGCATCGCTTGTTCTGCAGACAAAGTTTGGCTTCCCACGTGATTTCTGCGACACCTTATTCAATGTCTTTCCGTCCCTGACTTTGCTTTCTGCCCAAGGACACCCGCGATACAGAGACTGCAATGAACCTGTCAGATCACTCTCGAACTTTTCTACCCACCTGCGGCACCTCAACCTCGGCCAGTGGGACACTGTTCATCTAGAGACCATATTAGGAGTCTTGCCAAACCTTACACATCTTACCTTACAGGACAGCATTCTTTTGACAGGGTCGGATTGCCCTACATATAATAACAACAATAGTAATATTATTGATGGCGACAGCTTTACTGGCGGTAGTAACTTGGAATCACTGGTATTGGAGAGAATTAGCCTACCATGTGATGGGATTGTGGAGATCAGGGGCACCTGTCTAAAACACCTTGTCCTTCGTCACTGTACAGCACCACACCAAAACCTAAAAATCAAACTACCAGGCGTTGTTCTCTCGCGGGTAGAGATTGATGAGCTGTGTGTTGGGCAGCCAGTGTGGAAGTCTGACAGGGTTGTCAAGAGTGTGACAATCCTGGGGAGTTCAGGGTCTTTTGGTCAGCATGAATTAACAAAAGCACCAAGTCCTTTGGAAATTGAATGTGAATCAGTGTGGAAACTTTTAGTGAATCAAAAAAATGTACAAATAAACAAATAAATAAACAAAGAATTATATGTATAAGGACGTCAATATTTATATACATAAAATCAACTCGTTAGTAATTGTCTGTATGATAAAAAGATGTGTTTATTCTTATGAGAAGTACAGATAATTAGATTGAATGCCTACATATTTTTGTATTAATTGTATTACTCAATTTACAATACAAAGAAGTATTTCTGGTTATATTTCCAAGATAAACTAAGAATATTTATCTTTATCTGCGTTGACTATACTAGTGTTTCAGGTACCAGGATAATAATCTAACCAGGCCATAAGTATTGAATTCCTACCCAGAAATAAAAATGTAAAAAGAAGATCCCCTTATCATTCATTATTATTGGTAACATACTGCAGTAAAGAAGCTTTTTCCTTGCTTAACATTACTATTACTATTATATATATAGATAGTCTTCCCAAAGAAAAGAAAAAAGAGAAAACAATAATCTCACAATAAGATCTTTGCAAAAAAAATTTCTTGTTGTGATAACCTGCATTTACAAAATAAAGTGGAATACTGCCAACCCAAAATTGTCTGCATTATTTCAAAGACATGCTCAAAGTTGTGACATAAAGCAAACAGATAAGCATATAAACGAATAAACAAACAAACAAATACATGTATAGATAGGATCTATAGGCCATTAAAATATGAAGGGAACAGAAGTTGGGGAACAAGCAAACAAAGAATTTTGGAAGTAAAAAAGGAAGAATTGACAGGTGGTGATATATATATATTATATAAAAAGGAAGAGGGGTAATTGGCGTAAAAATGAAGAAGAAAGATATAAAACTTACCATACAGCAGGTTACTTTCCAATAAAAAAACTATTTTATTATCTGGTTAGGGTTAGTTACAATAGATACATATATGCAGGGGACTCTACAGGAGCTAGGAATAAACATACAGTCAAAAAAAGGGGGTATGGTTTTCATGCATGTAAAAAAAAAATTCGTCTCTAATTTTTTTGCTTTAGTATTATTTATATATTTATGTAGTGAAATTACTGAAATGTGTTTCAAGCAGATTTTGTAGGCACTCTTTTCTTTTAAAAAGAAATAAACAGACAATTGGTACTTAATATCAAAAATCTAAAAAATAATGGTATATTGTGCAATTTCAATTTCAATTGTTGTGAGTTGAGAACAAAAGAGGCTATCCTTTTGAAACCAATAAAATCAATACAAATACCATTATTGAATTGATTTGAATTAAATCTCGGTAGACCAATATATAGGTAAAAGGAGACAAGCCAAGTATATAATAAAGTGTGTAGATAAAGATATTGTACTCATGGAAACATATAAACATGTATGCACATCAGAAATTGGATCAAAAAAATGACCAGAAGAAAGATGCTTTTTAATTTGATTAAAAAAAAAGCAGCAAAAGGCAAGGAACATGAATATTCTACCTATTTTTTTTTTAATTTGTCATTGAAGGTTAAATTACAAATCATCCTAAATATACACAAGATACATACATATATTTCTGGATTAAATATAAGCTACTAAAGCAGAAAATATATATTCTAGAGAGAGAGAGAGAAATAGTCTTTAAGTAAATGACAGATGAATGTCCAAAGTATATTGGACTCGGAAGCGTATAATCAGATAAACAAAAGATCAAATGAAATAATCTTTTGGTAGACTGACGATCAATTTATCGAATGATCTTTAAGAAAATAGAGCACAAAATGCAGTAATAGTAGTCATACTATACGAGAGCTAGTTTGAAATAAATAACTCTCTAATCTAGAATCACTTTGCTTATTCTTTTCGATTGTCTTTGAAGGATCCTACTGCTCTTCCACCCTAGGACTCACGACCCCTCCAAACCTCCCATTATGAAACCTCCATAAAAGTACATTTTTTAGTTTAATTCTTTAATTTTTCTGCATCTTTCTTTATATTGAATACCATTAAATTTACATTATTCCCATCTCTTAGAGATGGGGAGGGGATATAGTATGTTAATTCTTTTCTTTACTTTATTTTACAGACATGTAGTTAATTAAAGCTCCACTAAAATTAAGATAATCTTTATTGGTATTGTGGGTCTGTAAAGTAGTTGAAAGGATTTTGTTCTAATATACTAATACACCTCAATTCTGCCATTTTAATTTTTATCTACCTGATTATCTCGACCCTACTTTGCTGTATGGGCTGTCCGGCTGGTTAAAAGGGTGGATAAATGAATCTGAATTTTTGATTTTTGATTTTTTGATTTTTTTTTTTTCTGGCATGCATTTGAAGTAGGAATATGCCAGACAGTTGCCTTTTATAGACTTCAATGGCAAGAGGTTGTCGGGATGTGACTCTTGAAGTTTATATATATATACAAGAAAAAAAAAAGAAAAAAGGGCGCCCTTGCAAAAAAAACAACACGAGCAATACGCGTCTATTGAATAAAAGCGGAATAAACTTTCACTATTTCCTCCTCCACAGACATACATACCACCTACCTTAGTACCAGAACTGGTTAACCAGCGCTAAATCAGCACTAACCACCGTCACTTACCCTTTTTTTTTTCTTTTTTTTTTGGGCCTCCTCTAACTTTTCTTAGTACTTTCACTCTCCACACCTCTCGACCTCTACCCCCCTCCATTTTTTTTCTTTTTTTTTAATTTCTTCTTCCTTTCTTTTCTATATATATATATATTTGATATGTTCCAGCGTGACCAAAACTCATCGCTGTTTTTGGGTGGTGAACGTACCACTGGACAAGATGTTCGTGCCAGCAATGGCAAGTTTATTTTCTATTAGATGATGATGACAATTGATAGATCATCTTTAATAATATATTTTCACCTACAGTTCTTGCTGCTGCATCTATTGCCAACATCGTCAAGAGTTCTCTCGGACCTGTTGGTCTTGACAAGATGATGGTTGATGAAATTGGAGCAAGTATTATTTAATTATTTAATTATATATACATATTTTAATAACAAAAAGAAGAAGAAGAAGAAGAAGAAGAAAATAATAGATGAAGTGATTAAATTATAGCTATTAAATGTGTGTGTGTTTATGTATGAAAAGAGAAAGAATATGTATATATATATATAAAGTCATCTAACGCGTAGTCTTCATTTTTATTTTATTTTATTTTAATAAAACCAAAAAAAAAAAAAAAACTATTAGGATGTCACTATTAGTAACGATGGTGCAACAATCCTTCAACTTCTCGAAATCGAACACCCTGCAGGAAAGGTTCTTCTTGAACTTGCTCAGCAGCAGGATCGTGAAGTTGGCGATGGTACAACTTCAGTCGTAATCATTGCTGCCGAACTTTTGAAGCGTGCCAATGAACTTGTCAAGAATAAGATTCATCCCACCACCATCATTACTGGATACCGTCTTGCATCAAAGGAGGCATGCAAGTTTATTGCAGGAGAGATGTCAGTAAAAGTTGATACCCTCGGTCGCGAATGTCTTATTAATGCTGCAAAGACCTCGATGAGCTCCAAGATCATTGGATCGTAAGTCTTTTTTTCTTCTTCATCATCATCATTATCATTTTCTTAACTCATATATATATATACTTATATAGTGATTCAGACTTCTTTGCTGAGTTGGCCGTTAATGCCATCACAGCCGTGAAGTCTAGCAATGGACGTGGTGAGACAAAATACCCTGTCAAGGCTGTCAACATCCTCAAGGCCCACGGAAAGTCCGGCCGCGAGTCTGTCTTTGTCCGTGGTTATGCACTCAACTGTACCGTAGCATCCCAGGCTATGAAGACCCGCATCACAAACGCAAAGATTGCTGTTTTGGACATGAACCTCCAAAAGGCACGCATGCACCTTGGTGTTAACATTGTTGTCGATGATCCCGACAAGTTGGAAGATATCCGCAAGAGGTAAATAAAGATATGAAAAGGAGAGACGGAGAAAATGATGATAACTAAACATTTCTTGCTGTTTTTTTTTGTTATTAATAGAGAAATTGGCATTACCACCGAACGTATCCAAAAGATTCTGGCTACTGGCGCAAACGTTATCTTGACCACAAAGGGTATTGATGACATGTGTCTCAAGTTGTTTGTCGAGGCTGGTGCCATGGCTGTCCGCCGTTGCAAAAAAGAGGACTTGAAGCGTATTGCCAAGGCCACCGGTGCAACCTTTATTTCTTCTTTGGCCAACTTGGATGGAGAGGAGACCTTTGAGGCTTCTTATTTGGGTGAAGCCGAGGAAGTCGTCCAGGACCGTATCTCTGACGACGAGTGCCTCTTGATCAAGGGTACCAAGATCCAGAACTCTGCCTCCATCATTCTCCGTGGCGCAAACGATTACATGCTCGACGAAATGGAGCGTTCGCTCCACGATTCCCTCTGCGTTGTTAAGCGCACTCTGGAAAGCAACAGTGTTGTTCCCGGTGGTGGAGCTGTAGAGTCTGCTCTCAGCATTCACCTCGAGGATTTCGCTACAAGCATGGTAAGTAAAAGAGAAGAAAAACAGAAGAAAGAGAGATAAAGAGGACCCCTTTATGTGGTTCAGTATAGTGTAGTGTATTTTAGTTTCTTTCTCTTCTTCTTTTCTCTTTACAAGTATTGGTTTACTCATTGGATTACAACAGAGCTCTCGTGAACAATTGGCAGTTGCAGAATTTGCCAATGCTCTTTTGGTTATTCCCAAGACCTTGGCTGTCAATGCCGCAAAGGGTAAGTACTAAAGAATAGAATTGAAATGAAAGAAAGAAAAAAGGTTATTTACTTTTATATTTGTTATCTAGATTCCACTGAATTGGTCTCCAAGCTCCGTGCTTATCACAACACTGCCCTTGGTCAGGGTGCTGATCCCAGCAAGCGTGCACTGAAATACTATGGTTTGGAGCTTATTAACGGTGAAGTCCGTGACAACCTCAAGGCTGGTGTTTTGGAGCCTGCTATGTCCAAGATCAAGTCTCTTAAGAGTGCTACCGAGGCTGCCATTGCTATTTTGAGAATCGATGATTTTATCAAGGGTAAGTTAGAATGAACATTTTTTTTTGAACAAAAGATAGGTTGTGCTATACATATATCAATTGATTAAATTAATTATTTCTTTTCTCTTATTGTCAATAGTTGCACCAGAGCAGAGAGGTAACCCTGATGATGGCCATGGTCACTAAAGCAACAACAAAAAGAAGATTATGATAAAAAAAGAATAAACCAGCAACAACAAACAAAACAACAACAACAGCAACAGCAACAACAAAAAAATTTTCTAGAAAGAGCGAGTGTGTGAGAGAGAAGAACCAAAAAAAAAGAGAGAAAACAATAAATACATTAATAAATAAATAAAAATTCCCATTGTGTGTGTATTGTGTATTGTGTACTGTGGGTTTTTGTTTTTTTTTTCCTTCCTTCTTTATAATGATTATAACGATTGTAGTGATTATAGTTAAGAAAGTCATCTTGTAAATTTAGGAGAAGTATTGTACTTCTATTCCAATAGTACGGATAGGATTTGTTCGGTTGGTCAGATCAGCCGTGAGTCCGACACTGAACAAGGTGTTTTTGAATCGACCTTCCCACATTAATGCCAATCCCTATTATTATTATTTTTTCGATTAGATAAATAAACATATAATTTTGTTGAGATATTAAATGTCACCTCTGAGAATCCTAGGCGGGCTTTCATCAATCCTTCTAATTTTTCTGTCTTGTCTGCTGCAGTGACAGTAATGATCCCGTTGCTCTCTTTCTTGACTGCACGTGGCACATTCTTCTTTTTTGTTCGATACTCGAACCCAAGTGCAAGGTCACTCTCGTAAGAATATATGCTGAAATCAAACCGGGAACACAAAGCCAACTCTTCTGAAACCTGGGCAACATAAGCAGTTGACATGTGTCCTACAATTGGATTTAGAGTGTAGGTTACACTTATGGGAGGAGATGAAGAACAAGGGTGGGTTCGATAACGTAGTCCCGTAGATACTTTACACACACACACACATATATATATATTTAGCTTTTTTTCATTTTATTTTACTTTAGTTTTTTAGTTTTTTTTTTTTTTTTACTTACATCCTCCACTCTTGTCCAAAGTTCCATAATATATTTCGGTTCCAATGGACCATTGGCCAGAATAAACATGATTGGATTTTACATCATTCAAAACAGGCTGCCCAAAGTTGTACAGCGCACGGATACCAAGTAGACCATCATCGGTGGTATAAGAACATTCGGAGCACCATCTTCCAACATCGTATTGCAGTTGCATAGCAATCTTATATACATGTACACAGACATAAAATAGAATGATAATAATATAGATAATAGTAAGAGTAAATTATCAATATCTAATTTTTTTTGTAGAAAAAACAAACACAAATATGCGTGTGATATATATATATATATTAGGATTTACTTGAGGAAGACCATGCGATTTTGGACGATTGACAGCTGTGATGAGATACTGCAAGTTTTGGGTTAGACGACGTACAGCCATGGCTTCCAATCTTGCGCCAGGAAAAAACATTCGCCCATAGACCAAATAGTCATTGTCTATATACATTTATATTTGTATATATTTGTATATGATGTATATATGTATATATATATGTGTGTGTGTGTGTGTGCGTTTTTTTTGTGTATATAATTTTCATTTTTATTGGTAAACAATTCTTTTTTAAAAAATAATGCTACTAAAAAATATCCATTTTATTTACTCTCATTTACTTCAATGTTTAAATGCATATATATATATGTATAATTATAATTATAATGATATAATTTACCTTGTGAGTTCCATGTTGGTGCTGCCTGGACAACCCGGAAACGATCGACCAGGTCTTTGAAATCTACTGTTGCACTGGTTCCAATTTCAAGAGGTCTAGAGGTATAAAGGTATCCAATGTTGCCATTTAGGGATGGAATGGCGTTCATTGTGTAGGATGGTTTGAATAAAGGTGTCGGTAATTTCGAGAGATGAAGTGACAATCCACATGGTGTATAAAAGTCTAAAAGAGCGCGCGACCAAGAACAGAGGTTGGAGTATTGGTTTTCTTCATTCCAGCCTGACGATCGATAGTATCGTCGTAGACAATACTCCATAAAATCATACATTTTTCTCTTTCTATTTCTCTATTTTTTTCTTTAAAGAAAACAAGACACCAAAAAAAAAAAAAAAAAAAAAACAAGCAAAAGAACAAGAACAAGAAAAATATAAATAAACAACTGAGATCTAAAATAACCAACAAAAAAAAAGGAACCAATTTGTTTTACAAGATAAAGAAGTTGTTATCTTCAGGGCAAGACTTTATAAAAGAAAGAAAAAAAAAAGTATAAAATTAAATTCTAAATATACTTGGTTAAAATTAATATATATATATATAAATTAATTTTATTACTCTATTATTCTTTATTATTTTTTCAATTTCTTCTGCTTACTTTTTTTTTATCGTGTTTTATTTAATTTTTTTTTATAAAAGGGGGTACTCAACCGAACATTCTTTAGATTTTAAAGTCCAGAACGTAATATTATTGGACAAAAACTTATATATACGTTTTTCTATTACTTTCCTCAGGAAAAGGGTAGTCTTTTGAATTTCAGATAGGGCAGTCTTTTAAAAGTCAGTCAAAAATACCCTCGCATTTTTCGGGGATTTATAACTCAGAATAGGACAAGTTTTAAGAATTACATAAGCTGAGCAAAATTTATAAATTCAGAAACTATAATTTCTCAAGTTTTTTTTTGCAGTCTTTTTTAACACAGACAGGGGCGTCTTTTTTCTTGCCTTTTTTTTTGCACAGTCTTTTATAACACAGACACAGGAACGTCCTTTATAAAGTCAGAACCATCCTTTGTCTTTTTTTTTTTTTTTGGCTGTTTATAAGCTTATGCAAAATTATGATCTTTTCTATGCTTAAGAAATTTCTATTATTTATCACACAGTCAAGTTTTATTTTATACATATTCATATAATATATATATATATTCGAAATCTATTTTTTTGCATTGGAATGTTAGCAATCGAGAATCCATTTTTTTTGTGAATTCCAGTAATATATTTATTCATTTATTTATTTATTTATACGTGTTATAAAGATTAACGAGGCGAATGTCTTGCTTGCATTGTATTTTTTTTTGATGGTTCGCATTTTGTATAAAAAAAAAGAAAAAAAAAAGAATAAGAAACGGAATGAGTTGAAAATTCTGCGGACCAAAAGCTTCAAAAAAAAATGATGCCTTTGAAGATGCTGTTTTTGTTGTTGTTGTTATTGTTGTTGTTTTATAAGACTTTTTTTTTTTGAAAATGCATACATAAATATATATATACACATACACATACACAAAAATGTCCAAATATATATATATATGTGTGTAAAAATCTATACGTCACTCAACTCGCTCCTCTCTCTCTTTTTTTTTTTTTACAGAAAGAAAAAAAGCGACCGGTCAAACCCTCTTCCTTTATACACTACTCTGCTCTAATTAGACTTTATATATTTTCTTTCCTTTGCCTTTTCTTCTTCTTTTGATTTTCTCTTTTTGAAAGTAAAAACAGAGAGAGATAAATATAATGAGTGCAATGGACATTAGTGATTCAGAACCTCCGATGAATGTAAAGGAAGATCAAGATGCTGTTTTATCAATGGCACAAAGTCATTCAGGGCTTTCCATCTCAGTGTAAGCATTATCTTGACATGAATATATATATATACTTGAAAAAAAATTAAACCAAAGATATTTATATTGATATTTGTAATTTCAATAAAACAAAAGACATCCTCTTGTTCTTCTCAACATCTCGGATCACTATACACGAATCAAGCTTCAGAATCCATCAGCATTTGAAAAGGGTACAGCGTAAGAGGCCAATAATAATAATAATAATAATAATAATAATGACAATAATAGTAATAGAAAAAGAAGAAAATAAATATATATATATGTGTGTGTAGGTCTATAATTCCCTTTTGTTATATTTAAAATGATGATTATAATAATGATTATAAACTATATTTAAGGACGCGTGTACGGTGCATTGTTGGCCAAGCAGTCGGGGCGTGACATTGAATTGATGAATTCATTTGAATTGCCTGCAAATACCCAAGAAACTGGACAAGTCAAAGTAGACTGCGCCTACCTGACCACCAAACAAGAACAACGTAAAATAAAATTAAAGAAGTAGAATCGATAAGCAAAGATAAATATATATATATAAATAAATTAATTAATGGATTTTATTTTATTTTATTTACTTGTAGTCAAACTTGTCTTTCCACAATTTGATTTTATGGGATGGTACTCTCTTGGAGTCGCACCGACTGATTCTGACCTAAAGATCCATGAACAAGTAAGTCTTCTTCTTTAAATTAATAGTAGTAGTAGTAGTAGTAGCGTTTTGTTTCCTCAAGTAAGAATATAATTTAATATATATAATATTTTCTTTGTGTGTGTGTATGTGCGTGTTTGTTTTGTTGTCGTTTTGTTATTCAAGTTTCTTCCTATGAACGAATCGTGCTTGTTTCTACAAATGAACCCAACTGCTCTAGAAGGAGGAGCAAAGGAATTCCCGGTCAGTATCTATGAATCCGTATTCGATATCATTGATGGCCAGACCCGCCTTGGATTCGTAAAGGCTCCCTATCGAGTTGAGACCAACGAAGCCGAACGAATTGCGATTGATCAAGTAGCCAAGCCAAGTACATCTGAAAATGAAGTTGGACTAGGAAGTGCACGCAAGTATTACCATCACTATTAATATATATATTATATTATATTATATTATATTATATTATATTATATTATATTAATATTAATATGAATTTATTTAGTTATTGCTCATTTGACTACTCAGAGAAACGCTATTGGAATGCTGTACGCAAGAATCCAGTTTCTTCAAAGCTATCTTAGAGACACAAAGGCCGGGTTGGTGCCTGTGGATCATGATATCATGCGCCAGATCGCCAGTGTCTGCAGAAGATCTCCTGTCATTGATCAAATAGCATTTGAAGATCAGTATTCTACAGTAAGTCTATTTAAAAATCTAATAATAAAATTAAAATTAATTATTATTATTTTCTTTTTTCTTTTTTTTTTTTTTTTAAAAAAAAGGAATACAATGATATCCTTTTGGTTACCTATCTGGCTACAATTACAAAGGGAATGAATACCCTCAATGACCTGATTGATAAGCACAACCTTGTTCATAGCCGTGGAGTCAAGAATACAACAAAAACAGTCGTTGGAGGAAAGAAAGGAAGGGTAAGTCAAACAAATTTGTATATTTGTATATCACACAAGCCAAAAAAAAAAGTAGTTTAATCGGAAGATTGGTAAATGGTAGTGGGAAAATAGTGTGTAAGAAAGAAAAGATTAGATGGTAACAATGCGATACGATACGAAGCGATACGAAGCGATTCAATTTGATTTGATTCGATTCGATTCGATGCGATAAGCTAGGATAGAATATGATAGAGGATGATAAAAGTAAAGAAAAGACAAAGTACAGATTTACAATAAGTCTTGTTATTTGGCTTGTGATTTCAACTATAATCACTACCCTTATTTTTATTTCATTCTACTATATAATTATATATAATATTTTAAATAATCAAAGAGAGAGAGAGAGATAAATTATTGTGTGATTAGAATAGAATAGAATATATATCTATCTATAAGATCGGTTGATTTATTTATGCATTGTGTATGTATGTATGTGTGCGTATTTTTCTCTCTCTTCGTTTCTGTAGCGCCTGAACCCAACCGGTTAAAATGAAACTGTGATATATTGGATATTTGGACAAACAAGAATTGATGATAATTTCATTCATTCATTCATTCATTCATTTATTAATGCATGTTTTATTTTGTATGTATGAAAGAATCAATACAAAAATAAGGAAGCTTTTTGATTTGATATTAAAAATAAGACCAAAAAATCAATGTATATTGTATTGTTTATTTGAAAATTGTATATTAAAGTATATGGAATGAAAATAAAGAGATAAAGAAAAGGGGAAAGGTTGACAGGTTAGGAGAATACTGGGTGAGTATGATATAAATGATAGCAAAGAAAGAAAAGAAACGTGGATTGTAGAGAGAGCAAGAGAGAGAAAAGGATAATAAAAGCTGTAATACAAGAAAAACGACTATCTATCTACAATTAAAGAAAAAAGAAGTTATATATATATATATATAAAAGAAATATATAAAGATTATTAATAATGATAGTAATAAGAGTGATGACGGTAATAAGAAAAAAAACAAATATATGTGTGTGTACTACTTTATTCTATGGTTGAGAAAGGACGGCAGATGTAGAAAAGAACATGACAAGGCATCCCCAGACGATAAGCAGACCAGCTGTTGCATTTAGCCACCAACAGGACTGAAGACTTCCTGAATCGAGCTCATCCAAGTTACCCACATCATCGCCTCCGACGGTCGACACATCCTCCTCGTCAAAGTAAGGCAGTCTGGTCGAGGAAGAGGCGAGCGAGGCCGAATCAGAAAATAAGGGAGTTGTGACCTGGAGGTTCTTGTCGTAGTCTTCATAAGCCGAGACGGCAGTGGATACAGAGAGGGTGGGGAACAGAGTGTTGGTTGTGTAGAGGTTTGTGTTGGTAGGATAATCGCAGCACCCATTGCTTCCACTGTTCGCAGACGACGAGATCTGGTTGGCGGCTGAGCGGGTACAGAGATAGGCAATTGCTGGCAAGATATAAGCCAGAGTTGTGGCAGCCACACCGCCAACCAAAGCGTACACTTTGCCGAGCGAGTGAATTGTCACACCACCGACCAACAAGAGACCGAAAAAGATGACTGTGATTGAGTTGTGTTCAAAATCTGTTGGTTGACGACCGGATCTTTCCAAGCCCAATAGCTTTTGAATAGCATCTCTAAAAGGAAAGAAGGCCATTCTGAAAAGAAAAGGAAAAAAAAAACATATAGATAAATAAATAAAATTGTCAAATCAAATCTGCCTTGATTTCTTATCTTTATATATATCAATAATGATTCTAAAGAAATACTTACGGTAGTGTTAGGATCATGTCTCCTGCCAAGGCAAGACGTCCGATATTGATAACAAGATCGTCAGCCGCGAAATTCATGAACAGGTTGGGTTGTACATTGGGGCCAAAACAGAGATAACCAATGACTGCAAAAAATATAGAAATTGCCCAACTGGTAAATGTCGAAATGGAAGTTGTGATTCCCCAGGAACGCGGAGTTTGGTGTTCAAGCGTGAGATAGTTGTTAAATGCCACCTGGGAACAGGTGAAGGCAAAGGCCATGATTCCAAGTGAACTAAACATGTCGTCACCCAGGAAAGTCAAGGGGATCTTTTCTTTGGGAGCATAGGCAGGTGCGCGAGTGATGATTGTGACAAGAATGACAGGTAGACAGCACACAGCCACGATGGACCATTTGGCAAGAGCACCAATAGAACGTGACATGTTGAGGGGAAGAATCTTAATTTTTTTTAAAAATAATGATGATAATGATGATGATGTTAATAATCGTTTGATTGGATTGGTTGCTAATTGCATAAAAAAGGAAACAAGAAACGCCATAGAAACAACATGTATATACAATCTCTGTGAAACTAATCGTTTCATTTATAATATAAAGTAATATAAAATAAAGTGCTACTTACAAGTACAAGAGACACCATGCTAACCACAAATACCCGATCGGCCAATAGTGGCACTTGAGGCACATAGCGGTCGGCAAGGACGGTGAGCGTATCACCGAGCACTAAAATAGATTTTTATTTACATATAAAAGGAGGGGAGGGAAAAGAAGGGAGAAATTTAAAGATAAAGGTTAGAATCACATTTAGATAAAGAGATAGATAAAGATGTACATATATGTAAAAAAAAATAATTTAGAGATAAAAATAAAAAGGTCCCTTACAGATAAAGTAACTTAAACATGCACCGCCTGTCTGGATGAGAATTACGCAGTTGAGGAAATGATATCCAAATCTACCCAGTACATATTCGACTAGTTGGGCAAATTTGTAAACCCCCACACGTTGACCGGCAACAATCAACATGTAAAGGCCGACTTGGGACAGAATGGCAACAAAGATAGACAGCAGGATACCAGCAAAGAATCCTGCATGGGCTATTGCGAATGGTAGGCCGATGATACCAGCACCGACGGTTGCATTAACTAGGTTGAAAGACACTTCAAAGATACTACAGGAGCCATATCCAGGGCGATCTGCCTGTAGCAAGTCTCGCTCTGCTTTAGAGAGACTTCGATAGAGTTTGTTTGGCGTTGCGCCGTAATAAGACATTATGGTTGTTGAGAATACAAGAGGAAGATGATGACGATATCGTTGTTGTTGGTGGAGGTGGTGTAAATAACTTTTTAAAGAGAGAGGGAGAGAAAAGAGTGAGGAAAAAGGAAATGATTAGAGGTTATTTATACACAAAGAATCAAGCAAAAATAAAATAAAATAAAATACAAAAAAAAACAGGGGGTTATATTATGGTGTATTGAGATTTAAGACGTATATACAAAAAGGCAAGTAAGCAAGCAATAAATAAAATAATAAAAAAAAAGTGTGTTTGTGTGTGTAGATTGACTATAGTTGACTAAAAATCAAAGAAGAAGTGGGGGGGGGGGATTGTCGGGTGATATTAACAGACAGAGCACAATTAACAAATTTGTGATAAGCATCTATTTTATTATGATTCAAAAGTGTACAAAAACTCAAAAAATTTACCTAAAAAAAACATGTAAGAAATTACTTTCTTTAGAGGAATATCTCGCGTGGTTTTATTATTATTATTATATGTATATATTGAATGGGCTAATGAACATATTATCCTTTCTATATAAATCCTAAATACAATATAATATTAGATATAAAAAACATCAAATAAAATAAAATTATTGAATGACAATATTAACAAGAGATAGAAAAGCTTGTAAGATAACAGCTGCCATCAATGGACAATATACCCTATAGCACAAGTACAATAATAACAATACTATTTTTTTTGTTTCTTTCATTACTTGGTCTATACATACATAATAGGTGTAATAAAAAAAAAGAGAAAGAAAGAGGTTCTAAATTTCTGTAATAATTGTTTATAAAATATATGTGTGTAAGTGTAGGTGTAGGTGTAGGTGTAGTTGTAGTTTTAGTATAAAGTGGGTAAAGTAAATAATAATAATAATAAAAGAAACAAGATAATATCCAAAATCATTTTGTTTTTTGCTCATATGGATTTGGTTTGTCTATTGGCTTTGGAGTGGCTTTCTGGCCACATAACCTAGCCAATCCATATGAGCATTATACTGTACACACTGAGCGCACACCATCTCTACTCTGTGCTGATAATCCTCACGGCTCATTCCCATTAGTGGTGCCAGTAATTTCTGGGCTGATTGAAATGTCCGTAGGTTAACCGCAGTGAACTCTTGGCCAAGATTACTCTCTCCACCTAACAATAGAATATAAGTAAGTATAGATATAAAATAAGATCAATAAAAATCTTACCTAATTTCACATGTCTTTTTATATATTGGAATAGCTGGAAACCAACTGTTGGTAAAAGGGACTTGAGCCGAGCCGCATCATCATAATCCTTGTCTAATCCCTTTAGAATATTCCGTACTAATTAAGTAAAAAAAAAAAAAAAAGAGCAAAAATGAGCAAAAATGAGCAAAAAAATAACAATAATTAACAGGTGAATTTAATAAAGAAAGAAAGAAAGAAAAAGAGAAACCACATCTGATTATTATTGCTACATTAACAATATAAATAAATGTGATAATATTTTACTATAAATTATGACTAGCATGGTAGTAATAGGAGTAATGGATTTACCTGTATCGATGAACGATTCTATCAAGATTGACCCAACAGGCTTTATATTATCATTATGTATTTTATTTTAATTTTGTTTTATTTTGAAAAATATATATAGTAATATAAAATTGTACACAAAGAATATATATATATATATATAAAAGAAATATATATTCATTTGTGAGTTTCAATCCAAAAAATAGATATATATATATATATATAAAATATATAAAATATAAAGAAAACTTACCACGTTGTGCAACTCAACTATTTGTATATATCCACCAGGCTTAAGAACCCTGTAGGCTTCTTGTAATACATGTGTCCACTGACTGTTCCCGAATGCCAGACCCGGAGCCCAGATATTAACTAGATCGACACTCGAGTCTTCTAATGATGATTGGACATCGTTCTCCAGGCTTGGATCCATTTTAACATTGGGCAGTACCAAAGTGTCTGGTGTGACATTGATATCTTGAGAATCACTCAGTAATCCAGTTACTGGGATGCCGATGAACTCCCATTCATCATATTGAGAAGCCATATCCTAAATATATTTCAATCATTGAATTAGAAATATTGTTTACCAGTAAGAATAATTTAATTAAGTAATATATATATATATATAAGCTCTTTAAAGAAGTGTAGGAGTATATATCAATCAACCAATTGATTGTTTGATTGGCTGATAGAGAAAGGTGGTGTAATTATACAGGTATTGTGAAATAAAGAAATAATAATAATCTTGTGATTCTTACCGTAATCCATGCACTAGTTCCACTCCCAAAATCAGCTACTCGTGCAAAAGGCTGTCCACACAAACCAGATGCTACAGCCGGAAGAACGATACTATACTTATTATCATTAGTATTTATAGTCGATGGATAATATTATCAGGCTCTTCTTGTTCTCTCTTTATCTTTTTTTTTTGGTTACTGTTACCGTAAAGTGGTAAATAATATTTGTATTCTAGACTTACTCTTCAAACAAGTGTTTTAATGCAAAATGTTTCTACAAGTATTTAATATAAAGAAGTAATTAGTTTCATATTCCATAATATATTATTTTCATTTCTCTTCCTCCTCATCCTTCTTCTTGTTTTGGAAATTAACAGTAATGAGTAGAAATGATGGTAGTTAATTATTGGTATTTGTATTATAAAATTAATGTATATATATATATAATATTTAGCTATTAATTTATTAACAGTATCTGATTTAAAATCAAATAAAGTGGCCTGTTCGTCACAACACTTTCCAATTTATATATATAAACTCTGATTATTATTTTTACTTTTTTTTTTTTTACTCTTACCGCAAATTGACCGTCTTGGTTTTCCCAGTTTTTTGGAAGAAATAGACTGTTTGAATGTAATCCAGAAAAATCTACTCCTGGTTGTTGTGGTGAGGATACTTGGTTGTTATGTAATTTCCAGCTTGGATGTTTTGGATATGTTGGAGGTGAAATATTGTCTAATGAATTCGGATAAGATCCTCCTTTTCCACTTCCTCCTGGTATTAAACTTTGATGCATTTGTGATTGTGATTGTGATTGTGGTTGTGGTTGTGGTTGTGGTTGTGGTTGTGGTTGTGGTTGTTGTGATTGCGGTTGTGGTGGTATGTATCCTTGTTTGATAAGCTCTTGTTGGTAGGCAGATAAAGAAATTGGTTCGTTCGGTGAGGATGATAGGTGAGATTGGATATTCGACGAATTCGTGACTCCACTACTGTCGACCTGAGTGTCGGTGCTTTTGGGATATTTGTGTTTACGTTTGGATTGAACAGTTCCCATGGTGATTAATATAAAGAGAAGAAGAAGAGGCAAAAGATATAAAAAAAAAGAAAAGAAAAGTAAAATAAAATAATAGAAGGAAGGAAAGAATAACCATGACAACAGTAAAATAAATATATATATATAAAAAAACGTGTGTATTAAACAAAGATATACTTTTTTCTATTTTAGCTTGAGATTATTTTCATTTAAATGTCCGCCTTTATTTCTTTTTTTTCTCTTTTTTCTTTTTTTTATTTAATTTGATGTACACACAAAATATACATATATTTTGGATGAGGTTTACTATTATTATTATTATTATTACAGCAAAGAAAAAGACGATGCTTTTTGGGTATTGTTTTGTAATAAAGATATACTATGGCTGATCAAGACAACCAATTGACTTAAATATATATTAAATAGAAATAACAAGCTAGTTATTATTATTAAAAGCTCCCATTAATGGCTCAACGTGCACTGGGATCGGAATTCGTACCGAGGGAACGTGCGTCTCGATTGTGTGAGATGGTGGAGAAGCTTCCAATAAGACCTGATCATAACTTGGAAGGCTTTCATCTCTAGTATGCAATACAAGCTTTCTTCTTCTTATTCTTCTTCTTCGGGTTCTATTTACACTATCCTCCCTCTGCTCGCCAATCTCCTCTCCTTCTCCTTCTTCGTATTCATATGTATATTCATGACCTTCGCCTTCGCCTTCACTATTGTCTTCACTATCGCTTTCATCTTCTGTATTATAATTATAATAATTAGACTGGCTCATATCCGCAGCATCGGTCATCTGACTGATTGGTGCCGTTTCGTGGCTTTGATCACTACTGGGTATACTTCCCACCCGGATTGGGAAACTAAGTGACATGGGCTTGGCCATCTCTGTCCTGGAAAAGTGTATCTGGAGACGCAGTTGGTGGTTGATTTCCAACCCTGGAAACGAGAGCTGGCGAGAAATCTTTGACCAATCGAGATCCAAAGAAAATGCTAATAATATATACATAAAAGTACAAATATATATAAATACATGTGTGATACACATATAAAAGTAAAAATATATTGGGGTCAAAAATTATTATCATTTTTATAATATTTTTATATACATATATTTGTATGTGTGAGAATTGTATATATATATATTTCTTGTTGTTGTTATATAATTTATATAACTTACACAAATTTTCAAGTGACTCACTAGGCAGGATAGTTCTTTCCATATCTAAAATAAAAATACAAATACAAATACAAATTAATGGTATATTTTATATAAAGATGTACATTTTATGAACTTACGGACTATCTTTCGAATACGAGTCCGCATCATGTTGCCTTCAAATGTCTGGTCAGATTTATATTCTCCTGGTTGAATACTACATAATAAAACATAGCATAGAATAAAAAAAAAGGATGATAAGAATAAGAAAGAAGGACAAGAAGAACGAATTTCTTTAAGTATATATAAGGTATATGTATATTTTATTCTAATATTCTGTAAATTTCTTACGGGTATCGTTCTGATTGCTCAAGTTCAGCGATTATCTGAACAACCTGGGTATCTTCCTTCAGTGGGGTCAGAGTGCACTGGAAACCAATAGAGTCCTGAGTTCGGACAATAAGCGAAGGACAGATTACTGTGTACGACAAATGACCCTGTCGTGTACCTTGGTATCTCTTTTGAAACACGTCGAGTAACAACGGGATGTCCAGATAGCCAAAAGTATGTTTCTGGATTTCAAGGCTGTGTCTGGCCCGTAACCAAGGGCGAGTTTGATGATCTTTCTTTTTATTCTTGTCGTTGCTCCTCTCTCGATCCAATAATGGGGACAAAACTATTTTGGTGTTGTTAGATCATTATGAATATTAGTATTGCCATGATCTTATACTACTATTATTCTCATTCTTACTGTTACTTTGTGGCGGTGGTGGTAATACTGTGATAGAAGAGGAAGAAGAAGAGGAAGGAGGAGATGGTACTGATGAAGATGATGAAACTCGTTCTTTGGCGGCCCAGAATCCAAACTTGAACAGCTCAGTAACCGATGCTAGGATCAACTTGGCACTGAGATCATAGACAATAGAGTGATTAGGGATGGTGAGTGAACCTGGCAGTCTATCGCTATCCGGAATAATGATTTCAAACGGCCAGCGCTGAGAAACACCTGGTTCTAATCGAGCAACTGATCCCAGAATTTCTTTTTGTTCACGGACTAGAACCTGAACAGATTTGGAAAGACCTGGGATTTATTTGTTTTTGGTGTTTGTGGATATTATTAATACAAGCAGAAAAATAAATAAATAAAATAATCAAAGCCTAAATGTATAACTTCTACATATATTGAATTACCAGTCTATATAGCTATGTATCTATGTATGTAATATTTTATTTTATTTTATTTACCAGTGACTTTGTCGGTAAATTCAGTGTTAACTACACTTTTAAGGACTCCTTTCAATTGAACTCTGATCTGGCGCAAGGAGATCGGTTTCGATACACACAGAGTTACATATCCTCTTATGATAAGCATGTCTCTACCAGGTACATCATTGGCGTGTAGTAAGATATAGTCATTATCAGGTACGATATCAAAGGATGTAATAGCCATGATATTTATGAAACTATAGTAACTATATAGGTCTTATAATAATAATAGATAGTTAAAATTATTTAGAAAAGAAAGAACATATATATATATCTGTGTATGTGTGTTTGTACTTCTTTTAAGAAAAAATTAACAGGAACAGGTTGATAGCGAGCTGTATTTAAAACAGTCTTTTCCTTCTTATTTTGTGTGTGGATGTGGGTGTGTGTGCACACGTATTAATCACAAAAAAAAACTACTTTACACAATTTTCTTTCGTTATTTCTCTCTTTTGGATTACTAATTCTTGAAGTATTTGATGTTGTAACGCAAATGTTGGGCGCACGTAGCCGAATTCCGGCGGTCCAAGTGCCTGTATAATTAAATACGGCGGCTTTTCTTTGACAAGATCGATCCTTGTAAATGGTAGTGATCTTGGCAGTTTTAGAGATTTCTTAGCCAAGTTTTTCTTGGCAGCTGTCAAAAGAAAAAAAAATATATGATAGATATTCCTGGTAAAATATTCAATTTTATTTATATACATATTTTAATTGTTTTTGGGAATCTTGTGATTTGGTATGAAAAATGCTTGGGTTTTAGTGATCTGAACATTCGACAACCTTCATTCTACAAAGGAAAAAAGAACAAATTTAGAACTTTTATAGAATACACCTTGAATTGTGTAGTCTACACCACGATGTATATTTTCCTCCTACTCTACAATAGCTATTTCTGGAAATTGAAGAAACTAGAAAGGAACAAGACAAGCGCATTATGCAACATGGTGATTAATTAGTTTATTTTATTTATCCCTATGACACTACTTATTCCACCCCTCCCTCTATATCCCTCCAGTATCACAGTATATTTATTAATTCTTTCTGTCTCATTCACTTAGCCAAAGCTTCAATTTACAGTTAAAGCAGAAAAAGTAATAAACAAAGATAAGCAATGCTCTTTTTTTTTAATTAGTTTATGCTAAGCGGTAAAGGAAACAAATAGAAAAGGAGAGGGGAATGAGAGGAACTATGCTGCCCGTCTCACACAGCCAGATATTGATTTGAACAACTCAAGTTTTCTCTTGTCTCCATGCAGAAGAGAATATCTGATCATTCCTTGAGTGTCCCCGTCGCAATAAGCCAAGCTGGCTGCCTAGATGTTGTTGAACTGGTAGAGGCGAATGTATACTGACAGAGACAGCCGTTCCTTTACTTCATTATCATTGTCTCGAGGAGTCTTTGCCGTGTCTCTACGCTTTCAAAGCCTGGAGATTTTCTGATATATCCAACATTTATTGTATTGCTACCATCATTACTTATTTCTGTGCGGAAGGCAGATGCTGATTCCACCAAGTTTCCGATCGCATTATCTTTGAGCTTAAATAGTTAGTCTTCCTTTGACATTCTTTCCTTCAACACGTCTGGAGACCCGTTCACCGAAATCTTTATCTTTAATAATTCTGCCAAACTCTGACACAGTTATAACCTTGGGTAGTCGTGGCATTTTCTTGGTGATGTTGCTGTAGATCTTTGTTTTTGACATTCTTAAAAAAACATTGACTTGGTGGTCGATAGTAGACTTTTGAGGCTGTAGACAATTGAATCATCGGTGCTTGAGTCGCTATCGTCGCCATTGTTTTTGTTACTGTTATTAATAATCAGAGACCCGTACATTTTTTGATCGAAATTTGATCTTTCAAAAAAGACGTTCAAATTTTGATCGTCGCTTTTACAATTTTAACCCAATAATATTGCTTTCTAAATTTAAGATTTGATTGATCAATCTGGCTGAGTGCCCCCAAGATATTCGACTTACTAAAAACAGATGTTTCAGATGGTTTTGCATAAATTAATTCAAAAAAAGAAAGAAAAAAAAGGGGATTGCATCAGATGAAGGGATACATCTCAAATTTAAACAGCTCTAATATTTCTATATGAAGATGTGCGTGTCAATTTTATTGATGAGAATGGTGGTCCTGAGCCCATAAACTACATTGTTGATCAGAATGAATTTATTGCTGAGGCTATTGCTACTCCTACAGAGTACTTGGGAAATACAGTCTCCAGTGAATCTTTTCTGACTTGGCCAATGGTTAGAAAAGCAAAAAAAAATGAAGATATTCATATGAAAGAGGCAAAACTAAAACGAGAATGTGTAGGTTATACAGTCCAGAATAAATTTAGGTTTTTCGATCTGAAGATTGAAAAGCGTATGACTGCAGCAACTGCAGCAAAGCTGTTGGGCATTCACCCTTGAAAAGCTTATATATGGGTTAGCCAATATAATGCGTGTCCTGACAGTATTCTTTGAGATCTGTAAAAAAGCAGGCCCCAAGTGCATCTTAACTGAAGAACATTAAACGACTGTGATCAACTTCATTGATGCTAATCCCTCTGCTACTGTCTTTGAAGTGACCGAGCATTTTATGAAGCAATTCCATGATCTTAAAATGTCACGTAGCACTGTTAATATGTTTATAAGACGTGCATGCAACCTTTCGTTGAAAAAAAGTAGACTTTCATTCTATTGAGAGAAACAGTCCAGCCAAGATTGAGGAGCAGTACAATTGGGCTTGTAAGTAGGAAAATACAGACATGAACTTTCTGACGAATTGCGCGTTTCTTGACGAGTCTGCATTTAATATCAATATGAAACGCTCTAGGACTTGGTCCAAAAAAGGCACGCGAGCCATTGTTACCAGACCACTATATCAGTTTCTTAAAAACGACTCTTGATAAAATGGACAAACACCCACATATGAAAGGCCACTGTATTGATATGAATAATGCACCCATTCACACACATGATAAACATATCGACGTATATTGAGTATCGAGGATATAGATGTGTGTATCTTCCTACTTACTCTCCTGAGCTTGATCTAATTGAACAATTATGGGCAGTGGAAAAGAGTAAGGTTAAGCGTCATAGGATTTTGCAGGAAGACACTTTGTCCAAGAAGATTACAGGAGCCTGTAACAATGTGAAGCAAAGTCCTTTCAAAGGATTCGTCTCGCACCCTTACCAGTGTTGGGGTAAATGTCGAAACAGACAACCTATGTAATGACCCAAACGAATATGCAATCAGGGAAAACGGTAAGTGAAAATCAGACAAAAAAAAAAGTCTTATAATTAGACACCCTGGTTCATAACCTGGTAGCCGTAAAAAAATCATTTTTTTTATTTGGTCACTTGACAAAAACAAAAAACAAAAACAAAACACGCACAATCCCTCTCTCTCTCTCTCTCTTTCTACCTAGTTTTTTATCGATTTACTATCAAATTCATGTCAGTATCTACAAGTAACTTATTAACACGCGGTCAAGCCATGTGCCTTGTACTTGATATGGTGCCCACTGTTGACAACCGACGAAAAGCAAACGAGATAGTAGACAGCAATGTGTTTAATGTTACGTATACCGAAGATCAAGGCCCACTGCATCCTTTTGCCATGGGGAAGTCAATTATCGAGAAGAATCCGTTTAAATACAAGACTTATCTTAAGACGCCGCCTACCAGCCCAACTTTAAATCCAAGCAATACTGTGACCAGTGATAGGATCAGCGATTTAATCAACAACAGTAACAAAAACAATGGCGACGATAGCGACTCAAGTACCGATGATTCAATTGACTACAACACCCGAAGTCTACTATCGACCACCAAGTCAATGTTTTTTAAGAATGTTAAAAACAAAGACCTGTTCGACTATGGCTTTTATACCACAACGGACATCTACAACAACATCACAAAGAAAATGCCACGACTACCCAAGGTTATAACTGTGTCAAAGTTTGGAAAAATTATCAAAGACAAAGACTTCGGCAAACGGTTCTCCAAATGTGTTGGGCAAAAGTCTGTCAAAGGACGAATGTTATACACTCCCACAAAAGAATGTTTGGACCTCCGCAAATAGATTTCTCATGCCAAAAAAACATGACCTATATTCAACATACAACTACTTGACAATGGTTATAGCTAAGAGCTTCAAACTTCGAATATGAGAATATATACATGTTTATTATTGAATTGTAAAAACAAATTAGAGGTTTAATAGTGAGTATGACCATCTTTGGTGTCAATTACTGCCTGGAATCAGGAGGACATACTTCCCACCAATTGTGAAGCGAGTTTGAGGTTTATGTTCTCCCACTCTCGTTAAATTACAGGCTTCAACTCACTGGCGTTTTGTATACTGGCTCGTACTTTACTCAATTTGACTTCAAGAGCCCACCAAACATGCTCTATTGGGTTTATATCTGGACTTTGAGCAGGCCAGTACTCAAAGCCCTTAATTTCAAGGGTCTCTTTCCACCACTTCGCATAGGCCCCAGTATGACAGCTAGCACCATCTTCTTGGAGCTTGAAGTCCTTCTGATATTGCTCTGACAGATTTTTAACCCAGGGTACAAATTTCTGAGACAGAGTCTCGACATATACTTCTTGTTTTACATTGCCTTCAAGTAACCCCAAGAGCCCAAAACCACCAGACCAGAAACAGCTCCAGATCATGACGCTACCTTTACCCCACTTCGTTACTTGGATAATATGATCTGAATACCTTTCATTAACTTTTCTAATCACTCTGGCTCCTCCATCGTTATCCTCAACTGTGAATCTAGACTCATCAGACCAAACTATGCTACTCCATTGGTCATATGTCCAATTGACGTGATTCTTCGCCCATTGCAGCCGTGTCTTCATGTGTCTCTCTGTCAAAGCTGGCTTATGAGCTGTAATATACGACCCGAAGCCACGATTTCTGAAGGAGATGAATAATGTAGCTCTGCAGACAAATATCTCCATCTCTCTCGATGCTTATCTCATCTGATATAGTTAACGAATGAGTCCTTAGGAACAATCTGCACAAAGTCCCTTTCTGTCCTCTCGTTAACTATTTTAGGCAGGTCAGGACTATTCCAGACAAAGGTAAGCCTGTCTTCAGGAATCTCTTAATGATCTTCACAGTTGAGAGCTTCATCTGGACTATGCCTAAAATATTGATTGAGCCGATTTCAGTCAAATGTAAGTAGATGATGCCATCATATTTTAGGTCATCAGCTTTATAATAATAATCATGCTTGATTTTTGATGAAGATGAGGTTTCCATTATGGGTTTGATTAGTAAAATGAAGAGAAAATAAGATTTTAGAGCATCTTCAGCAGTAGCTTTTACCCCGACTTTTATACCGCATTTGGACTTTTAGATAAAAGTTATTTTCCCAGCAGTTCCTTTTATTTTATTTTATGAAAAAATTACGGTCCTAAATTTTATCTAGCTGCTATACCTGACAGGGATTTAAGAGCATCTTCAGCAGTGAGATAACTTTTAATTTATCTAAATTCAAACACTGCTACTTTAGCTAAAGAAAAGGTCAATTTTCCCGGCAGTTCGATTTATCTTTTTCTTTAAATAACTCCACTTTTACATTAAATGGAGATAAAGTGGACTGCTGAAGATGCTCTAAAAGTTCTAGCTGAAAGCACTCAAAATTTATTTAAAAGAGAAAAATTAAACTGCTGGGTAGAGTGGCTTTATTTTATGTAAAAGTGACAATTTTTGATCCCAGATAAAATAAAACTTAGCTGACTGCTGAAGATGCTCTTAATTAATCTCTAAAACTGCCAAGATCACTACCATTTACAAGGATCGATCTTGTCAAAGAAAAGCCGCCGTATTTAATTATACAGGCACTTGGACCGCCGGAATTCGGCTAAGTGCGCCCAACATTTGCGTTACAACATCAAATACTTCAAGAATTAGTAATCCAAAAGAGAGAAATAACGAAAGAAAATTGTGTAAAGTGGCTTTTTATTAAAACGCGTGTGCACACACCCACATCAACACACAGAATAAGAAAAAAAGATTGTTTTGAATATAATCAGTTCATCATTAACTATTTTTCTTTAATTTTTTTCTTATAAAGAAGTGTATATATAGATATATGTGAAATATTACAATTGTTCACTACCAAGAAGTTCAAATAATTTTTTTAATAGGGGGTTTCATGATTTCTGTATATGTGAAAATACAGATAAAGAAAGCGGAGTGTATGTATTTTTATCCAATCAGAATCTACATAGAAAAAATTAAACCCTCTCTCCCCTTTTATTATTCTTTTTTATTTCTCAGTTTCTATTGGCTTTTAATTTTGCTAGTTACACTGTAGGAAATGGCAAGATATATACCTCCGACCTCGTACCGAGTTACGTACTCGTAACTTCTGCTATTTAAAAGTCAGTCTTTAAAATACCGACCTCGTAACGAGTTACGAACTCGTAACTTTTATAGCCAATAGCATGCCTGTTTTAGCCTATTAGTTTTACTTTTTGTCAAATACGATTTATGGGATTTTTTATTATTTTGTATCTAAGCCAATAAAATATTCTAAATATGGCAGAGCTATACCTTTTTAGGTATTTACATTCTCTTTATGATTGGTTCAACAAATGCATGATGTTTTATATTGAATTTTTTTTGGTTTTTATTGATCAAAATAATACAAGTTAAACATAAATAAGTATGCGAAGAAGAAGTACTAATTTTTATGATATTTAGTAACAGCTTAAGCTATACATTCATTAAATAATATACATATATCTATTTTTATGTGATACTTTTTACATTGTTTGTCTAAAAAAAAGCTATTTTCTAAGTACTATGATATTGATGAAGGCATGTATATTTCTTAATTGATTCTTTTAATCAAAGAGTATAAACCTGCTTTGTGCTAACATTGTTATGCCTGATTCCTACTTTTAAAAAAACAGAAGACAGATTCCCTGCGATTCTCGAAATCTACCGAGAGCTCTAATGAGCATGCGAGGAATCTTGACAACCAAATTGTACTTGATGCAGATATTTCTGTCAATTCTTCTCAAGTTACTTTCTTTTGTCAACTTTGCTGATTCGTATTTTATTAATACTAGCCTTCATAGTTATTAAGTGTGTTCTTTTTAGAGACCTTTAATAATTTAGACCTTGTGAAAAAAAAATAGAAACAAGTCCTTTAGATGTACCGATCTAAATTGTTTGGAGAACATGGACGGGTCAGAGGTTATGCATCGTTTGTGGAATCGGGATCTTGCTGCTGTCCTGAACTTCCGACATATACTTAACAACCTGAGATATGATGGGATTATACCTGTAAGGTTCACCCGCGTTATTCGGATTGGATGTATCAGAAGACAAGCAGAAGAAGATCTCCAGGAGGGTCGTCGTTTGAGACAAAGACTGACTAGAGTTCAAAGAAGATAAATTTTTTTGTCCTGGTTACCGCCTAGGACCCACCCAAGCTACCGCTGGTAACCCATTAGATTTGAATAACTTGGTATTTAGTTTTGTAATGGGTTGAAAAAGCTAAGAAAAAGATGTTTTGCTTTGACTGCAAAAAACATGGTGGGGTAAAAAAAAAAAGTAGAATATAAAAGAGAGTGAGAGAAATTGGTGCATAATTAAAACTCAAGTACAAGACACTTTAAACCCCGGAAAACTTGCAACAATTCACTAAAATCGCCTATTTTTTTTCTATAGGGTACATAGCTATAGAAATGATGAAACCCCCTTTCTTTCAAGTATTTTTTTTTCTCTTTTAGGTGTGGACAGATCAAGATAGTAAAAAAAAAATTTAAAAAAAAAACAAAAAAACAGAAAGTATGGACAAACAAGAATTCATTTGATTGGATGGGCTAATTTTACCGCTTTTTTTTTATATATATAATTTCGATCTGTTGACACTAAATGGCTATAAGAAGAAGAAAAAGAAGAAGAAAAAGATTTATAAAAGCCATACGGCTTAAAGAAGTCTATATGTATATATATATTTTTCTTTTTAATCTATCAGCAGCCTGCACAAACATTAACCCTTATATATATATAAATATAAGCTCTTAAAAAGAAAGCCTTAAAAAAGAAACCGTTGAGCTCCCCTAATATAAAATAAATAAAGTAAAGTATTTGTAGGTTCTTTAAACTGAGTTGTTCAAATTATGCCATCTGGTTAGAAAGTTAGTCTCAGCCACTCACATCTGTCGTTGAGCCAATAGAAAAACACCAATATTAATAATAATAAAAAATTAGGAAAAAATAATAATAGCTATAACAAATCAGCAAGACTTATTCTCTCACCCCTCATAAGCAAGTCTAAATATAAAGATCTATTTACACACTTTACACAGCCTATGCAAATTACTTACATAAATATAAATAGTAGGTATATCTTCTAAGAAAGAAATGGTACAAATAATGACTTTTATGATTAATAATTAGTGTAGTATATTAACAATAAAGAGGGTGACTTTGTAGTCCAGTGGTTAGATTTCCTCTCTTTCTTTTTCTCTTCTTCTATTTTGTTACAGCTACACACAGTCTAGCGGACAACGCATTGTACAGGCTTTCAACCTCCCCCTCAACTCACTTTATCTTTTATTATTATAATTATTATTATTTGACTGTCTACTATTTTGCCTTTCTGGCTTATTTCTATATATACACACAAGACATTTATATTACTCCCTTCTTATTCTTCTTCTTCCTTCTTGATATATTAATATCTTGACCCCTCCAACTATATCTATATTTACACTCACACTCAAGCACTCACAGGCACACAAGAAAGATATATATATATATATTTATATATATCTGTGTGTATATATATATACATGTATACATAAATACATATATACATACATACATAAATATACTTCTCTATCGCTCTCTCCTTTATCACTCTCTATTATACACTTAAAAAAAAATCAAAGCAAGTCAAAGCAAGTCAAAACAATAAAAGATGGCGGACTCTACAAGACAACCTTTACCGCAATTGCAATCACAGCAGCAGCAGCAACCACAACCACAACCACAACCACAACTACAGCAACAATCACAACAGCATGTCAGTTTCATCACTCCAACTCCTCCAAAAACATATGGCTATGATGACGAACCCATCATCTTTTCAAATTACTACGCGCCTCTTTCGCAAACATTTAATCCTGAACTTCATCGAACACGCGCACCATTAGATGCTTATCCTACACCCGAACCAACCGAATACAATCAATCATCGAACAATAATAACAATCTTATTACTCACTATACAAATTATGCACAAAGTAACAGCAACAACAACAACAATAATAATAATGGTTCTATTTCTACCTCTAATGCCACTGCTACTACTACCGCCACCGCTTCTACTTCTGCTACTGCATCTACTTCTAATTCTACTGTTGTTGCAATTCCAAATGCCATTAGCCCATTCCAACAACCCCAACGGACAGACTCATATGGAGGTTTGACTACTCTTCATTCTAGCGAGATCATTGATCAGTCCACGTCACACAATGCAGAAAAGGTCGTAGAGGAATCACCAAACGAACGTTATGTAAGACTCAACACACTGCTCGGAAAAGGTGCGTACAAGGTAGTTTACAAGGCTATCGATCGAGAAGAGGGATACGAAGTAGCATGGAATACAATGCAGGTAAAAAAAAAAGGGGGGGGGGAAGAGAGGATAAAGGAAACAAGAATATTTTTTTTATTTTGTTTTACTTTGCTTAAAGACAACTTGTTCACCTTTGTTAACCTATCAATTAATATTTTTCTCTCTATTACATATATATGTACTGTCTGTGTGTGGGGATGTGTGTATCTTAATTGATTGTACACGACTTTATCCTTTGTATCAAATATATACGTTTGTATATATATATATATATAACTGCGACCGAAAAAAAAATAACAACAACAACAACAAACTCAAAAAAAAAACAGGCAACTCAATCACCTAATAACAAGGATTTGGAACATGAGATCCAGATCCTAAAGTCAGTCCGTCACCCGAATATCATTGCATTTCATGATGCCTGGTACGGCGAAAACGAATTTGTGTTTGTGACGGAGCTGATGACTTCTGGTACACTGCGGGAGTACATACGGAAGCTGGCTCCGTTGCCAAACATCAAGATCATCAAACGCTGGTCCCGGCAGATCCTCAAAGGTCTGGCCTATTTGCACGGCCGCAACCCACCCATCATCCATCGAGATATCAAGTGCGACAATATATTTATCAATGGCGCCCACGGTGAGGTCAAGATCGGGGACATGGGTACGGCCGAGATGAAACTCGGTAAAAAATACACGATCATTGGTACGCCCGAATTCATGGCTCCAGAAATGTACGAAGAACAAGGTTACAACGAAAAGGTCGACATTTATGCCTTTGGTATGTGCTTGCTCGAGATGGCCACGGGCGAATATCCATATGGAGAGTGCACGAATGCAGCCCAGATTTACAAAAAAGTATCAGCCGTGAGTATCATACTTTTTTTATTATTTATATATAAATATACCTACAATTTGAATGTGTGTGTCTGTAATTGATCATTTGGATTACCTGCCTGCCTATCTGGCTGACTAAATCAATGGACGAGCGAATGACTAACTGACTTACCTACTGACTAAATGACTGAATAAATGAATGAATGACTTGAACTTGAAATTAATATTGTTTTTTTTTCAATATTTTTTTTTTATTTTATTTATTTTTTTAAAAAAAAATTTAAGGGTGTAAAACCAGCATGCCTTCAGAAAGTTCAAAATCAAGAAGTATTGCCAGTAATCACTTCATGTCTTGGGCCAGAGGAAGAAAGGCAAGTATTATAAATATTGTTATTGCTATTATTAATATTGCTATTCTTTAGAATGACTTCCCAGGAAATTCTGGAGCATTCTTTTCTCGCAGTAGAACCGGATGTCGTCCTGCTAGCTGCAGATCCAAACCATGTTCATCTCACCTTGCAGGTTGTTTTTAAGGGCATGGACAAATTATCAGTCAAATTTGATTTCAATGTTGTAAGTTGTTTATTTTATTTTGTTTGATTTTAAATTTACAAAATATATGCATATTACATATATTATCGTTACTAAATATACACATAAATGAATAAATGACAATTTTTATAGGAAACAGACACAGCTGAAGAGGTTGTTAGAGAAATGGTAATATTTTTTTTTCTTATATCAAATTATATATAAAAGGTACACTAAATATACTAAACAACCAATATATATATATATAATCAGATTGAGGAACAGGTACTTCCTGAACGTTATCAGCACCACATAACAAAGGAAATCAATCGTATCTTGAGAGATATTGATAAGCCAAGTGAATCAGAACAAGCTGAACAGGCACGCCGTTCGGTCTGGAGAAGAGAAAGTGACATTCGTTCGGAATTAGAACGAACCCGTCTTGAATTGAAGCGAGCCACAGACCGGGTAATCGAAATTGAATCCAGGTGCGATACTTTTGAGAACCGTGCACGTGCAACTGAAGCACGATACCGTGAAGCTGCACATAATCTGCGTGAAATTCAACTCCACCAGCAACAGCAACAGCAAATTCAACAACAGCAACAACAACAACAGCTTCAACAACAGCAACAACTTCAATATCAACAGCAACAGCATCATCAACAACAACAGCAGCAGCAAGAAGAAGAGAATCGTTTGATTGAAGAATCAAATGCTCACCAAAAGGAATTGCTGGGCGGAGAAAGGTCTACAGTTGAGCTTAGCCCTGGTGCTTCATTTTCAAGAGAAGTTTCCGAAAGAGGAGGTCATTTTCCTATCTCACCAGAAATGACTCTCAACAGTGCAAGTGATTTAGAACCTTTGCGTAGATCGGATGAAAATCCTGCTTCTCGTGAGTTACTTGTGTCTCGGATACTTGAAGGTAAGTTTTTCTCTCTTTCTCTCTTGAAAACATTAACATGATTTTTTTATTAACAATAATGCATATGTGTAATTAGAGTATTCGGATGATACCCCTGTAGAAGAATTCGTACAAGACTGTGCTTTGGCTGCTCACCGTACCTCTGACAAGGCTTGTGAATGGATTGCAAAGCTTCAGAATCAGGATATCATGACTGTAGGAGATTTGAGAGATCTTCATGATGAGGACTGGGCAGGCATTGTTGGCTTGACAGTATTTGCTCAGCGTGCACTTAAAAACATGCTTAAAGGAAAGAAACTGTCATCTCAGCAACAGCAACCATCAGTATCACCTACAAATGCAACTGCAATTCATTCCCCTGTCAACTCTGTCACATTACCATCTACCCCACCTTCTACATTTTATGTATTGTAAGAAAAAGTAAAAAAAGAAAAAAACAAAAAAAACAAAAAAATATATACAAAAAAAAAAGATATACAGAATAATGATAATGATAATTATTACCATTTTACTATTACTACTTTAACTACCATTACTACTACCACTACCACTACTATTACTACTACTGCTACTACTACTACTACTATTACTATTACTATTACTATTACTATTACTTTGTCTTTGTCTTTAGCTTTTCCCCTCTTTACATATATATATGTAATGTTTAGTAGTGCGCTTTTGCTTCTTTGAAATTTTGTTGTATTCCAAACCATTATATATCACTTTTGTTTCTTTCTTTTCACCTCTATTTTTTTTCACAAATATTTAATCACACAGATATATATATATTATATATTATATATATATAAAAAAAAAAGAGTTTGTTGTAAATATTTATTTCAATAGTAATGTCATAAAAACCAAGCCAATTATTATTATTAGCATTTTACAAATGTGTACATACTTTATTACAAGTAAAAACAGTAAAATAAATAATATATCTTTAATACTATATTAGCTCTACTTCTAATCCTTCCACTTTTACTTCTTTACATAATTTATAGAGATTTTTGTTGATGTTAATGGCGTCTTTATATATGAGATAAAAGAAGGAAAATGTGTAGAGTGAAATAAACGGAAAGAAAGAAAGAAAGAGAGAGAGAAACATATAATACAGATGTGTAAAGGAAACTCTATTTTGATTGTCGCTAATTGCTAAGTGTTGTTACTGTTACTGTTGTTCAATGCAGGTTAAATAGAAAATAATAATAATAATATAAAGAAAAGAAAAGGATAATGGAAAACTAAAATAATAATAAACACAAAATAATAATAATGATAAAGAGAACAAAAGAAAGGTTAGATAGATATGTAGAAAATTCACATATTTTATCTTCTTCTTTTACTTCTTCTGTTTCTCTTATTGGGGATGTTCCTTAATGTACTTTTGGCACTTCTTTCTCAAGTGGCTGGTTGTCTGCTGGTATATGTTGAGTTTCTTATCCCAGAACATGGCTTCATAGTCATCGCCATGCTTGTCGATCAGCTGACCAACCCAATCCTTCTCAAGCTCGGTCTGGTGTCTGTCGCGCTTCAGGACATTGGCTGCCTGTTGTTCCAAGGCACGGACCACATCAGTCTTGGCCTCCACAGGCTCAAACTCTTCCTCCAGAATCTCGTCGTGAGTCTTTTTTTCGCCAACAATGACTCGAAGCACATTTCCGTCGTCGTCACGCTGGATCAAACCCTCCCCGGGCTTCAAGGTCTTCTTGAGGCGCTCGATGTCAGCCTCGGTGAGTTCCTTGAGCTCTTCTTGCTCTCCGTTGACTCCCTGGCCACCGTTCTCGCCTAATTGTTCGGGGTTGGTGGGAGGGTTGAGGATTTCACGTCCACCGGAAGAACCGTTGAGGGAAGTCAAAAGACCAAGGCGAGCATAGCTAATTATTATTATTATTATTATTTGGTAAAATACACACGTTTATATGGCAAAAATAAAATAAAATTAAAAAAGAATAACAAGGTTGTCGATTTGGCTTACTTTTGACGAAGAGTTTGTTCTTTGTTCCAGTTGGCTTTGATGATTTGGTTGCCCTAAACAAATAATTATTTAAAGTTTTTTTTTTTAGTAAATAGAATAATAAATAAATGCAAATGTTTTAATTACTTGGAATTATAAACATAATTGTAAGATTCCTTTCATTTTTATTCTTCTTACTCTAATAACAACACGCTTCGAGTGCTTGTTAGCGGTACGTCTGGTAAGCTTGGTACCGGCTCTGGCAGATCTTCTCTTTTGTGGGGTGGCCATTTCAATGTAAGTAAAATTAGATTACTGGATTGATTTATAGATGAACTAAAACTAATAAAAAAAAAGAGAGAAATAAATTCTACCATCAAGGAAAATCGTGACTTGCTTTTTCAACTTGGCCTTTTTTTTCAAAAAAAAAAAAGTAAAATGTAAACTCAGTAAAAAAAGAAAAAAATAGGGACAAATAATCCTCTCAGTATAAATGTTTATAGGGATTGATACGGTTGAAGAAAGACTTTATTATAAAACAATAAGAAAAACACATAAAATGATATGAAAAAGTGTCTGCTAAAGGTGGATAAAGACTACCAGACAATAATGGTTTAAGAAAAAAATAAAGAAATCGGTCAAAGAGAAAAGGAAAACATTTTTCTTTGATAAAGCACGTGACGAGAAAAAAAGTGAAAAAAAGAAACAAAAAATTGGTATTAAAACAGGATTGATACTGGCAAGTGTTGCGATACGGGTTATAGTGTAACGAACCGAATAAGCAATTGAATAAAATATACTTCCTCATAATCTCAAAGAGACCAACAGACTTTAGGAATGAAGCAAGATAAAAAAATCAAACAAGAGTAAAAGGATGTCTTTATTGAATTGAGTGGAACTTTTTTTCAACTACTAAAAATGGGGTGTGTGATCGTAAAACATAAACCTATATGGAAATGTGAGTATAAAAAGGAATGGGATTTTTTGGCCGACGACCGACCAAATCTATCACACACGTGACAGCACCATTCATTTTTAGGCGAAATTATGCATTTCTACAAAAAAATCACTCTTACCCTGACCAGATATTCACACACCAGAGAGCTGCTCTTTCCAATTTGAATGGAAGGCTTGACTTTACCAAATTCATGGTTTGTCTTCCATTAGACTTCATGCAGACTGGTAATACAGATCTCAAAGAGCTTTGTGTCGAAATTTTCATTTCTCTTTGTCTCTAATGTGATTTTGTTGGTCCAGCGGGAAAAGATATTTTGGTTAGGGTCGTCAAATAGTCTACTAAGGAAAGAATCAATGTATCATGTATCAAGCTCGCATTAATTGCTATAATCTGCAATAGCAGCTCAGGGAATTTTTAGGACTAATCAAATGATACCTTGCACAAACTTGCATTCGTTGGCAGGGGGATCCAGCTCCAAAAGTTTGGCAGTTGCTTTGACTCCTGTTCTTGACGAGTACTTACATCTTTTTGTGGAGCGGTTTCTAATACTTGGCTCAAAATTAACTCTTGGCTGTTCTCAAAATGCATAACGCATACTAGGTAACCAAAGATTATTTTTTTTTAAAAAAAAAATGGGTTTCTTTCTTAAAGTTAAAATAAGAAAGGAAGGGACTATTAAAATGTGCCTTGTTGATTTATGGTTCTTGAATGTTGTCTATAGTTCATATAGTAGCCAAAGTATAGAGAGAAGAAGATGTAGTAATGCGATTAAAGAATGCCACCAATTTAAGTGGAGAGATATCAGCAATCCAAAGGAAATCACGGATTTTTGAAGTATAAAGTTGGAGTCTATTATATTAAAGCGTTTTGTATTATGATTATGATGAATATAAATTACTTGTGTACAGTTGGAAATTGCAGGAGTAAAGAACTTAAGATACTGCTTTTGCATATTGAATTAAAACCCATTATTTGGAACAGGTTCCCGTAAAAATTGCGCCCTTAGATTCTTTCCAAAAGAACACCATTTCCTGCTCATGGGCTTGTACCTGTGCCTGCCCCTTTAGGATAAGGAAATTAATGTATACATTTATATATTTATATAGAAGAACGTGAAGCGGAGATTTGTAAGGAAGATTAGGAGAGGGTTAATATGCATCTTTCTATAATCGCGCAAACAATGTTTTGTTTTATCTTATAGTTTCTTAATTGATAGTCAAAGCCTTTAGAGCTAGTTTTATTCAAAAGAGCAATTAAAATAAAATACAATAAAATAATGATCTGACACCATTATGGTTTTCTTGGTTGACAAGGTCTGATATGTATTTAATAATGAGCGATATTTTTATGTGAAAGTAATATTCATTGAATGAATATGATTCGTCAAAATATACAACAAATATAAATATATATATATATATGTTTTTATTATGTTTTATAATAAGATTAAACACAATAATAATAACTAGACTCTTAGCCGGGGGCCGGAGTAGCAGTCACAGTGGTAAACATCATCCCCAGCCCTTTTACCCTTACTTTATTTTTTTTTCCCTCCAAAAAAAAATACCCACCCCTCTCATCTGTCCCCTGTGACAATTTTTATAATGTTGAGAAACGCTGCTCGTGTCGCTCGTCCTGCCTTGGCTGCTTTCGCCAAGTCCACCCCGGCTGTGAGTATTATTACTTCTTCTTTTTTATTATTAAAAAGGAAAAGATAATATCATGTCGTCATTCCAATACAACACAACACAATACAACATCACACGCGTCCAAAATGAAAGAACAATGAAGAATACGAAGGAGAATATCAACAGAAATAATAAGAGAAACGACAACAGCAAAAAATAAAGATAAGACGATGAAAGAAGAACAAAAAGAAGAAAAAATACGTTACTGCATACACTCCACACAGACACATACACACGGGATATATGTACAGGCACATAGACACACGCACTTTACATAGATTTATTTGTATGATGTGTACGTGGGTATGTGTCTGTATGCGTGTTTGTATGATGCTTATTCGACACAATTTAATACAGCCGCTATATTGTCTACTGTTATTACTATTCCAACCCTAAGAATTCAATACCTGTATTATCATTATTTATATTTCCTTTTGTGTATATGTGTATTCATGCGAATTTTTATTTGTAGCTTCGTGTCAATGTCGGTGCTGCCACCGTTGCTGCCCGCTTTGCCTCTTCCAAGCCCTCCACTGCCGAGGTCTCTTCTATCCTCGAACAGCGCATTCTCGGTGCCTCTGCTGAGGCCGATCTCCAGGAGACTGGTCGCGTCCTCTCCATTGGTGACGGTATTGCCCGTGTCTACGGTTTGAAGAACGTTCAGGCTGAGGAGATGGTCGAGTTCTCCAGCGGTCTCAAGGTAAATATTATATAAATGCTTACTTGATATTGTGCATTATTATTGGAGTCTATAGTTTAGAAGAGAGATAGAGAGAATACGATTAAAATACTATTATGATATGGAAATTTAAACATGTTTTGTATTTGTAAATTAATTATTTTTTTGTGTCTTTTTTGTAATTGTGTATTTGTGTATAGGGTATGGCCCTCAACTTGGAAGCTGACAACGTCGGTATTGTCGTCTTCGGTAACGATCGTTTGATCAAGGAAGGTGACACCGTCAAGCGTACCGGTGCTATTGTCGACGTTCCCGTCGGTCCTGGTATCTTAGGTCGTGTTGTCGATGCCCTCGGTAACCCCATTGATGGTAAGGGTCCTCTTGAGACCGTTGGCCGTTCCCGTGTCCAGGTCAAGGCTCCCGGTATTTTGCCCCGTCACTCCGTCAACGAGCCCATGCAGACTGGTATCAAGTCTGTTGATTCCATGGTTCCCATCGGTCGTGGTCAGCGTGAGTTGATCATTGGTGATCGTCAGACCGGTAAGACTGCTGTCGCTCTTGACACCATTCTTAACCAGAAGAACTGGAATAACGGTTCCGATGAGTCCAAGAAGCTTTACTGCATCTACGTTGCCGTCGGTCAGAAGCGTTCCACTGTTGCCCAGTTGGTCCGTACTCTCGAGGAGAACGACGCCATGAAGTACACCATCGTCGTTGCTGCCACTGCCTCTGAGGCCGCCCCTCTCCAGTACCTCGCTCCCTTCTCTGGTGCTGCCTTTGGTGAATGGTTCCGTGACAACGGTCGCCACTCCCTTATCATCTACGATGATTTGTCCAAGCAGGCTGTTGCCTACCGTCAGATGTCCCTTTTGCTTCGTCGTCCCCCCGGTCGTGAGGCCTACCCCGGTGATGTCTTCTACCTCCACTCCCGTCTTTTGGAACGTGCCGCCAAGATGAACAAGGCTTTCGGTTACGGTTCCATGACCGCCCTTCCCATCATTGAGACCCAGGGTGGTGATGTGTCTGCCTACATTCCTACCAACGTCATTTCCATCACTGATGGTCAGATTTTCTTGGAAGCCGAGCTCTTCTTCAAGGGTGTCCGTCCCGCCATTAACGTCGGTCTTTCCGTCTCCCGTGTCGGTTCCGCTGCCCAGACCAAGGCCATGAAGCAGGTTGCTGGTTCTCTCAAGCTTTTCTTGGCCCAGTACCGTGAAGTTGCCGCCTTCGCCCAGTTCGGTTCCGATCTCGATGCCTCCACCCAGTTCTTGCTTAACCGTGGTGCCCGTCTTACCGAGCTCCTCAAGCAGCCCCAGTACACTCCTCTCTCCATTGAGGTCCAGGTCCCCATCGTCTTTGCTGGTGTCAACGGTTTCCTCGATAAGTTGCCCGTCGGTAAGGTTGTCGACTGGGAGAAGGACTTTGTCAGCTACGTCAAGACCCAGCACCAGGCCGAGCTCGATGAGATCCGCACCAAGGGTGTCATCTCCAAGGAGTTGGATGCCAAGCTCCGCAACATCTGCGAGACCCACGTCAAGACTTTCTTGTAAATTAAAATAAATAAATACATATAAATAAATAAATAAATAAATTCAAATTTATATATATATATATATATACAATATATTTTATTCAAACTGAATAAAATAAAAAAAGTTATAGAAATTGTGAATTTACAGTTACAGTTACAGTTACAGAATTTGACAAAACCCAAGTACATTTGAAAACTTTCAAATAAACGTTACTTAATTGAACCCCTCAAAAAGAAGATAGATATGATAAGACATTGTTACTGTATATATATATATATATATTATAATTAAAATAATATAAGCATTGTGGATTAAATGTGTAAAATAATGTAGATATAGAAGAGTAGTATATATATATTTCTTGTGTTTTTTGATGTTTTATTAGTGAGTATTTATAACATGTATATATATATATGTTGTTGTATAAACTATGACTTGATTGTGAGAGAAGAAGTGTCAAAGATTCTGCACTTGCTCTTGAAGACCTGGAGTGTCCGTTCGCGAACAATATCCTCTACCATCAATTCGTTGGCAACCATACGACGCTATTATTTTTTTAAATAGAAAAATTAATTAATTAATTAATTAATTATCAATTTAAAGCTTCTTTTTTCTTGTACCTTTGATTCATCAGAGTAAAGACTGGACTGGGTATCATAATCATCAGGATCTTCTTGGAGCTTCTTGTACTTTGTTTCGATAACATTATCCATTGTCTTTATATATACATATTTTTTTTATAAAATAAACAAAAATGTTGTACATGGGGGACAGAATATATATATATAAAATAAATAAAGTAAATAACATAACATAAATATTTTATTAAAGTTTATTTATTTATTTATTTATTCATCAATTGTGTATTGAATGAAATACTTTGTAGCTAATTCAAATAATCATAATATCTTATGTTATACTAACCTTGAGACAATAGTTGATCGCATTCTCGCGTTTGGCATAGGCTGAAGAAAGCTGCTTAAAGAAATCAGCACAAGCAGCCTCTGAATGAGTATCGGTTGAGTTGAGACGAGGAACAATGTTGTCGTCCACACGACGCAATTCCTTCATCATGTCTAATGTAATATATATATATAGAAATTAAAGGAGTTGTCCTTAGTATTCTTATTGTTGTTTGGTGATATCTAGTACTATATTGTTTATTGAATTGTTGTTGTTTTCTTACCTTTGAAGAATGAAAAGTTGAAACATGTGTTTTGGTTCAATTCCTTCTCTGCCATGATCAAGATTCTTTAATGTATTTATATAAATTATATATTAAAATAAAAAACAAATAAAGTAAGTATCTGAATAAAACAAACAGTACATAAATTTTGACGTATAAATAAATAAATACATATAAATTAATTAAAATAAGGACAGAGAGGGAGGGAGAAAGTAATCCCCTTTATTTTCCATGCAATTGACGCATAAGGACAAAAACAATAAAATGTGCTTTATTTGACGTACTGTAAAAGAAGTGCGTAAGAGAGAGAGAGAGAAAGGTAAAGAAGTAGAAAATAAATAAATAAATAAATAAATAAATAAAAAATAAATAAATAAAAAGGAGATATAAATGATGGGTTTTGGTTGCTGAGTTGGCCATATAGTTTTTTCTCTGGCGGATATTAAAGAAGTAAAATATGTATATATTTAATATATAAAATTATGAAATATATATGTATGTATATGTGTTATATTTATTATATAGTTACATAATTAAAATGAACATGCTACTATCAAAAGAGACTTGTCATTTGTAGTATGTACTTTAGATTGAATTTTGTATCCAAAGCTCACATTTACAGCACCCTGTGTTTTTATTTGGATTCAATGCTGTACTATTCAGTTTGGGTGTCATATAAAGTATATTTATTTTTTGACAAAAACATTTGCTATTATCATTATCCTTCCAGAGTCTGCGCGTATATGATTGTTTTTTCATATACTGGTTGCCTTGCAAACAGTAATATTTATAATCATAGACATGTTCATTGGGTACAAATAGGACCTTTACACCGTTTACTCAAAGATCAATACATCTCCCCTTGATATTATAGTTCTTCAGATTGTCAATTAGAGCTTAGCATTTGAAATCAATCTTTTGAATCGTTTATTTCATTCTTTATTATGTCAATGGCACAACGGATCACTTTAACAAGGCTTTAATTACATAGACCATAGCTATTTTTATATAACATTTGGACCTTCTTATATATATATATATTAGATTACTCTTGAAGTTGAATTACATTCAAGTAGTGTAAATGTTTATTAAAACAGACCAAGAAAATTAGAATATACCAAATCATACAATGAAATAAAGTAAGAAACATGGTTACATAGCCCTTCTTTTTGTCCCCATTTCTTTCTTCCTTTTATGAATTAAATAAAATAGAAAATAATTAAAATAAAATAAAATAAAAGAATATAATTTAATAAAGAAGCCTATCCTGTTCAGAATTAGATTCTGTTTTCTGAAAATATGTCTGAATAAAATCTATTGGTAATAGAATCAATATTAGTCACAAAATTTCTTATGTATAATAACTAAAGCTACCACAGAAATACTTACTCTGACAGTGGCATCTTAACTCTGTGACGATGTCCCATTTCTTCGATAAACTGTTTACGGATCACATAAGGTCTTGTGTAGGTATCTGTAACCACTCGGCAGGCCTGGTGAGCTGAAATGGCTGTATTTCTAACCATTGCACCTAATGCGTGTCTGCTCACAACGATACCATCAACCAATGGGCCAAACAACTATATACATTTGTTAGTTCATCTAATATACCTCTTCTTCTTTATCCAGAATAACCAATAATAGAAATATAAAAACTTACCAAAGCATTTTCATTGAGGCGTTGACTTGCTGCCATAGTACCAGAAAGACTAGTATATGATGGAATGTGTATACGTATCCGGTACAGTCCATCAGCACTCTTCTTGAGTGGATGAATAAACATGTAGACCATAATTTTGGAGGATGGAAGACTTGAATTTTTTATCTTTTTGGAAAGTTCATCGTAATTGACCAAGTCTTCGATCCACACAATGCAAACATGATCATCAACCGAGACTCGTTGGTGTATCTGGCCAATGGTCTCATCATTCCTGCAAGGTGACTGGTGAAGCATGTAAGGTACATTGACCACAAACTCAGCAGACCTGTCAGAGTAATAAGGTGCCTTTTCGCAAATCGAGGGATCAAGATTGCCTTTGAAACCATTGTGATTCGCAAGATCTACCTTTTTGTACGTACAATAAGACCGATAAAAGTTATTTTCTTGTCTACTGTTTTATTTTATTTTTTGTTTAAACTACTTGTTGTCTTTCAACGCACTTACTGGCCATCCAAGACAATGAAGGAATTGTAAGTACAACGGGCTCAATGGAGGAGGCGATTCGACTAGTTCTGTCCAAGTTGTATTTCCAGACAAAGCATAATAAACAGACACTGATATACAATCACGTCTATTCAAAGTTTTAATGTAAATATACTAATACTCTTAACAATAACACTATTTACTTACTCGTTCAACATATCGAGAGTCTCAAGCTCTGAAATCGCCGAATCTGTTATTTGGATAGGTGTGATTTGCTCTCTGTTTTGAGGTAAGAGGAATCCAATTTGAGATAAGAGCAGTCGAAATCCTCTAGGGCTATTAGAAAACAGCCAAATATATATATATTAGAGAGACGTTCATTAAAAAAAACCATACCATTTCTTTTTTACCTGTCATTATTAATATTAGGAGGGGCTGGATAAACTGTGTGCTTATCCATGGACTCCTTGAAACTTTTCTGTAAAATGACATTCTTCTGCTGTTCAATAAACGTCCTGATGCCATCCCACTGGTACAAATCCTCGGAATCATCTTTAAGCAGTTTATCAAGTCTCGGTAGTTCGCTCTCATTCACAGAAGTAGCAGTCGGAACCACAAACGCGTCGTCATCATAGTCATCATCGCTTCCATAAGTATGGTACAGCAGAGAAGGTTGGTTGTGTGGATCTGATTTGCGTCGGTCAGAAGTGGCCGGAGGTGATATAGAAACCTTAAAGGGTGTCGATGCATCGGGGTCTTTATAAACCGCGTCCATCTCCCACATGTAGCTTCCTGTGGTATCTCTAATGATGAGCAGCACTGAGGGTTTCCCTTTGGGCTCTTCTGTGCTTTTGTGGGGAGCATTTGTTAAGTCAATGACAGCCAGTATCATCCGTTTGTCGACCAAAAAATAGCGAACTGTGTCGTACGGATTGATCGCGGTACGCACATCCGTGTCCTGCTTAGCGGCGCGGTATTCTCGAAGGTAGCACAGATCGTCTCGTTGAGTTGATCGGAAACGGACAAGCGAGTGGTCGTGCAACGATTGGAACTTGCCGAGCTGATTGACAAATTGAGACATGCAGTATTCCGCTGCCATGCGGACTGCTATCTCTTCTTTCTTGTGGTTAACTGAACCGGACCGGCTCGGGGGTAACGAAGGAGCAGATTGCTGATCTGTTGTATTTGCAGAATTGCTATTGTTATTGTTGGTGTTGGCATTGGCGCTGGTATTCGAATTGGTGTTGCTATTGTTACCATTGTTGCTGTTATTACTATTACTGTTATTATTGCTGTTACTATTGTTATTACTATTGCTATTACTATTACTATGGCTGTGGCTATTGTTGTTGTTGTTACTACTATTGCTATTGCTATTGTTGCTGTTGTTGTTATTGTTGTTCTTGTTAACCCGCGGTGGGAGTAAGAAGAGTTGCTTGGCAGGAGGAAATGTCGTGTCTCGACGCTTTTTCTTTTCTGAACTGACTTCAACATGAACTGAATCTGTATCACGGTCAAATAAGGTGATACCTCGACTAAGGGTAGCAATGACAGCTTGGTAACAGTCACGATCATCAATAATCCATTGGCTGACAAGAACCCATTTCATCATGCAATCATATGCTTGGACAATAAGAGGATAGGTATGCAACTAATACGAGAATAAAGAAAATAAAAATATATAGCAACAGAAAAAAAAAACCAGCACCAAAAAAAAAACAATAAAAAAAGCAAAAACAAAGAGAGATGTGTACATCACAAACATGTATTTTAAGTATGTTACTTTATGATATATACCTTTACTATTACTATTACTATTATTACTATTAACATTGTAACTCACCAACTTGCCAGCATTTATCAGCGTGTCTACATATCGACTCAATGCTAAAACAAGTTCTCGTGCTACATTCTTTTTTGGGGACAAAATGGTATTCAACGTCCTTGTCATCCCCGCCGTAATCGCTTCGTTTTGTCTGACCTTACTGTCTCTTTTTACATAGTCATACAAATCAACAAAGTCCATCAGGACATCAAAAGCCACTAGGGTGACATCGGGTGGGAGTTTCATGGTCAATATCTAAGAAAGAAAGAAAACAAACAAACAACATACACACGCAAAAAATGATATTTTTTTTTTATTTTATTGTTTAGAATTTAGAATTTAGAATTCTTTGTAAAGTACAAAAAAAACCTCAAAAAGACTGGCGAACTTACCTTGTCTTGAATCAACTTGACAACTGTACCAACAAGACCAGGGCAGAATGGAACATCTTCAACAACATAAACGTTGATAAGGTGAAGAATATAACGCATATTGTAAGAAGAGGTCTCTGTTCGTAGAGACATGAGAAGCAATTCAAGAATATAGAACTTGAGCTTTTTTGATTTGAAAGAAAAGAAAGCAAAATTGACAGGGGAAAGTAGATGAGTATAGACAGCTCAAGGTAGACAGAATACCTTACACAAGTAAATGGTCTTTCTACATCAACATCACCCTTGTCGGCATACAATACACGTATCTGGATAAAGAAAAAGAAACCAAATCAAATTAAATCAAATCAAACCAAATCAAATCAAACCAATCCAAACCAAACCAAACCAAACCAAACCAAACCAAACCAAACCAAACCAAACCAAACCAAACCAAACCAAACCAAACCAAACCAAACCGAAGATCAAAAAGAAACTTATTTAATAACCCATTTGCTTTGATTATATAAGCAGATACATATATATACACATAGGTGCGTATAGGTTTGTATGTATATATATATGTTTGTGTGTTCTTGTGCCTTTTCTTTACCAATTGAGTAACCAGCTGCTCTTGTTCTCCGATTAAAGAAGCATTGTCAGACGCACAATGAAGATCGGAATCCCACCCTGGCTTGAGCTCTACTTTTTCAAAGTGGTTTGGCAAACACATCACGGTACTGATCACCTTGATGGCAGCCAAACGGAGATCATCCACAGACACAAAGCACTTGCATTGGATATTAAGTTTGGGAAGAACCATCTTGATGGCCGAAATAAAATCAGGCACCAACATACGGACTCCCTCGAGATCAATTGCAAATAGCTCAGTGCAATTCATCAGGATTGTAGGAATGCAGGCATCTACTTTGAGGCCAAGGCAAAGGGCAGCATAGAATCTTTCGGTGTAGGTGCGTAAAAATGGTTGGCGCGGCTGTGGGCGGCAAAATATTTTGCACAATGTCGCAAATGCTTCCGCAAATCCCCTGTGTGACTCTGGATCGTTTTGAGATGTCTTTGAGCAAACGTCAAACAGCCAGGTGCCAAACATGTGTAAGAGAGTGTTTCCATCGGGTGGCATGTTTATCTCTTTGGTATTTGACACACGACTATGTTTCTGGTTGAGAGCACTGACAAGTTGACCGATTCCAATCATCGCTAAATTGAAGTTGTGAGGAGCTAGTTGGAGTGGATGTGGAATGAGGTAGATAAATCTATGCCAGGCATAGTATACAAATGGCTTCGGAAGGTCTAATTTTACTTGCACGCCACTGACTGACATGATGACCACATAGCACTCTTCAATTTCAGAGAGATGGCCAGAAACACATCTTGACAAGGCCAAACTTGTTGCACTCCATTGCTGAATAACCTTGGGACGATGGGTCCATCTCATAAAGCAATCCTGGACAAGTCATACATGTCAAGAACGCTTTCTTTTCCTCATCTTGTATCATATTATATCATCTCATCTCATATTTCTCTTTCTCTCTTTCTTTCTTTCTTTATTATGGTTTCCCTTCTCCTTTTTTTTCTTACCTTGAAAATGTCCCACATTTCAACTTCCTTTGTTTCCGACCGTAACCATAATTCACATAGAACCTACAAATACACACCAAAAAGCAAAAGAGTCTTGTTTATCATACATGTATGCAACATTTCTGTATTATTCAGCTTACTCTCAGCAGATGGTCACACAGTTGATCACCCATATTAACCACACCCGGAATGGATGTGTCGCCCATTGGTTCTCTTAGTAACGAGTCTGTAATACCAAGCATCACCTTGAGTAAGACCGTCCAGGTCTCTGGACTGAGCTCGAGCGATCTTCCTGCGGTGGCAAACACTGTCAGGGTCCGTTTACAGAGTTCGACATGTCTTTGGACGAGCTGGCTTATTGTGTCCTTGAGAACGTTTGGGGTGGCGTTGGCTCCTGTCGGCTGAGCTGTGTTGATGGTTGTGTTTGCAATCGTAGCTGGCATTGGCATGCTGGCAGACGTGACATTTGTGTGAATATTGGCGGGGATCATGTTGATGTTGAAACTGTTAGGCCTGCCTACAGATGATGAATTGTTGGTGTAATGATTATTTTGGGCTGAAGGCGATCGAGGGATCCGGGGCTGAAAGAGGAGCGAGAATTGGTGAAAGATGATCTGATAGAGCTCTTGTTCGAGTCCTTCATTGACAACAGCCGCGGGTCTCATGGAGGGCTCGAATAGCCATTGTGCATATATGCTCACGTCGTCATTGGTTATGTGCATGTCTTCCAAGGGAAGATTGAATCCCTGGCCAATGACTTCCATAACCCATTTGACATGGGCTGGAGAAACAAAGATGGAAGGATCGGGTATATGCTTTCCGGATGCGGGATAAATGAAAGAGGTGATTTCAGAAATAAGTGTTCTTTTGATGCCCAATGGTAAAGGGCCAAGAATGTTGGTTTCTATTCATTCGTAATTTGAAATAAGGAAACGATCAAATGTTGTAGAGACGATTAATTAAAGAAATAATAATAATAATAATATAATATATAAATATATAAAGACATACGAGGGTCATGCTGCAACAGTCTGAGCTGAGCTATCCAGTCAAGAAACATGGGTCAACTTGTCGTCTTCGTGGACTGCTGGTAAGAAAAGAGTAAATATTAATAAATAGAAGAAGAAGAAGAAGAGGGAAAAAAAGTAGAAAAAAAAAGAAGAAGCAGATAAAATATATTTGGTCTGACAAGACACATAAACGCACAAACGCACAAACACACACACACACACACACACACACAGAAAAGACAGAGAAATAGACACACATATATAGAAATATAGAAATATTAATCATATTTACATATACAAATAATTTTTTCCGTTAATAAAGATATATATATATATATTTGTATATTTTATAAAGAAAAGGCTAAGCGGGTCTGATTTTGGCAAGGCTCTTTGTCATTCCGTACTTTTATTTTCTAGGCTATGGTGTATTTTCTTTTAAATCAGAAATTTTGGATTTTGGGCCAATTTTTTAATTTAAAATACCGATATATGAAAATGACATTAAATGTCCGCCAGCTTTAAAAAAATCCCAATATTGAACTTTATGCAGTCACAAATTCATATATTCACGACAAAAGATTGTTTAAACACCGCATAATACATAGTATTACTATATTAGGGGATCGATTCTCGTAGTCTGCCATAAGAAATGAATAATCTAGGGCCAATATTTCTCTTTCTCTGCTATTAAATTCGAACACCGCGTTTTTTCAAGACCTAAAAAGTGTTGCCGGAAATGTGAAAACTGAATATGTTTTACATTTACTTTGTAGAGAAACTGTTTTTTAACAAAGTAAATGTAAAACATATTCAGTTTTCACATTTTCTGACAACACTTTTTAGGTCTTGAAAAAAAACGATCGGAGTCCAATTATTTTTCCAGTGTATAAGAAAAATACACCATACACAAAGAAATACGGTATTGAATAAGAAAGATTTGTACCAAAAAAATTTTCATGGAATTCATACCTAACAAAAAAAAATTGGTCTTATTTTCAGGGTTTAATGATCTTTTATTTATAATTATTTGTTCTCTGGTCAAATGTTAAAAGAGGGGTAAAAATAGTCAAATTTCTTTATCGATTTTAATTTTAATTTTAATCGTGAAATTGGAATCGAATTAAATTCTCGCTATAAAAATTGAAACAAGAAAGAACCAAAAAAAAAAGTGATAATAAAGGAGAGGCTTCTTTGATGCGATGGCTCAAAAAGGTAACCAAATATATAAATCTGTGTATCCAATAGTCAAAATAAAATATCCAAAATAACAGAATCAAAAAAAAAGAGAGAAAAGGAAATATAAAAACAAATAATAAAAATAATGACCACTATAAATATTGAACCTTTTTTAAAAAAAAAAAATGAAAATATAAAAAAAAAAAAAAAACAAAAAAAAATTAACCCAAAATAATAATAATAAATTCCAATTTGACCTTTGTCTTGACACGTACAAACCTTGTCGACAATTAATACACATACACACATACATATACATATATTTATACTTATACTTATATCTATAAAGTGAATAAAGAGCTACAATGAGTAAACCTCCTGCAACAATTGCTCCACTACCAAACCCTTTTTTAACATCATTACCCATCCGAAGTGTTGCATCCATTCAGGCACGTCCCGAAATACAGCCGACCTCTCATCTTCCTGCCATCGCAGCCCAACCCCTAGACCCTTCTCTCGTATCCAATGCCATCACAAACACATCTCATACCCAACAAAGGCCAATGCTTCAGAGGAATGTACCAGCGTTCTTGAATAAGCTATACAAGTAAGTTTTATAAATAAATAAATATATTTAACACAAATGAATTCATTCTAAAAAAAAACTTTTATTTTATATTTATTTATTAAGTATGGTTAACGATCCAGGCTCGGATGAACTTATTCGATGGTCTGACGATGGACAGTCATTTATTGTCATTCGCCACGAAGACTTTGCAAAACGAGTCTTGCCTCGTTTCTTTAAGCACAGCAACTTTTCTTCGTTCGTTAGACAGTTGAACATGTACGGATTCCACAAGGTTCCTCATCTGCAGCAAGGTGTACTCCAGGCCGATTCAGAATCAGAACGATGGGAATTCAGCAATCCTCACTTCCAACGCAACCAACCCGACCTACTGCTTCTCGTTACACGCAAGAAAGGTCGTGATCCAGAGGATAAAGAAACATCCACGATTGATCTCCACCACATAATGGAAGAGATATCAGCGATCAAAAAACACCAGATGGATATCAGCACCCAGCTCAATAGTATACAAAGAGACAACCAATTCTTGTGGCAGGAGACCATATCTGCACGAGAACGTCACCAACGTCACCAGGAAACCATTGACAAGATCTTACGTTTTTTGGCTTCTGTATTTTCGAGCGAGAAAAAATCGGTGTCTATACCAAGAAAAAGACGTTATCTTTTAGGTGATATTGATACAAGCTACAATACCACCAATACCAACAGTAGTAGTAATACCAGTAATACCAACAATAATGGCAATAGAGGCAGTAGCAACAAAAGCCGTTTTGAAAATGAAGACGAAGACGAAAATGAAGATGAATATGAGGAAGATGAAGAGATCGAGAGAAGCAGAAAAATTGCTCGACTTGGATCACCAAAATTCAACCTTGGCGATTATGTTGACAGCCACACTGATCTGTCCATTCACGACAACTCTCTGGCCACTCTTCCAGCTACCCTTTCACAGTCTTCTGAACCGTTTAGTCCTCACCCTTCATCAAATCCTTCTAGTGAGCTTGCTGATGCTATTGCTCTGAATGATAAATCAAAGCAAGGTATATATATATATATATATATAGTAATATCTTTGAACCATCATGAAACGACGCATTTCTTATATATATTATTATTATTCTTATTATTATTCTAACTCTTCTTCATTGCTTGATTTTGTAGCTGTCAATACCCCACCTCCCCCTCCACCACAACCTCCACAAGATCACACCAGCTTGGTAACAACACAGCAACTTCAAGGACTACAGAGCTTATCAAGCTTGATTGCCCTTGCACAATCAAACCCTGCTTTCTTAAGCCAGTTAACCGGAGAAGTACCGTTTCCATCTCCAGACTACATGCCATTTATTGAAAATAGCATGCCATTCAGCAATTATTCGACTCATCCTACTCATCCCACCCATCCTATACCCCCTACTCATTCTACTCATTCTACGCCTTCTACGCCTTCTACGCCTTCTACTCCTTCTACTACTACTTCAACCACAATGACAACCACAAGATTATCCCCTTCAGAAACATTCTCCACTCCATCACCCGCTCTCGGGACGATCAACAATACACCGCCCAACCAAACCACACCTGCTGTGCACGACAACATAGCCACTCTCACCAAAGCTGCAGATGCAATCAGCCAAGGTATCGATGCCCTAGGAACAAACATCGAATCTCTTGCACAACATCTTGGGTTTGATCCGACACATTACCCGGGGGATGAACTGGACTATGTTAATTTGGATGATCTCATAGATACATATGGTAATATATCTTGATACTTATTATATATACAAAATGTGTGTGTTTGGTAACTTATTGTGTTTCACTTAGCTCCTGCTTCAATACAAATACCTGAAAACACCCAGCAATCCTCTCAAGACAAACCCGACATCAAAACAATGGAAGATGGAGATCCCTCTAAACTGGAGATGCCATCTTCTGGTCCAAATTGCAGTGAAGGATAAATTAGGTTTAATTTCTACTTTTTGTTTGTTATTGCGGATTCGATGCATGCATGTAAGTATGTACATGTATATGTGCCTGCTCATGTGCCTGTTCATGTGCCTGTGCCTGCGCCTGTGCCTGTGCCTGTGCCTGTGCCTGTACCTGTACCCGCAAGCAGAGCTATAGTGTAAATTATATTTGTTTAGTGTAATAATGCCCGAATGTGATATATACATATATGTATGTATGTATAAATAAGAAACGGATTATACAGAAATTATATCTGTGTATTAAATGAATAAGCAGAGCTTGGCATAAATACATACATACATACATACATACATACATATATATAACGTAAAATGTGAAATAAATAACTGGGCACCAATTAACATACATATATATATAATACAACTTCCCCCCGATAAAGATGTCGGAAATGACTAACTTTACTGTGTTTTATAGAATTTTTGTAAAATAAATACTTCGTTAGTATATTTTATAGAGTTGAGACTTTGGTTTTTTGTATGCCAATGAATTAAGTATGATGGTTTAAAGAAAGCTTGAATAATCCTCTGAAAAATAATAAAATAAAAATTATAAATGAAGATAAAATGGCTTATGGGAACTTGGTGGGGGATATCAAGTTCTTTGATTTAGTATGCAATAAAACGATTTTGCAACGCTTCACATTTTGGAAAAAGGTAACAACTAAAAAAGAAGAAAAATTCGTGAAATTGACTTTGGTATCTTTAAGTTAAACAAGCAATAGTTTACCAAAGTCTCTAATGGTGAATCATATAATTTTTTAGACCTTTTTTTTTCTCTCTTTATTTTTCGTCAACGCAAAAAGTAAAATTTCGGTGGAAACCAGAGTAAGGTAAGGTATGAGATTATTAACAGCGATACAATGCTTCCGTCGTTTAAGCTCTTTAATGGAGCAAGCTTTTTTTCTGAGAAAAAAAATATGTTTAAAAATTATTTACAAAAACGGTGGCATGATCATGATACTTCATACTTTAAAATGAAAGATTGGCCAATTTGCTCTTGCTTGAAAACTTATTATGACTTTAGGGAAGTGCTGGTAAGGCGGGAATTTTGAGTATGTAGTGTACGTTGCGCAATAAACATACACACACACTTATACAGTGTAAGCCAGCCAATCGATCATTAAACAGCAGTGATTTAAATTGTAATATATATAAAAACTATTTTTTTTGACTCTCTTTAATAATCAACACACTCTTACAGTATCTACTTTTTCTAATATTGAGATACTTTTTCATAAACAATCCCGAATACCTCAGGGCATGTATACCACAAACTGCATAATGTATTTTAAATAGCCGTCTAGTAAGGCGCGGCGGTCCAATAAATAAATAATACCGACAAAAAAGAAAAAAAAAAAAGTATCAATGGTGCTTTTAAGAAATGATATATCTCCTTATTATTATTATTATTAGAGTCTTAATGAATCTTAGCTATACACCCTTTATATACCAAGATTTAAAATCCTTAACCAGTTTGCCTGATTGAAATAAGAATTTGTACAAATGGGGTTTGTCTATGTACTTTAACCTTGAACCTAAATGAATTTCTTCAAGGGGAGTATTCAAGTAATCACAATTTTTTTCCCTTTATCTTGATCTTGGGAACTTGAGACGGCGGGTGTATTTGGTGACCATCGCCATTTGGAAGAGAAAAGCAGCGACATTAGGAGATTGAAACTTGTAGAATGAGGGAGAAAAATAAAAAAGTAAATAGTAGTTGGCAGTAAAGAAGCCAGCAACTCGACTCTAGACACTATACAGCTTGAAAGCTTTTCCTAATAATAAAGTCTTTTACTAGTCACTTTGCCCCCACTCAAGTACTCTGTTGCAGACACGTGTATTCAAAATTGCAAATGATTGGCTCATGTCAAAATAAAAAAAAAAAAGGATGGCGTTACAGTGTGTGGCCCAAAGGCCATAACTTGCGCCTTAAAAAAAGAACGCGTCTCAAAATGTGTGGCCCAAAGATTATAACGCGTTTTAAAAAAAAGAAACACTCACGGTATTATTTTTCTTCTTTGCGCTTTTTCATTAGTTTACTCCAATGTACAGCAACACCAGCAGCAGCAGCAGCATCAGCAGCATCAGCAGCATCAGCACCCGAAAAAAAGTGTCCTTCAACGGCTTGTTTGTGTTTGGCCCAAAGGCCATTCACAAGCATGTCCCAAAGCTGTTGAGACACACATTTCTGGTTAGATTAGCCAAAACTAATCTAGCCAAAGTTTTTGATCGAAAGATCAAAAAAGTGAAAATGATTGGTAAGTAATGTCTCTATATAATAGTAGATAAACAATATAATATTAATCAATAATATACCTATAGCACCAGACCTGCCCAAGGGGCTTAAGCGACGATTGGAGAAAGAAAATGAGCTGGAGCACAAAGCTACAGCTCATTTTATCAAGCAAAAGAAAATGAGAATAGAAGAAGAAGTACGAAGAAGAAGGGATATAGACCCAAGAGAAGCAGAAAGAAGAAGAAAAGCAGAAAGAAGATATGTAGAAGCAGTAAGAAGAAGAGAAGCAGAAAGAAGAAGAAGAGAAGCAGAAAGAAGAGACGAAGAAAGAAGAAGAGAAGAAGAAAGAAGAAGAGAAGAAGAAAGAAGAAGAGAGATAGAAAGAAGAAGAGATGAAGAAGATGATGATTATGAAGAAGAAAGTGATGAAGAAGAAGAAAGTGATGATGAAGAAGAAGAAAGTGAAGAAGAAGAAGAAGAAGAAGATGATGAAGAAGATGATGATGAAGAAGAAGAAGATGATGATGATGAAGAAGAAGATGAAGATGAAGAAGAAGAAAGTGAAGATGGTGATGATGATGAAGAAGAAGATGAAGATGAAGAAGAAGAAAGTGAAGATGGTGATGATGACGGAGAAGAATATGAAGAAGAAGAAGAAGAAGATGATGATGATGATGAAGATGATGATGATGATGAAGAAGAAGAAGATGATGAAGAAGAAGAAGAAGATGATGATGATGAAGAAGAAGAAGATGATGATGATGAAGAAGAAGAAGATGATGATGATGAAGAAGAAGAAGATGGTGATGATGACGAAGAAGAAGATAATGAAGAAGAAAAAGAAGAAGAAGAAGACGAGGATGACGGTGATTATGAAGAAGATGAAGAAGAAGATGAAGACGAAGAATATGATGATGATGATGATGATGATTATGAAGAAGAAGATGAAGAAGAAGAATATAGTGAAGATGAAGAATATGAAGATGATTATGAAGAATAAGGCGAAGAGTTGGCAACAGGAAGCAACAGAAGCAACATACTAACATACTAACAAGCAACAGACACTAACAAGCAACGGGAACTAACAAGCAACGGGAACTAACCTTACTCACAACTAACTACAAACAATTAACTTTTTGAACAACTAACATTATGAACAACTAAAATTACTAACAACTAACTTTACTAGCAAAATCCGGATCAGAG